ACGCCTAAACCTATGCTAACGCCTTTTAACTGTTCTACTGTCTGTCGCTATAGTAATCCTGATTTGAATATCCAACAAGAAACCCTTCATAAATTGGTCAAGGCGAAACGTGGTATAGTTACAGCGATCAATACGCCATACCAAGATAGTAGCAAAGAAGGCCTGCAAGAAGAGGAAATGGATCAAGTAGCATTGCATGTCAGCATTACACAATACGGTAATACTGGACGCAATCGTGGTGAACCTGTCGGTACTGGCGGCAACAAGGACCAGTCAAGCTGGGGAAAAGAGCTTAGAGAATTGCAAAAGGATGCAAATGCATTGCTGAGTTCATAGGATTGTACACCGTACATCCTTCTTCTTATTCCTGCCCCCAATGCGGTCACCACGACCTGACTTTGTGTTGAGACGCGAAGATTCACCATTCGTGCTGTGAAGATGTCCACTGCCTGCACCCCGGATCGCGCCCTTCGATGGCCGATCACTTTTGCCAGCCCCTTGGTGTCGCTGGCGCCTCAGCTGCCTCACAACCTCGTAGAAGGCCTTTTCAACGTTCACGCAATTCTTAGCTGAGGCTTCCACGAAGTCGCAACCTAATAATTTGGCGAGCGCACTCCCTTCTTGAGTGGAGACTTCGCGCTCGGTGACCCGGTCGCATTTGTTACCAACAAGCATGACTGGTGTGGGACCGAAACCACCAGAGCCAACAGACGATGCACTAAGAGGTGAACCGGGATATGTAGGAGAACCTGAGATGGACGTTTCCTTGACGCGTTGGATCTGATGATGGAATTTCCTGATGCGATCAAAAGATGGGCGGGATGATATGCTATAAACCAGGACAAAGCCCTCGCCATCGCGTATCCACTGATCGCGTAGTGCAATGTATTCCTCCTGTCCAGCAGTGTCTAGCACTTCGAGCATGCACGACTGGCCATCGATCTGAACCTGCTTGCGGTATGAGTCCTCGATAGTGGGATCGTATGTTTCGACGAAATGATTGAGACATAACTATGGGCCAGGTTAGATTATATGCTTCGGGTCACGCGGTTGTGGTATTGCCTGTTGAAAGGTGAAAGGGGCCTTACCTGAATGGTTAGGGCGGTCTTGCCAACACCTCCGTCGCCCAACACCACCAACTTATACAAAGTCATCTTGCCTGCCATGATCCTGACAGGTGGGCTGCAAAGACCCGGGTATAATTCAGATATGAGAAAAAAGACCTGTAGCGAGATACAGATCTTGCGGATGGGTGATCGGGGGGGCGTCGCTTCTCCAAAGGTGAGGGAGAGGAATATGAGAGAGAGAGAGGGAGGGAGAGAGATGCGGAATTGGAATGTCTCAAGAGTAACGATCGGTCGGATATGAACTGCGTATGATGGTATAGAAGTCGTGCGAGGGCGAATGCAAAGAGGTCGTCAGTCCCCAAGTCGATTGGGGAGGTTGGGGAGAGAGATTGAATAGGCGATGGGGCGGTTCAAGACGGTCCAGAAGCGTCTGTCACCTGGTGCATGTAGTGTAGAGTCAAGGAGCCGCGAAACAGATTGCGAATGTCTCTTGCGGACGGTCGAACAGGTAAGTCAAGATGGATTGGGATGATGTTTCGCTGGCATGGACGGAACACAGCGTTGTACGGCGAACGGACGGTAGCGAAGAGGCAAGCGAGAAGATGGATCGGGCGTAAAGCGGTGGGGCTCGGTGGCACTGCGGATGAGGGTGGGATGGGGATGGAATGGGATGGCAGGTCACAGCAAAGGGCGGTTGACTTGCGGTAACGAATGGGTGGCAGTGATGGCGAGGTTGAAGCGCAGTGGGGGGAGGGGCGTGAAAGGTTGCGGAGAGGCGAGACAGGATGGAGAAACAGGCGGCGTCGGAGGCGTCGGAGGCGGAAGATGGAGATCAAGAGGTTGTACGGAGTAGAGCCAGGCCAGCAGAAGTCGAGGGGGGTGGGAGAAGAGAAACCTAACGGGGTAGGTGCTGAATAAGAGTTGGAAAAAGAGAAAGAGGAGGAGAAGGGGGATGGATGGTGAATGGGGGATGAAGGAAGGATGAGGACGAGGATGAGGATGAGGATGAAGAGGAAGTGCGATAGGGTGTGTTGGTTAGGGTAAACTGTGGGTGTGGGTGTGGGTACGGCCCGTATGGGTATGGGTTATGGGTGTGGGTATGGGTATGTGATGTGCGCGTGTGCGTGTGTGTGCGTGTGCGCGCGTGTGGATAGGTGCGTGGAGGAAAGATGTTGGATGATGGATCGGATAGGAGACGAGGAAGAAGGAGTACGAGTAGGATAGGTTGGTTGATTGTATGTATGTACTCCGTAGAGGTAACTAACTAGAGGGAGGGAAGAGATGAGGAGAGATGAAGGAAGAGTAGAAACGAGGAGATGGAAATGGGATGGGATAGGATGGGAGAAGGACAACTACCTACTCGTAGGAATAATAGGACAGGACAGGCTGGGATAGGATGGGATGGGATAGGACAGGATGGGATAGGTCCAAAAAAGGTCGAGGTCAGGGGCCAGGGCCAGGCCAAAGAGTTTTGGGGAGTGGGGTAGGTCTCTCTAGGTACTAGGTACAGACTCAGTACATAACTCCTACTATTACCATCACTTCTCTGTACTCCGTACTGTTGATACTATACACCAATGTACAGTATGTATATGTATTCAGTATGTACGGAATATGGAGTGGAGTAGTTACAGAGTAATTAGTGTACCTAGTTACCTCATGTGCTGTGAGCAGCTATCCTATGCAACGTGTGGGTGGATAATGAACAGAGGCAGGTGTACTCAGTACATAATACAAGATAGTTACGGATTTCCTTTGTAGACATGGCTACTGTTGAGGTTAGGTACCATGTAATTAGAAGAAGGTACAGAGTAGATTAGGTATTCTGGAGTCTGTGGATCGGATACCTATATACATCAATACAACGCGTCTGTCAAGATAGAATAAGGAGAAGTTGGTCGGTAACTTTGGTACATACACATACCTACCCACCTTAGGTACCTCCCTAGCCCTAGGTAGCCAGCGGGAGAGTCGGTCGGGCAGTCAGTCAGTAATTGGTGAGGTCGGTAGGCCGGTTGGCCGGCCGGCTGGTTAGTTGTTGGATAAAGGGATGGATGGTCGGTTGGCTGGCACACTGGGCTTAGGGCTATGTGTACCTAGGTACCTACTTAGGTATAGGAGGTAGGTAGGCATGTATCAAGTGATGCTTTTTTGCACAAGTACTCCGTACATGTGGGTAGATAACACACACAGCGCGAGATCAACAAAGACAAAGAGGAGAAAAAGAAAAGAAACCCCCGTTTTTCTAATAGAAGAAGCGATAAAAAAGAAAAGGGGAGTTATAACAACATCGTCATCGTCATAACTACTTAGGTACTTAGGTACTTGGGTACCTGTCCTGTCTACCTAGGTACCTGGTATCTAGGACAGTTTAGGTTTTCTGTAGTGTCGTCGTTGGATATTACACATTGCAGGGGAAGAAAGGTGCAATTGGGAACGGGAAGGAGACACGGCGGAAGAACGTTGGACGGGAAGGAGCAAGGGAAAGGAGGGAGATAACAACAATAGGAGACAAGTCTAGCAGGGAAGGGAGGAAGGAAGGAACTTCAAGGAAGGAAGGAAGAGAAGAGAAGAGGGAACCAACCAATACGAAGTACACACTCTACTCCGTACATGACCGTCACGAAGGGCCAATATCTAGGTAGGTAGTAGGTACCTGGGTACATACCTGTAATAATTACTCCATAATCCATACTCCGTATTCCGTAGATAACTGTCGAAACAATCTGTTATCACAATCAATCAGGATCATTAAGTAAGTTAGGTAGGTAAGTAAGAGGATGATTTCGGGAGGAGGAGGATCCGTCGCTTGGTTGGCCGAGCCGAATTGGGCTATGCTATGCAGCTATGTTATTATGGCTACCAGGCCAGGAACCTGAGAATGCTATGTTATGCTATCTACCTTGTCGCCCCAGGTGGATATTGACAGGAACATACGGATTACGGAGTAGACAGGCTGGACCTGACAATTGCACCTAAAATATCATACTCTTCATCAAATACACAGTGAATTAGTATCGACATCCACCTCACTAATGTTCATGTCTGTGTTACAGGTGCTAACTACAGCATGTTAGCTGATGTAGCCCTTACCAGGAAGTATACTTCCTACCTGCGCATACGATCACGTTTAGAAAGGAAAGACATCGTGTTCCTTTCATAAGATTAAGTTTAGCTTGTTGTTGGTTAACAAAGTCATCGTTATCTGAGTTGGTGGCTGGCCACTGGTTATTGGTGGCTGGTAATCCACACGTGACCTCACGTAGTGCAGCACATCCTTCACGTCCCCCGTTTAGTTATAGGATTGTCGTTAATTTCTACGAGTAACACTATACAATACAGTATGTCTCAATAATGGATGCAATCTACAGCTTCGCATTGCTACGTCAAGCTACCAGGATACATACATATGTCTAGTGGTCACGCTGGCTATTCGTCCCATACCTACAATTTCGCCTTGGTCTCTGTCGCCTTGTGAAGAGACGCTCCCCTGATCCTGAAATACTCCTTAACCTTCTCTTTGGCCACCCCTATAGCTTCTGCATCTTCTATTGTTGTCGGTGCCTGCACCTCCTTGTCGAACTCTCCGTGCGTGGCGTTCTCAACCAACTCCCGCAAGACACGACGAAGCGTCTTGCCGCTTCTCGTCTTAGGAATCATGCCTTTGCCCTGGATGATACCCCCTAGACTTGCAATCGCTCCTATCTGTTCCCGCACATGCTTCTGTACCTCCCTGAACAGTTCCTCTTCAGGGACTGCGGCATGGGGATGGTGGTGTGTAGACAATGTGATAAAGGCGAAAGGCAGGTGACCTTTGAGCTGATCCGGTATCCCCACGACGGCTGCTTCTGCAATATCCGGATGGGACGTTATTGCTTGCTCGATGGCCCCTAATCCCACAGTCAGTGTCCTTTTCCGAAACGTTGGCGATCATTCAGATATCGGATGCAGGGTCCCATGTCCAATACCACTTACCAGTACTGAATCGATGTGCAGCCACGTTGATGATGTCGTCAGACCTAGACATGATCGATATGTAGCCATCGTTGTCAATGAGTCCAGCATCGCCCGTGTCAAGCCATCTCCCATCAAACCTTTTGAGATAACCTTTGTAAAATCTCTCTTCGTCTTGCCAAAGGGTCGTGAAAGCCGTGGGTGCAAGGGGGATTGCCATGACTATGTTTCCCATTGACCCACGCTCTACTTCGTTCCCGCTATCGTCGACAACTCTGACGTCGAATCCGGGCATCGGTTTGCCTGCTGATCCAGGTTTAATCGCTAGCGGACGGTTGCGGTGTGGACTTGCAAAGTCCTCGCCAGCTGAAGCGCTGAGGGCTATGCCTGATATAGGACTCCCGGATTCCGAAGACCACCAATTGTCAACTACTACAGCGCCTTCGGCACAATGTTCACTGAGCAATTTCTGGTACATCTGCACGATGCTAGGCTCACTACGCTCCCCAGCGAGGAATAAGGCGCGTAGGGATCGAAGCCCTCCACGGCTCCCAAACGTCCGTTCAAAGTAATCATTGTCGCCGTCTTCCCTTCGGATAGCACGCAGCGCAGTAGGTGCTGTGAACATCGTTGTAACTTTGTACTCCTCGACTATCCGCCAAAAAGTGCTGGCATCAGGCGTCCCTACCGGTTTACCCTCGAACAGGATCGTCGTAGCTCCAGCGAGCAATGGAGCATATACAATATAGGAATGTCCAACCACCCATCCGATGTCAGATGCTGTGAACATGACGTCTCCGGGTCCGTGAACTCCGAATAGGTATTTCATAGAGAGCTGAAGCCCTACGGCATGTCCTCCAGCTTCGCGTACTACACCTTTCGGCAAACCGGTCGTTCCTAGGGAATTAGAGTTTGCATATGCATTAAGTACTACCCGGATGCTTACCGCTCGTATATATTATGTAAAGCCCGTCTGAGCTATTGACGGGTACCGAACCTGCCTTCAGCCCACGATTTCTTGCGCTCTTCACTAGCCTCTGCCAGTTGCGCTGGCCTTCCTCTTTGACGACCGGGTCCCACCGAAACTGTTCCCGCTGCCAGATGATGGTTTTCGGAGGTTTAAAGCTACTCTTTGTGATCGCTTCCTCGAGCAAGCTCTTGTACCCGATCGGGCCCTTACTCCCTTCAATCCCACACGACGCAGTCAGCACCGCTGTCGGTCGAGATACCTCCATTCGCTGAGCGAGAGAAGTGGGTGAAAAGCCGCCAAAGACGACTGTGTGTATGGCTCCAATACGTGCACTGGCTAACATTCCAAACAATGCGGCCGGGATCATTGGCACTTGAAGAGCAACCCATCAGTATATCGTTCTTCACGAGTAGATATGAGACCGTAAACATACTATAGATTAACACCACATCACCTTTTTTCACGCCTTCTTCTCTTAGAACACCCGCCAATATCTCCACCTCTTCGAGCAACTGCCTGTAGGTGTATTGTTCTTTAGCACCTGTGACAGGACTGTCCCAGCATATCGCTACGTTGTCACCGTTGCCACTGAGAACATGGCGGTCGACACAATTGTATGTAGTAGAGATCTCGCCATCTGGATACCAACTCCAGTGTTCGTGTTCGACGCCGCCGTTCAGCTTCTTGGTTGTTTTCTGGAGGGCTTTAGATGGCTTCTTATGCCAGAATACATGTTCTGCCTGCGCGGTCCAGAATGCTTCCGGATCTTGTAGCGAAGCCTGGTATACCCTATCTTGGGGGTGTTCTTCGGTCATCGTGTTATGGATACTGATCTTGCCCTGTGGTTCAATTGACGATGGAACATGCGTCGAATGGATTGAAGGAAATTGTTTTGTAATTAGATTTGGAAGAATAAGCAATTGGTAGGGGTAATAGCTAGACGATATGTCGGTCAGTCCAAACAGGGGCTATAGATCTGCGCCTTACTCATAAAATACATAAAGGTGATAAGTTCAGAAGAATTCATCAAATTTAGAGGAGTAACGAGAGACGACTCGGACATTTAAATTATTTAGAAGCCTTTCTCATGTTAGTCGTAGGTTTCCCGGCCACCCGGGCAAGCGGGTGGTAGTACCGCCGAGGTGATTTGAATCACGTTTGGCTGCCATTTCCCCGCAACTTGGCGACGAATACTGCACAGCTCCACCGAGTCCACCAAGTGCACGCCATCCCCGTCGGGTTACGAGTAACAACGCGTTACGCGTAGCGTATAGGTAACAGGCTACAGGTACGTATCTAAGTATTCTTTAACATACAGGGCTACAACAAGGTACTGCAATATTCTCACTTGGGTGCAAGCTATTCCGCCTCGATGTCGAATTACTCACAATCCATAGGATTGTACAGGAGTCTTCTTCCGTCAGGGGCGAGTCTCCCGCATTCTAGCTCATGACAATTGCTCCCTTTCATCCATCGAGCCAACCACCAGGCACACGAAGGAGCGAATCATGCGAGAGAAAAAGGAACCATAATTGTTTCCGTCCACAGCGTACTTCTTATCAAAATACACACACTCAGCATTTTACTCCCCCTTTGCGGCCGATTTCTGTGTGTTTTCGGGGGTGCGGAGAGCACTTTTGGTCACCTTTTCCGCCTGCACTGTCCGCTTTTCCGGCGTGACACATGCCATTGTTGCGTTTTCCCTTCTGCTGACATTAACCTACTCGGTAACCAGTCAACCTATAATACCATGGAACACCACAATCACATAGTTACCAGCATCATATAGATACCTAACTCCCTTCGCCAGAACATCGTTCTGAGACATATTGCAGCACTTCTTGCTATTGTCACAACCTTCGCCATGGCTTCACCTACTCCATTAAAGGCCTTGCTATTCGATGTCTTCGGAACCTGCGTGGATTGGAGGAAGACTGTTACCAACACCTTGATCGCGCAGGCACATGAGTCACTAAATTCTGCAAGTGCGTCGCTGGCAACATCCGTGAGATTGCGCGCCACCGACATGACTGAGTCTGATTGGGGTGCATTTGCCCAACAATGGCGGCACTCTTATCATGTCTTCACTCGTTCCATTGCCGCAGACCCTAGTATTCGGTTCAAGACTGTTGATGAACATCACCTCGAGGCACTGCACGAATTGGTGGAACAGTGGGGTTTGAAAGGCTTGTGGACGGGCGAGGAACTGGGAGACCTGAGTCTCGTATGGCATCGTCTCGATCCCTGGGCGGACACAGCTAGCGGCATCGATTCTTTCAACAATCGATTTCAGACCGTCACTCTCAGCAACGGGAACCTTTCACTTCTGCAGGACTTGAAGACGCATGGTTCTCTCGCCTTCACGCATTTGTTCAGCGCGGAGATGTTTGACTCCTACAAGCCGTCGCCCAAAGTCTACCTCGGCGCAGTTGAGCGCTTGGGACTGGAGCCCCGAGAGTGTGCCATGGTGGCTGCACATCTCGGAGATCTCAAGGCTGCGAAATCCCATGGCCTGCAGGCTATCTATGTTGAGCGAGCCGGCGAGGAGGGATGGGCTCACGAAGATGTGCAAAAAGCCCGTGACGAGGGTTGGGTCGATATATGGATTGCGTTGGATCAGCCTGGTTTCATCGCGGTGGCTGAGAAACTTGGTATTGAGACAGGTCTTTTGGATGGCTGATGGTCACCAAAATTCTCACTATAATTAGTTTTGACGTGAGTGAGTCGGAAAACATTGGCTTACTTATGCATCGTACATCTGCTCGGCGTATTCGTTACTTCTATTACTCATAATCAAACTCTGTGCTTCATATTGCGCACTCACGGCTGCATTGAATCAAGGACTATTTATCATCGTCCAACGCCCTTGATCACTGTTTTTACCATGGTTCTCGGACTTCTGTAGACTCGTGGAGACTTGACTAATCTCTTTTGCTATACCTAAGTACTCATGTCGTGTGAATGTACCGCTACCTAGGTATGTATGTGATGTAATACCATATGTGCACTGAAGTAACATCGTCCATGCTATATTTACATGAATTTCCGCTGAATGCTGTATTTGGTTACATCATGACTGTCTGTCTATGTATTTGGTTGGAACTATGATTACATTAAAGTTGATATGTTATGGGTGGATTCAAAGAAAGACTAAGTTGATGAATTAAAATGAAGACGGATGTATAACAAAAAACCACACAACACCAAATACATAGTTAACAGACCTATAAACTACAAAATACAACATTTAAAAATCTGAATAAATCGAAAATATTATTAAAAAATTAATATTCACCTCAGATGTCGCTTGAACAGCACAAGAAAGATGCGGACAGCAGTCTCCAGGAGAATGCACGGGCCAACATATCATCTACACCGTAACAAAAGCAATTATGGAAAAGACCAATCCATCACAAGACGGTCGCAAAGCATACAGAAATATAAACCAAGGCATCATGTAGAATGTAAATGATTAGGTGATTAGATGATACGGTGAGTTTTAGCCAACATTAAAATGCGGTATGATTGGAAAGACACGTAACTCAGGTACCTAAGTACCGACCCAACATCGTATTGTCGATGGGATATGCACTAACCCAAAACGGACACACGCCAACTTCAGTCAACATCAAACCTCACAATAAACCGATACTGAGGCGCATACGCGACAGATCGCGCCCACGCCAAAGAATGAAGCCAGGAAGTAAACACGCAACACTCATTCCCATTGCCATCGTACTTGAAGCAAACAGAGACGACACGCGATCACGATAGTCACAAACACAATGCATGGCAAATTTTGAAGGATTATGCTGGTATCATTCCATGAGGTGGACCCTAACCGTGAACTCCGAAGCAGCCTATGATACAGGCGAGGCCCTAACCGATCCCACCCAGCACCAGACGAGCCCTCCACGTTGTGGAAGAAAAAGGGCAAGTCAAAAAGTCATGACGAAAAACATAAATACAAGACGCTTAACCACCGAAACCGTAGAGGGTACGGCCTTGTCGCTTGAGGGCGTAGACGACATCGAGGGAAGTGACAGTCTTCCTCTTTGCGTGCTCAGTGTATGTGACAGCATCACGGATGACACCCTCGAGGAAGGTCTTGAGAACACCACGGGTCTCCTCGTAGATCACTGGAAATGTCGGGTTAGCGAGAGTTGAAAGGAAGAATGGTTGGAGTGAAGTGAGGACATACTGGCTGAGATACGCTTGACACCACCACGACGAGCGAGACGACGGATAGCGGGCTTGGTTATACCCTGGATGTTGTCACGAAGAATCTTGCGATGACGCTTGGCACCACCCTTGCCGAGACCCTTGCCACCTTTGCCGCCTGAGAGGACGCGTTAGTAAAAGATGAAGCTGTGGATGGATAGATCTGGATAGATCAAGAGGAGATAGAGGGAGGAGGGATGATTAACGTACGTCCAGTCATGTTGATAGAGTGAAGTGTGAAGTTGGAGAAGTGGGAGTTGTTATTGTGGAGAGGACGCGTAAAGAAGAATACGCGTTCTGGTTGAGTGGTGGATTGGTATTGTGTTGGGGTAAGAGTGGTTGATGAGAGAGAGAGGTGTTGGGCAGGGCGGCGGGCGGCGGCTTATATGGGGATGGGTTGAATGTTTGTGATCTGGGAGTGGACGCGTCGAAGCGGGTGTTTGGGAAGGAAGGAAGGAGGGAGGGAGGGGGAGATCAGAACGCATTGGCCACTTGCCGTACCTGCTCCTGCCACGCCTCACCCAGTTCAGTCACAGTGTTCCCAAAAACCGGGACTAAACCCGAACCGGGGACTTGCACACGCCCACTCGCCTTGTTGTGTTCGTTCTTTCTCTCTCTCTCTCTCTCTCTCTCTCGCGTGTGAGTGCGCGCGCGTCAGTCAGTCTCCCAGTCCCAGTCGTATTACCGGTTTCACTCTACTAGGTAGTTACCCACACAGCACACACAGTAAGCTACTACCTACTAGTCTACCTAACGAGTTATTACTCACATTATCCTCTCCCACTCTCCCCCCCAGCCACTCTTACCTCCAGAGCCAAGCCAAGCCCAAAACAAGAACCACCAAAACCACGCTAAGCGAAACTGTCGCAGACTGATTGTTGATTGTGATCTCGCGCAGTCGCCCCCCAACGTCCCTCCGTACTTAAACCCTCGCTCCACCCACCTTTTCGCTTTCTCATCCGCCACTCATCCAACCAACCACCACTCCCACTACCCACCCACTTCCCATCACCACTTCCATCATCAACAACCTCATCTTCATCAACAACCACAATGGTAAGTCATCCTCCAACTCTTTATCCTTCTTTCATCACTATCGTCGACCTCTTCGACAGTGATTCTCATCATCATCGTCATCTTCTTCTCTCACCCTCACTCTCATCTCCATCCTTCCCAATAGTATCATCATCTAACATCAACCTCCACAGGCCCGCACCAAGCAGACCGCCCGTAAGTCCACTGGTGGCAAGGCTCCTCGCAAGCAGCTTGCATCCAAGGCTGCCCGCAAGTCCGCCCCGTCTACCGGTGGTGTCAAGAAGCCTCACCGCTACAAGCCTGGTACCGTCGCTCTCCGTGAGATCCGTCGCTACCAGAAGTCGACCGAGCTCTTGATCCGCAAGCTCCCCTTCCAGCGTCTCGTTCGTGAAATCGCTCAGGATTTCAAGTCCGATCTCCGCTTCCAGTCTTCTGCCATCGGTGCCCTCCAGGTAAGCACACTCTCACTCACCTCTCGCACCATCACATTCTAACAATCGCATAGGAATCCGTTGAGGCCTACCTCGTCAGCCTTTTCGAGGATACCAACCTCTGCGCCATCCACGCCAAGCGTGTCACTATCCAGTCCAAGGACATCCAGCTTGCCCGCCGCCTCCGTGGTGAGCGCGGTTAAGCGTGTCGCTCTTCTCATCATGCCTGACACACAGTCAATGACCCTCTCCCGGGTTGCGCGAATGTCGACGGGTCTGGTATTTGTTTAGGCGTTTTCATGGGTTCAATGGTCATGGGTTCACGGGTTCACGGGTGCACTGAGTTGGTGCCAAATGTATATTCCCCATAATCAGTGAAAATTCACTGTATGCAACGACGATCTTTGATCGGCTCTTACTTCATAATCTCGCCTTACATTGCTCGTGATGCTTTCTGAATCTCTTGTGACACAGTCGCTCGTTCTAAAATAGAAACAATGGACACTCCTTTTTCAACGCATCGCACATGTTGACTCGAACACATTGACTGATTTCCTGCACCATAGCGTGATTTCGCACTCGTCTCGCATATCTATGACGCACGTTGTACCGAGATGGTCCACAACATTCCGCCGCCTCAGCATTTTCCATCTCACTGCTCTTCTGGTGAAAAATCCATCGCGCATCTTCCGTATCCTGTGCTGTGAAAGATCATAGGTACGATCTTGAGTAAATGTCGTGGTCTACCGAATTGAGATCGTGGGCGTCCCCAGAAGCGCTGGCAGTTGCAGCGCCTCCCGTCATCGGACAGGAAGCGCCGAGGACACCAGTATTCGAGGTGCCTCATCCAGGTACAGGAGCTGCTGTTATCACCTTTCTCAGGCACTGTGGCTGTCCATGTAAGAGCATATGGAAAATCTACGGAGTATCTACGACAGAACTGACTGCCAGCTAAGTCGCCGAGAAGACATTTCAGTGTATGCGCGACGCGGCGAATAGACATAGGGACATAAACTTCATCGCCGTGTCACATAGTGATAGAGACTCTACAGACCGTTGGATTGCCGCTGTAGGCGGCCGAGGGCATGTTCAGATTGCGGTTGACCCGAAGCGCGAGTCATACGCAGCATGGGGCCTCAATGTATCCAGTTTCTGGCATGTCTTGAGCCCTTGGAGTCTCTTCTCGGTCTACCAGCTGGGCTCGCGAGAGGGCATCTGGAATCGGCCCACGGAGAGCGGAACACGGTGGCAGAGCTCTGGGACATTCGCCGTTGACTCAGAGGGCATTGTGAGATGGGCTGGACCTGCTACTAGTGCAGACGATATTCCTGCCTTTGAGGAAGTACTGGAAGCATTGGGGGGCATTCGTAGGGAATAGTACGAGTACATGTACCTTAATTATTATGGGTAACTGGATGCTGGAGGTGCCTCAGCCAGTAACGGTGTTAGTAGCAAACCATTTGTTCAGACCAAACTGAGCGACTAGAATGTATTTATTAAATAGTTCTGAGGGTATGTACTAATAATGAGACCTGTGACATCGCTCTGCTGTCTGTTGATGACCGTATGGCGTACCCTAATAACGTCGGATGGCGCGATAATGGGCAATCGCGGTAACGTGATTGGCCATAACGACCCGATGTCATGAAATCATCCATGCTTCGCGTGTCGCGGTGTCGCGGTAGCGGAAACATCAGCACCGCATCGCACCGTGCGACCATTTACGAGTACCATATGCACCAACCCTTTTGAATAGGATGATGGCATGGCCACTTCCCAAACACCAAAACGGAAATTATTGCAACTCAAGGTCGGATATGATCCTGATAATTGCGATCAACCCAGTCCTGCTGGTAGCGACTACGGTTCGGATTTCGATCTAGAGGAAGAGGCTCTGATCGAAGATATCTTTGCGCAACTATCTGGCCCCGTTACCTCAGAAGGAGCTGCGTTCAAGCTTGCCACACGTCACAATCTGGGAAATGCAGACCCACCCGCCCCTGATCAGATTCAAAACACCGCTCCAACATCAGCATTCACTCTTCAGCTTGAGCACACTTCCGTCGCAAAGTCTTCGATATGCAAGTCGCGTTGCCCATCGGTCGAAACAGAATACGCCTCTGTTTCCCGGAACCTCTGGAATGGTATGTATGATATCGCCCAACTAGGTCTGCATCTAGTGACCCGGAACTAACTGAATTACTGACAGCGTCTAGTCCCGGATAAAGGGTCGAATACACCCTCTCAGAAGTCGCTCCAAAGATCGCAAGAACAAGACGAAGCGAGGTCTCCCCTCGAACGTTTTCGAGTAAAGCCAAAGAAACCGTTGTCTGTCACTGACCTCGTCTCGCCGGCATGGTGTGAATTACAGTACTGGTACACATTGACCAGATTTGGACGAAAGCCACAAACGGAGGCGATGAGACAAGGATCCAAGGTGCACAAAACCTTGGAAGAGCAGGTGCATTCATTCATACCTGTGCGTGTCGAAAGTAAAGAGGATGCCTTCGGACTTCGAATGTGGAATACAATACAAGGTCTGCGGACCTTGCAGGAATTTGGCTTTACACGCGAACTGGAAGTCTGGGGCACGGTTCACGGACAGGTGGTCAACGGTGTAATCGACGAGATATCGTACGCCTGCCCAGACCCTGAACTGGAGGAGGGTCTTGAGCAGTCGAAAGTGGATGAGCATTCACATCAGTCGGATCCACATCGGACAAATGCAGTGGAAGGTTGCCCTGCTAGGGAAACACCCGAAATCCCTAGCATGATTCCCACTCGTTCCACTAGAAGAGTATACATAACGGATGTTAAGACCAGAGGCGTGAGGTCATTGCCAATCGGCGCGAGGCTGAGGCCAACGCGAATGCAGCTCATGCTTTACCATACAATTCTAGGGTCTCTCGTAGCAGGTACTGTAGATCCTCACATTGTACTAGAGCGGTACAGTCTTCAGCCCCACCAAGACTTATCTGCGACCCTCATTCAAGAGTTCGAAGGGCTGGAGCTTTCACCGGACGAAATCAAGCACTGTAACCACCCGACAGTTGGATCAGAGCGGAATTACACCTTGTCTATTCTCTGGGACATGATGGTGGCTGAGTGCAGGAGGTCCATCAGCGACATCAGCGACATCATGCGAGCGGAATTCCGCCTCAATACGACGGGGGATGTGATTGGAAATGAGATCTTCGTATTTGACGAGAAGGCTCTTGAGAGCTACGTGAGCGACGGAATGGCATGGTGGAAAGGGGAGCGAGCTGCCAGGGGAGTCGAAATCGAAGAAGCGTACAAGTGTAGAACATGTACCTTTGCTGATGAGTGTTCATGGAGGAAGATAAAGATTGAAGAAGCCACAGAGAGACATAAACTCAGGAGGGCTACTAGAGATCGATCAATCATATGAGTTTGCTCCTCCTTTACCACCCAAGACTTGAAACAACGCACTCGCGTATAAGTCCACTGCCATCTCAGATACAAATGAACTTGTTGAATCATTGTCCAGCGAATCATTGCATTTCGCGGTGGTGCAAATTGTCTTCCGCCAATATTCGGGATCATGATGTAGGTTTCCTATTATGTACATGCAGCAGTGTAGATATATACCAGAAATCACACTGTCTCAGAAGTTCAGGCTTTGTCCGCAAGGATAAACTGTTCGCTAAGATCGGCAAATTCACTGTGTAGAGACTCATGATTCTCTTGTCCACTAGGCACCGGATATGGTCCATATCCCGGGCATGGGAATTTGGGAGTCCCGTCGTCGTTCCACCCGAACTTCTGTGTTCTAATGGATCTTGCGCCCCACCCATTTGAAGGATCCTTCATGCCGTGATACACGATCCAATCCTCTGTCCCGTCGGGACTCTGCACAAAACTGGCATGCCCGACGCCATAAGCGTCCTCTTCGGGATTTTGGTGAAAAACACATCCATCATTCTTCTTGCGCCAATCTTTAGGGTCCATAGGATCCTTACCGATTAGTTCCAACTGACCAAGACAGTAATTGCGATTGTCGGACCGGGCGGCAGAGTAAACCACAAAGACCTGACCGGTCTTTGGGTTCGTTAGCTGTTGTGGACCTTCGTTGGAGCTCAATCGATCGTTCACGGTGCGTCCATAAGGGGTTTTTTCCCATGCATTGGTGGGCGCCGATATTATCTGCCTTTCTGACAGGCTTGATGTCACAGTCCATGGGTTGGCCATCCTCGTTATGCAGAGATTTGCGGGCCAGCCGTCATAGGAATGGTGCCAACAGCTATATATGTGGTAAAGACGATCTTCATGATGGAAGTAGGTTCCATCAATGGCAAACTGATCGTAGGTCTCAAGCTGGGCCTTGTAGGAAAATTGTGCAGACCAAGGATTCGACCCGACACCTTCTAGAACGAACATGCGGTGGTGCACTGCTGGACAATTCCACTCGCAGAGTGCATCCGTATCCGGCGGAGGAGAGTCATAGTTGGGATCTGCGGTGAAGATGACGTACCATTTACCAGCAATCGAGTGTACTTCCGGTGCCCAGAGATCCGTGGAATAATTCTGGCCAGGCAACGGTTTGAAGATGATCTTTCTTTCCGCATTGTTCCAGTCTCTATGCTCCATTAGTAATGACCGGGTGTGTTTATGTATCGGTCTGGATATGCTTTTACGTGAGGGTCTGACTTCGCATGAGCGTGATATCATTGTTTGTTGTATAAGTCATATAATAGTATGAGTCATGCCTAATAACCCAACTGCAGCAGTCAGTATGGGTACACAAAAGTTATAACTCATGCCACTCTTCATTCGCATTATGCATACTCACGGATCTGCGCCTGCTTCATCCAAGATTGGATTGGTGAAACTAGCGGTACCAGCAGAAGCTAGGTCTGCACAAAGGCGAAGGAGACTCAAAATGATAAAGCTGGCATTTCTCACGAACATGCCGGGCAGAACGTGACAATAATGAGTATGTGTAGATTTGGGCGGAAGGCAGAGGAGAGATGTGTGCGCGGCGGTTTGGGGGACAGCGAGCGTCGTGTGAAAATGTACTAGTAAGTGGGAGCTTCAACTAGACTTGCCACTCTATAGCCTTGTTTAGATATAAATTTACAAGAAGAGTGATAATGCGATCATGAAGCAACGTCAACCATATATTACTCGTATGTACTCAAGGAATGCAACATGTATGGAGGAATACTAGAGCCAATGAGATAAATCTTCCCCACGTTCAAAGTCCGGCATCCGTGTCGGGCACAGACCATTCAACCATGGCGCGTGAGCGCGCGCCTACCTATGCTTGGCAGAAATGTTTCCAACCAAACCACCGACGACTTATTACGACATCGCTCACACCTTCAGCAATTCCCTCTATCTGTAAGCTATAATCCTGTGCTCTCTTCTTCACTGACTGACTCGAAAGAAAGTACCGAAAACCTCATTGCCCGAGGCCTTCCTGTATTTTCTTATCACTGCACCTTTACCTGACCGTACACATGCTCCTACAGCCTGCCGCAAATCCAGGTTCTCCGTTCGCAGTCTGATCGTGTGCTCTCTGCCTCATCCACCGTCATGGACAACCAGCAGTTTCGACGCTTGCTGCTTGCCAACAGCCAGAAAAGCCATGATAGCCAAAATCACAAACCTCCGCCGCCAGCAACGTCGACATCTACGTTGGGCTCACGCAAGCATTCCAACATCCCTATGACCCCACGTCAAGTGGGCCGATCTTCAGTGAATTCTGATTTCGCTCGACAATTGGCTGAACGTAATGCCAGAGGTGCTCATACGAAGAAATGGAAGTCATCGGCACCCAAGGGCGTCAAGCTGGCTGCTGGCTACATCGACCGCACAAAGTTGCGTACAGATGACGACACGGGAGAATTGGCCCAGCGCGTCAAAGCACTAGAAGAAGCGATGAAGCTTGGGCAGATTGACCGCGACACTTTCGATAAGCTCGTCCAAGAGATAACAGATGGTGATATTGATTCCACACATTACGTGAAGGGGCTGGACCGGAAACTGTTGGATCGCATTCGAAAAGGCGAAGACGTGCACGATAGTGCAAAACGGAGCGCGGTGACTCAAGAAGACAAGTCTGACCTTGAAGACGAGTTCGATGAGATTGAGCAACGGGAGCTGGTTCCTTTGAGCAAGGAGGAGATTGAGAAGAAAGGCGAGACCGCACCGCTAGCACCTGTCGCAGGAGCCAAAAGAAACAGGGATGCAATTTTAGCGGAACTCAAAGCGCAGAGAAAGGCAGCCATGGAAGCAGAGGAAGCTGAGCGTGAGAAACATTTTCCTTCTTTAGGACCTGGATTTCGCAAGGTGGGATTCAATGGTGAGACAACAAGGATCGAGGTAGACTCGAAGGGACGTGAGGTACTGATCATCACCGATGCAAACGGTAAGGAGAAGCGAAAGGTCAGGAAAAAGAAAACAGAAGAAACCGTCCCAGAACCACGCTATGACTTGGACGAACCTTCAAACCCAATCAAAATACCCGAGGCACCTGCAGAGACAGAATCCGAAGATGAAGATATCTTCGCTGGGGTAGGGTCGAGCTATAATCCGTTAGTGGACATAGAAGACGGAGATGATTCTTCGTCTGAGGGTGCGACCTCCGATCTTGAAGTCGCAGGTGAAGCAACAAAAGTGAAGCATAAAGGTCAGGAAGCCGTGAAAAGTACTGGAAATGAGGCGTCTCCGTCGACTTCTACATCAATGTTACCCGAACCTTTACCACGTCGCAATTACTTCGGTAGCACTCCCGAATCGACGACATCAAGGCCCTCGGCCGGCGATGCTACTGTCCTTGCAGCACTTAAAAAGGTTCGCACGATGGACCCATCTTCTACTCTTCTCCAAACCGATGAAGAAGCACGCCTCCAGAAGCGAGCGAAAATGCTTGCCGCTAACGATCGTGATATGGAGGATATAGATATGGGATTCGGTAGCAGCCGTTTTGATGATGCCGAGGAGATGGAACGAGACGGCGAAGCTGTCAAGTTCTCGGAATGGAAAGGTTTGGGAGCCGAGGATGAGGACGACGAAGGTGATGGGAGAGGAAGGGGTGCTAGCAAAAGGAAGAGAGGCCCGAAAAAGAAGAAGGGTGACAAGCACAGTGCTCTTGATGTTATGAAAGTAATGGACAGGCAAAAGGAGAACAAGACCCTGGGTTGAGTATTTGCATGCGGTTAATGAGTTTATAAATACCCTCGAGCATATACAAACAGCTCCTTCGCATCTTTCATGGTGTGAAGCCATCATAACTCGTTCATTGTCTAGTGGTGTGTTTGCACTGCATTTATTATACATAATTTCGATCCGCTACCTCTTGTGAAGGGACCTGTAAGCAGCACTCATGCTCAGGGTCGTTCTGCCACGCCCTGTCATTCGGAGACAGTTCGACAATGCCTGGTTCTGTCCAGTAGACCTTCACTCGAGATCCGCTGTGACGTTAGAGAACTCTCCCTTCTCCAACTTCGTCTTCCAGAAGATGGGGTTGGTGTCATTGAAACCATGCTTGACCCAGCCATCCTCCTTCACATGGTACAGATTGATGAAGCCACCAGAGTAGGCGTCACGGTGAGTGGCCGCAAGGATGCTACGTCGTCCGAGCTCCAACGCGTCCTCATCTGACAGATCATATTTGTATTGTGCATCAAGCACACCATATGCGAAAGTCTGACCCGAACCGACGCAGAAAAGGTTGCCTGCTAAACGCGTACCATCGCTATCGATGTAGTAAAGGGCTGGTCCCTCTTGAGGGGTTACACCCGCGCACATTGTACCCTGTCACCGTGTCAATAAAAAGCAAACATGATTATGAATATCTCAAATACCATGCTCAGACCCATGCCCTTATAAGAGTACACTAGGTTCGCGAGGATTTTGGAAGCAGCGGCAACAGAAATGCGACGCTTATGCCGAAGCTCGTGGAGGCGACATTGCATACCCAAATAGGCTAACCAGTATTGACAGTCCTACCTCTAAGTAAGTCTATCATCTCTGCATCGATGGCATATACTTACTGCAGCGCCTCCGGCCATGGTGCCCAATAGACAACTGTTAATCTCTATGACCTTTTTTACTGTTTGACTTGCTATCCAGTTTCCTGCCGTAGCCCTAGAGTCCGTAGCCACGATAATTCCGCCTTTGAATCGGAATGCGAGGGTTGTCGTGCCATGAGCGATCTTTATGGGGCAGTTTGGATTCGAGTAATCGTCTGTCATAGCGCGTAGCCATGATGAAGCCTACACGATGGATAGAATCAGTAAGTAGCTGTAACAATAGGTATGTGATAATAATTATAAGTGCTGCAGCATACCTGGGCGACTGGAGGCAAAGCAAACTTGAGGGACAGCTCTGGGTTTCCGAGAGAGAGCTCCAGCTGCTCCTCTGGCGACTGTCCCTCATCAGCGTGCGCTGGACGAGTGTATTGGGCGACTAGCGAATCCATATATTCGGAAGTGCGGGCGTGATCTAGTCGGAAGAGGATGTAGGTATTAAGAAATCAGTTTGGGTATGTCTCTCGAAAGTAGATGTTTAGAAGTTGTGGTTACTTGTGTTGCAGGAGCTACACAGTACGGACATGCTTGCTTGGCGGGGCGCGCACGGACCCGGCGTATTGTCGTCGTCACTGGCCTGGCTGCCTTCCACAGGATGGCAAAGTGGTAAGTATAGAGTACCTAGGTATTCACCTACCATTCTACGTATGATAGCTGCTTATGTTCCTTATTTATTAACTATTATTAACTTGCTATCAATCGACTATATCTCAAAGCCGCCTACGAGGTGTATCCCCCAATCCCCCTCTAATGTTGTACCATAAAAGCTTTATAAGTTTATAGTCGTTCACCTGCGGGACTTTGTCACGTCGGTCTAAATGTATGCGCAAGCACAATGGAATCGATCCGAGGAATTCATGGTTTTAGTTACGGCTTCACCAGTGAATATTACATTGTAGCATGTTTCTTAGACTCGGCAAGACATTCGTTGTGTGCATGTAGCCATTTGATTCATTCTATCATGTGCCAGATCTCGAGCTCATGTCATGTAAGACATTGTCGAGCAGTTGACCAGATATCCTTACCAGCTCGAGCAATCACCCCAATCATGCCAAAAACGAAACAAGTCCCCTCTTGCTGATATTGAATAACCTGTCGGCCGTCTCAATGCCCGTATACTATCATCATTTGCGAAGACCGGAGACGTCTACGTGACCAGCTTTTGGAACAGCATGCACCTTGAATTTGACTAGCAGAGAAAGAGGTAGAATGAGTTGAAGAAATGAGATATAGAGAGAAGGTCTGCATTCTCTAAAGATTCTTTGTTCTTGATGTTTGGTATGAACCACATACCTTCACTACAACTCCATCAAGTGTCCAGTCAACCATTAGCCAGAAAACCAACTCCTTCTTCTACCTTTATCGGCATACCACGAACCTGGCCTGGATCATTCGATATTACAGGTGCTTTTTGATTCCCTGAAAGTACCATGTGTTGGATTACTTTACTGCCGAAGCGCAAGCAAGTCCCCAAGGGCGGGCTCCACCACCATGATGATCCGAATCGTCACAGCCACAGAAATTATATTCTTCTGAATGAGAGAGGCACATCTCATATAAGACATATTCGTGGAATTGAACGCTCCCTTGTTCCAAGCTTATGTGCTCACGAGCACGAACAATACGACGATCGGAAATTCGATAAAACGGAACCACTCTCGCGCCACAACTTTCAACCTCACCTCTTAGCTCACTCTCGTCGTGTACACAACGGAAAGTTGCATGGCAGTGGTAAAAAGCGAGCCCGAAATTTTGATCAACAGGAAATCCGTACTTCCTCACTTCAAAGGGCAAGGGATTCCTTCCAGCCTGTTAGCACCGGGTTTCAGCCACGGCCTATTTATGCGCCCATAACACCGCTGCAGACACCTGCAATCATGGCACCATCATCCGAACGGGTCCGCCAGGTAACGCGTGCAGCCCTCCAGGAACAAAGGTCAGGAAGAGTCAGGAACTTACGAAGGGTGGCTGGTTACGATATCTTGAGTAGCGATGTGCCGTGGGACTGGAATTGTGTAATCAGTACCGATGCGACTGTTCCAGCAAAATCTAGTGATCGATTTCCGGGAAAACCGACCAAGAAAGAGCTCGGCTATCCGCCATTCGGGCATATGAGCTCATGGATGTAGCGGCAGATAAGAATAGGACCAACATCGATGGTGAGGGTGCAGCTATACCAATGGGCCTTTGATATATATGATACTATCGCTATCACTGCACGAGCGCATGTCGACGAACGTAAGGCGAAAGTTCAATGTCATGCACTGACGATGCATTTGATTTAGAGATTCGGTCTTGTATAGTTCGACTTTGAGTTAGTTTCAAAGCTATCCAAGGGGTAGAAAGTTTAATAATATCATGGTTAGTTCTTCAATCAGTGTTGGGAGATTTGAGTCTACACTAGACATAAATATGCATGATAGTTTTCAGAAATGGACTATCTCAGTTATGTTGTTTACTTGCATGTATCCAGTGTCATTAGATTCCTGCACCACTTGGGAAACCCAAAACCCATTTATGATCTGGTCTTGACTTTCACCTGTTTATATAGCGAAAATATTTGAGTGTTGCTTTGTAACAAGGAGCACACTACGCATTGACGATTGGTGTTGTGTTATTTTACATAACATGTCCAATGTGTGTTGAAGGCTACTCTTATAGAATCAAGGGTTTGAACAGAAACATACTAATCCAGCAATGCTGGCATTACGTTCATGTTCGCCGCAGTTGAACGCCAACAGCCTTGCAAACATCTCGAGGATCCCAATTGGGACACTAATTGGATAGTAAATTATACCTGAAGGGGTATATAATAACGCATGAAACGCCACAAGTCCTTGATGCAAATAAAGGGATACCTGGACCTGAGTATTTGACCCCAAACTCCGTAAATGATTAAACGCAAGCCCAAAATTGAGGATAACAAATTAAACGATAAGGAAGGAAAACGAATGCACACGAACATCATTTGCTGCGCCGCCTTAGTCCGTGCTCCTCGATTTGCAATTGCATTGCAAGCGCTAAGCTTGCTTTGTCTTCTTTATTGCCTAGAGCCGGTGAGGTAGAGGGTGGCTTGACCTCCGAGCCTAGCTCAAGCTTCGCAGTGCTATTTTGTCGTTTCTTTGCAGACTTCGTGACATGGCTGACGTAACAATGCTCAGAAGGTGAGCGCCTTGTTCCCTGGGGATGGCCATTAGCTCGGGAAGAACGTGGCCTTCTTGAAAAGGAGTCATCGTTTTCGTTCTTAACCGGCCGATGGGAAGGAGAAGTGCTCAGTAGTCCTGCAATAGGTGGTGGAGTTACAGTAGGAATAGCCTTCTGGACCGCATTATCGCAGTCTTTTCGGATGGAGGTTGGCGTCGAAGGTCGTGCACCAAGAAATTGAGGATCGATAGGCTCTGCTTGTGATATACCGTCCGATGAACCCTCCGGATGAACCTCAATAGATGAAACAATGGTATCATATGTGGTTGTGGTATCTCGAGACGTTTGTTCTTCGTTGAGACCATCGCTCGATAGCTGGGGGTCGATGGGAAAGCCGCCATCTGTAGACGCCAGAGTTAGGGCCTGCTGTGCAGAATGCACTGCCACGTCGTCGTTGTAATCTTGCTGCGATTGAGGGCGAGCGAGAGGATAGCGGTTGTAATGTGACACCTCCCCATTGATGATGCCAGCGAAAGAATCTCCTTTCAACTTCTTGTTGAGAGCTTCTCCTTCGTCGTTATCGCCACTGATACGGCGCTTCTTGGACATAGACCCTCTGGGTACCGGTGTTTCGGACGCCTTGATAGGATCAATATTGCCATTTTCATCGTGTATACACCGACGCTAGATGAGGTCAGTTTCTGTCTTGCGGGTGAGAGATGGTGGAAAGCTTACCTTGCTTTTACGGCAATCTGCACAGGCCTTGACACGGTTGGACTTGTTTGCCCACGCTTCTGGGTTGATTTCCGTAGAAATCGGAGTTCCAGTTAGTATTGAGCGGGGTTCACTTGCAGGTAATTGGAGGGGCGGCATTGTGATGCTTTCAGCGTCGCTCTGGCGTCGCTTTGCCAGAACAGCTAGCGAGGCGGACGCTGGTGAGCTTGAGACTGATGGCGCAACACTTATGGCCTCATTGGTAGTTACACCAGTTCTTGGCGACTCCACGAGGTCATCTTTATGTTTGCAGCGAATCCGCCGTTTCCTGCAGGCATCACATGCGATGCGTTTGGGGCCAAGCTGGGAGGTTTTTGGAGTAGTAACGTGCTCTCGCGATGGCCGCAGAAACCCTGTCAATGGAAGTACAGAAGCGTCAGATGCAGTCAAAGAAGGTTGAACATCATTCTCTGTATGTGCCAATGGCGGCGATGGCTCCGAGCCTCGTGTCCGCACGTTCCGTGATAAACCCGACTTCAGCGTTTCTCGCAATGCCTCGCGCTCCATTCGTTTTATCTGTGCCGCACTAGTTTTTTTCTCGCCCTTTGGATCAGCCACTTCTGGCAGAGGGGCATCCGGATGGGCCCATGTTGGAATACTCTCGTTGCCTCTCTTCCAAGCCACCCAAACCGCGAACCGTTGTGCGAGAGCCAAAGGCTCACCTTGTCCTTTGGGTATAGATTTCGTAACAGCGTTACGGACAACTTGGGTGATACCATCGATTTTGCCTAGAGATATCAAAACGGTCCTCCAAATATATCTGGAAAGTTCTGGCAGACCATCGAGTTCGGCCTTGGAGTAATAGCGTCTATTGTAATTTTCGGCGCCCAGGTGAGAATTGTGGCCGAATTTCCCAGTCTCGCAGTAGATGGGTACGCTCCGCGGGAAGTGACTGCCATCGAGTAGCATGGTCTCAACTGATGGAGGGATAGGGTCATCCTTTAAGTATTGTAGGAGGGAAAGCCACATAATCTTTTGGAAGAATGGGTAGCGGAATTTCGGCGCTACCTTGGTGTTCTTCTCGATCTCCACGACCTTGATCTGCATCCCGTAGTGAACTCGGGTCAGATAGTTACCTCCAATTACGAGACTATCTTCAGGAGTCCAGACCGCATGTATCCAACCCGACGGGATCAGCATGGTATCCCCAGGAAAGAGATCGACTCGGTAGCATTCCTTTACTTGTTGCCCCAGAAATTCGTGACTCTGTTTTGGGGACAGGCACCACTCCTCATACTTCTTCAAGTTTTGTTTGGTCGGCTGAATGAAGAAAAATGTTTTTCTCCCTTTAACGATGTGATAGTAGACAGAGGAGCCCCCGAAGTCAATGTGGAAATCGGTATAGCAATCTGCAACTGACATAAGGCAGTAGAACTGGACTGGAGGAGCATTGTTCTTATCGTCTTCAGGCCAGACAGAGTCTTGAAGATCCATGTCTCTCACCACTTTGGGACGACGAATGAGCCTACCGAGCTTGCTACGTGAAACTTCCAGGCTGATGACATTGCGCACGGGCTTTTCGCCTTGTTGTTCGTAGTAATCAGCCCATTTGGCCATTGTCCATCGCTTGTCTTCGCCTTCTTGTGCCTTGACGTCGATGACAGGAACCCGTTCGTGTGGCCCATACAAGTCAGATACTCTGCGGACTGTCAAGCCATCTGGTATGACCATATCAATCCGATCCTGTCCATCGTTTGGAACGAGCTCGCAATCATAGTGTTCTTCAAGCCGATGATCTGGCCGTTCTTTGATGCTGGCATCAACATTGCTTTCCATTTTACTGGGCCGAGGATTGTGAGAAGCAGGAATTACGACGGGTTCAGTGAATGCGCACAGCTTCTCTAAAAAATCGGCGTGTACACATTCAGCAGGGAGACGAGCAAAGGATTCTGGGGTGAACTCCATATCGCCATTTTTGAAAGCCTGGATGTAGTGATGCTCTGGATTGTCATCGGAAGTCTTCAATATTCCTTCGTTTAGTCCAGCATAGTCAACAGCAGTGTGAGCTCTACCCGACTTGCGCACTTCTGAATGAATATTAGCATATTTATGTATACCAGGCCGAGATAACGTACTCGTAGTATCGCCGTATTTTGGTTTGCAGGTATTGCAGTAGAACTTATCAATCTCTCTCACTTCACGTTCGCTCTTGAAGCCTGCGCAAACGAAGTGAAACCACCCTTTGCAGCCATCACAACTGATCCACTGTTCTCCGTCTCCAATCATGGTATCTGATTCACTGGAGCGGCAGCCGGCGCAAATCGTGGCTTGGCCAAATGTCTCATCCTGATGATTTGTCTGGTTGTCCACCGTCGTTCGAGGCATGCCATTGTTCTCGATTTGTTGAACGGGAACAGATCGTGCACGGGAAATGGCGACGGGGGGTTCGTGGTCTTGACCTGAGCGATTTAATAATGTAGAATGCGAGAATCTTCGAGCATGTAACCCCGATTCCTGCAAGGTGTGAGTAGCTAGAGAATTGCCACCATAATTGGAACGAAGCGTGTCTGTTCTGTCAGCCGGAAGGCTCTGCGGGGATTGAAGTTGGTCCTGCGCCATTGCTGTACCACTTGTTGGTGCCAGCGGTGGCGAAGTTTTGGGCTTTGGTGTAGACTTTTTACGCCTACTGGTCCCCGAACTTGTACGGGGCCCACGAGGTTTCCCCTTTGGCCAACCTTGATGCCTCTTCGGCTTTTTATCCTCGATAGCCTGGGAAACAGCTTCTGTTCGACGTATTGTAATGCCTATTGAATCATCGGGTGGTGTGTGCGTTTGGATGGTTGTACTTGTGCCAGTTTCATCTACTTTCACAACGGGAACGGATTGGCCATTGGAGGTGGGAACAATCTCAAATGGGGCTGGACCAAACCCATAAACTGGCGGATCCGTCTTGGAGGCCCTCGCTTCCTGCAATATGCCGGTATCATTAAGGTGTTGATTGTGCGAAATGACGACGGTATTGTGAAGGGCATGGGGTTGGGCATGCGGAATTTGCGAAGAGCTGATCGCATGGTGAAAATCAAGGAGCAATTGCGCATCCGACAACCTTTTGGCGGTACTCTCTTCCGGTGCGCGAACCGTGGCCGAGTTAGAATGGTATATATGCATGTCTTGATCCACCATTTGCTCGACGTTGTAGGACCATGACGGCCCATGACTAGTAGCGGGACGTGAGGAATGCGGTCCATGATTTTGAGGAGACAGCATAAATTCGGAACGGGCACGTTTTGAAGGCCTGTCACTATAGGAAAAGACATTTCCCTCAACTGGCGCGCGAGATGACGCAGTGAGAGCGGGCGCATTTCGGTCGGTGACGGCACGCAAAGGGGAATCAGGACCCTGAGGACGACGCCGCCCTGAGATAGAAGAAGAATGATCGGGGTGAATTGACGAGGTGGCAGCGCTTGCTAGTGTTTCTATCGGAGATCCCAGTGCAGGTTCGATGTGTGTTTGCGAGCGCTGGTGAGGCACCGAGCTTAGAGGCGAAGAGTAGGACCCGGCTGGAGGGCTCAGGAGCAAGCTAGATGGACGCGCTTCATCGCGGTAAAGTGTATGATGCGTGACTACATATGTATTGTTATCCTGGGCCCGGGTAACGAGCTTGCCGCCGGCGGGGTCTGCTGAAGCAGGTTGTATAGGATACAGCACGGGCGACAGCGGTTCGTAGGTCGGCGGTGGAGGAGTAGCAGAACGCAGCGGGGTTTGCCTGTACTGCGATTTGAAGGAGGAAACCCTCATTGTGAATGACTGCGAGTACGGCGCGTTGATTGAAGGGAGAAGGTATCTGATCGTCGGAGGTGCGGTCTCGAAGCAGGCGTCTCAGGTGGACTACAGGCCAGCGGCGCTGGCACGACGGACGGTATAGGCGAGCGCCAGAGACAGCATGTCCTTGAGAAGTAGGCGAGAGAAGGGCGAAAAGCGGACGGGAAGTATGTGGTGCTGGTGGTGGGATGGAAGGCGCTGGGTTGGATTGACTGCGGGAATGAGGTCGCGGGGGAATTATTATGGATGGGTCTGTACGTAGGTTGAGCAAGGACCCGCGAACCAGCCAACGGCGCGCAACGCCTGGGCGGGTTGCAGTGATTGTGGGTCGCGTATGCGCGGGACGCAGAGTCGAGAAGCTGAAGAGCAACAATAAAGGAGAGGAGTAATGGGTTGAGAGAGCAATGCGATGCAATGCAATAATGCGGAGGAGGATGGAGTGGAGGAGGGGAGTGATGAGTGAAGGCGCGAGGTCCGCAGCCATTCGCTGGGGAGATCCGGCCTCGACATCAACTCCGTAAGTACCAAAGTACCTAGGTAGAGCACGAGGTAACTAGGCCCCTGGCATATTATGACATTGATACAGCAGCCATTCATGTATTTTGTTTTACTGCACCATCAAATGATTTTTATTATTATATTCATCCTGCGCTATCAGTATTGGATGCTACGAGGTGAAAGTACATTACATGTCTCGTAGGTACCTGGGTACCTAGGTATGTATACCAGTACAACAATCTTGCCTAAACGGGGAGATTCGCCTGATTACATAATGGAGATCTTGCGCATAGGTTCCTTCCCTCATTCACCACCACCACCATCTGAACGCATCCAACTCAATCTTCCCTCTCTCTCCTCGCCCGCCGTTCAACGACCTGCCATCTTCTGAACCTCCATCCAGAAGTACAGTTATTCACATCCACATCTTCCACACGACACCAAAGTATGAGTCGCGGCGGAAAGCTTGCCCCAGAAGTGAACCGGTATGATACCCTGCACCACCTTGGTATGCCGTCCAATACCGCGGACGGTACCTTGCGCGACCCCTGCTAACTTCAATGTGTGACACAGAGCTCTATTCGTGAAGAATCTGAGGTGAGTGGCCTATATTTGTATTTGAAACTTGCGACTGCAGTACACTCACGAACAACTAGCTTCAACGTATCTGCGGAGGAACTCTTTGATCTCTTCGGAAAGTTCGGACCTGTGCGGTAAGCACCTACTCCTGCCAGCCGCCTTCGCCTGGAACTGTGTATACTATAAGGGGACACCAAGCTGACTATCGTTGCAGCCAAATCCGCCAGGGCATTGCCAACAATACCAAAGGCACTGCATTCGTGGTGTATGAGGACGTGATGGATGCGAAGCAAGCCTGCGACAAGCTCAACGGGTTCAACTTTCAGAATCGCTATCTTGTCGGTTCGTGATTCGCTGCTCTAACACGCGGGCTTTTTATGTTAATGATATTACAGTTCTCTACCATCAGCCCGATAAGATGGCAAAGGCGCAGAGTGATCTCGCAGAGCGCCAGCACAACCTCGAAAACCTTAAACGCCAACACGGTATCGATTAGCATGAGGCGAGGCCCACGGAGAAACTAATTACAATACAAGACAAGAGCAATGTCGACTCTCCTGTGGGCCTCAAACGTGCACGACAACCAGCACCGCCGGTGATCACTAGCACACGTACCCCAACGAGCACTTCCATGACGGGAACCCGCATGGCAATGTCGCATCGGGGCTCGAAGCTCCAAGGAAGTCGCACCTGCGACTGGCGGGGCATCAAGCTGCCCACCAAATGGTTATCAAATGGGATACATCGGTTGGCGTTAAAGAGAGCATGATGTTAACGACTTGACGGATAGCTAAGCTTTCATATCGGAGACATTTATAGGGCTCTGGTAACATCGAAGACAACTGAAGATACGTGCCTTCGGTTCATCTTGCGTGGGGTTTGAAGCTGATTCCTTTACTTGCTTGTCATCGAGTCTGGTCTAAGCCAGTGACTCGGCATCGATTAATCAGTCGAATTCAATTCGTTCCCTTACAGCATGAATATCTGCAAATTGCCGTCGCTAATCGAAGATAATTCTCCACAGAGCGCGAGCTCGACCCTTTAGTGATCCCTGGTCATGACAGTTGTTTCCACTTTGACTGCTTGGACGAACTAGGCAAAACTGAATTCAGCGGGTCAATGGTGATAATTAGCTTACTTTTGATACAAGCACTACTGGTGACTGTAGACGACACAACTACTATGAGGCATTCGCTTTTGCGAACGCTGGACTGACGGATCACGAGCAAGTATATGATAAGAATAGGTGCCTCTCAGCTCTCCACGTGCCCACCTAGTAGGTAATTATCTCCTCCCGAAGCTCGGCAGTGATGAGAATAATGTCTGCGCTTGTCCAAGGCTAGATCTTTATATATTCAAGTTATTGAATTTAATTCCTCCGTTCTTTTCTAAATCATATGCGTACTGTGTAGATTCCCCGAGAGATTGATGAGTCTTGCCCATTGAGGTATACCTATGGCACCTTAAGCAATTGGGATGCTGCTAATATTAGTCCGTGCCGTCTCCCCCGAAACTCCGCAGATGTACCTGGAAACAGAGCAACGCGCACCTCCATTACCTGATCCTTATACACAGCTTCATCTGACGCATCGGCGCCTTTCGCATGCGGTACTATATTGCCCAAGCCATGCTCACTTCTGCTTATCATGTTTGTGACTACCTACTTATGAATGGATACAAAGAAACCTTGAAGCTGACCGCACTCAGGATTGACGTACCACGACGTCTGCGTCGCGCAATCCTTTTGAATGACCTCTCTCTTGTCAAGCGAATTATACGCAACAATCCAACTTATCTACGCAATCCAGACTTTGATGATAAAAGCAATACCTCATTGCACCTCGCGGCCAAACATGGGTACATACTGATTGCCGTACGTTCATTCTTACCCCGCAGACGACGCGAATGCAATGGAACGATCAATGACTAAAGCTGCCTACCATAGGAATTTCTCATTGAGTCGGGGCACGAGAATGATCTTCTGAGCAGAAACAATGATTGGGAAACGCCTCTTATGTTGGCCGCACTTGCAGGGAAAGAGGATATGGGTGTCATGCTTGCGAAACGTTTCCCTGAATGTGTACCCTACCGCAACAAGAACGGATTGGACGCGGTAAGACTCAACCCTTCTCTCGAACCCTTCAGGTGGCATTGCTTACCTGTTATAGCTCATGCTCTCGTGTAAATCAGGATCAGGGACACTCCATCTTATTCCCACGCTTCTCAATGTCGCCCCTCAGATACTCACGTCCAGTGATGAAACCGGCAATACTGCTCTGCACCACGCGTCTGCAGCAGGAGAGCTGAAAGCACTCCGAATGCTGCTACAGTATGGGGCTAATCCTTTGGCCCAGAATGCTTACTCATGGACTCCTGTACATTACTCTGCGACACCTGCCGCCGAGGCATACTTTAAGACCTTGATAATCGAGTTCGAGAAGAAGAAAGCGGAGGATGCACGAGAAAAGAAGGAAAGAGAACGACAGCGGAATGCGGGCGTCAGACTTGTCACAAACGAAGAAACTATACAGGGGATGCAGGTTGTGGATGACAGGCTACGAGCGAGGGACGACGCAGCCATCGCCGGTCTGCCAGCCCCTGGCATGGACTGGTCGCCAGTAGAGAGGAGACGTGCAATGACGCCTACAGAAGGAAGAAGCGGTTGGATACTCAATGCCGATGGAAGCAGACCAAGAGCAGGGAGTGGTGGCTGAATAGCCTTGCATGCACTACAGTTTACCGCAGCAAACACGTGCAATAAACAGGCGTGATGCTATGCGTATAGTGAGGCGATAATATTACTCATCACATCAGTTCGTGAATAGAACGACCTATAAGCATGCATAGAAGTCTATGTTACTGTGGATGGCCGAAATATCATACTGTCCGTTCTCGTTACAATGATTCGATTATTGGTGATTTTGTGATCCACTATGAAGCTAATCTAATCAAGCTCATGGCCCGGTCTGCGAAAGGCTATCGTACACAGCTAGTGCTGCTCCTTTGAAGGAGGAAATTCAGCAATCAAGATGTCTATAGGCCGTCGAAATCACCAGCTGCATCATCCTCGTCAATATCCCCCTCCTGAATCTCTTTGGCAAGCTCCCGTTCTCGCTCTCGCGCTTCCTGTGCATTCTTGAGTTCTAACCTATGCTGGTTCATGGGATAACGCATGGCCTTGACACACTCATCGTGGAGCGCCAGACAGGCTTGAATGCGCTCGTGGAAAGCCTCGCCCGGTTCGCGAGTGGCATAAACGTCGCCAGCTTGTTTTGTCTGCATGAATCCCTTCTCGTGGTCGATAGAAGCCTCAATGACACCATCACGTATAGCTTTTGCAACTATGTACTCAGCTGACTCCTCACTCTCCAAGCCGAGTCGAATGCAGATATCTCTCAGAGAGATGCGTGAATAGGAAAGGGAGAGCATCCGAATGCCAGTTTTGATAACGTTCTGGCGGAGTCGTAGGATCAACGTGTACGTCCCATCACGATGGAAAGTGGAAGCGAACGTCTGGACGATCTTGAGGAACCCTTGGAGATCACCGACACGGACGGCTTGAATCAGGCGGAAGTAGGGCTCGAGCGCACGTTCGAGGCGAGGCTGGCTGAATGTTGCTCGGTCGGGTATATCGCCCATGAGAAGCTCTACAACTACCAACAACTTCGTGGATGCCTGATAAAATCCAGTAGCAACATTGTTTGTGGGCGATTTCCGAGTTGCGCTTGTGAGGTGCTCGTGTGCCTCGGTGTAAGAGAGTTGGATTGCCCGTATGCGTCCTAGGTAGTAGAGGTATCGCGCAACCTGGTTGTTTGGCGCGGATGCGGGAAACTGAGTTTGTGCCACTAGGAGATCTGCTTGCGTGATATCCGCAGTGGATATGTAGTTTCGTAGGAGCAGTGTCGTGACAGAAGCTTGTGTATCTTGATCCTTCCTGAGGACTGAACTGCGAAGTGCAGCGAGAAGTTTTCCTCGAATGGCTATCACGGGAGACTGTTTGGAAGGCGGTTTCGGGTCCAGTTCCTCGTGGAACAATGAGAAGTAAAAGTAGGCCTTTGCGGCCAGAGAGTCAAGTGTTCGTCGATTCAGCTCGCGTACTTTGTCGACTAGATTCGATGAGAACTCGGCACCATCCTCTATGTCCTTCTGGTCATATAGATATACCTATTTGGAGATCAGCACTGTAGCTTGAGTGAGTATGGTGGGGGGAACGACCTGTATGAGGATGGCTATATATACATCGACCTCAGGTAATGGTTCTTTGGGATTCGCCTTATTAGCCTGTATTTCCTGCTTGTATTGGGACACCACGGCTTGTATAGCCTCGCCGTCCATCCCAGTTGCCTCCATGAGCACTCTACCCGTCGGACTACTTGGGCTGTACGTCAAGACGATCACGGAACAAAGAACTCTATCAGTGAGCCGTTTCCGCACTGACGATATCGAGCGAAGAGCCCTCAGCGTAAACCGGGCGTCGAACTGAGTAACGGCGCGTTCGAGAAGAGTGAAGTTGGCTCGGATATCTTGAATGAATGGGTCAGCTCGAGTGGGATCAACAAGCCCGACAGCGGCGAAGTACATAACATGCACTTGTACACCTCGGGGCTGATGGAGTGGATGTAAAGGTTGATATGAATGTGGTATCAAGATTATGCTGTGAATAATTACTTACCGGCGACAACCTTTTGCTCAACCTGTTCAGTTGTGGGCTGCTCGCCCTCAACAAGCACACCCTCCATACTGTCAGCCATGATGGAGGCTGTTTGCGCAGTACTTCGACGTGGAGATGGAATTAAGGGCGAAGCAGGAGAGACTCGAGCGGGAAGATATTTGCAAAAGATAGGTGAATGCCGTTGGTGATGACGGACGACGTTGGAAGGCGGAAGCTCAGGTAGGTAGAGCTGCGACGGGGGGCGACCACGTGACGACACCGCGGACACCGTGCCAAGCCTTCCCTCGTCAATTGGGGTTTGTTTACCTCGTATAATTGGATCCCCGCCATTCAAGGCCTGATGTACACCTACAGATCATGCAATCGCCATGAAAATGCTAGATGCTCACATAGACCAGATATCGCTATGCGCTGCTTCTATTGCAGATCTACCGTGAGCATCCCTATCCAAAAATATGCTATGTTACTAAAACTTTCAGTTTTCCCCCACCGAAGATCTTTACAAATGCACTGCTCCAGCCTCATGATATCACAGCTCTAATACGCGACACTGAGCTGCATGAACGTGCACTGTTTTCTGTCCCACCGCCTCCTCCGGCTCTCAAAGCACAGGACCCGACCTCGACCTCGAATCGCCGGAACACAACTTTCAATGTAAATGGAGGTGATGGGAACATTATTGCTGGCGGCGGCGCGAACGCCGTGAGAGCACCGCGAAGAAATACTGCAGTAGCAGCGGTACTCGGTACGGAGCTAGTTGAGAGAATCCGAAGAGGCGGTGGAGGTGGTGCAGGCTCAGGAGTGGGATATCGATCCTATGATAGCACCAACAGGCAATCAGAGGTGGACGTCGAAACACTGCTGGAGGGGGCAGAGAAACTTCTTGGTGTATAGTTCGTATATGGTTTCCACCGACTATCACAACGACTAACATACGGTTCAATAGCCCTATTCCAGGCGCAAGAGAGCGAATCGCAGGCCTGCGACAACGACATAACCGACTTCAAGACTCCATTGAACATTACGAGTATCGAATTTCTGAGCAGGTGGCTCAATTAGATAAGGTTTACTCTGACCGAGCACGAGACTACGATAACGAGCTTGACGACACAAACGTAGATTCTGACCCACCTGCTTTCGTACCAATGACCGAGGAGGATCTCAAGAAGGAGGAGGAAGAAGTCAGATTCCTGGAAAGAAAGAGAAAGGGACTGGAAGATCGTGTTCATAACATGAACCGTGACATTTCGGGGGTTTTGAGGTAGTTCGCGACAACGCGCGATCCCCTAAGCATAAGGATTGTTCCCTCCAGCTACTCTACTACCCTATATTCAAATTACTGCCACAGCCGGGCCTTGGCGAGTAGCGGCTAAGGGAATGGAAAGTCACGCTTAAGTCTGAGAGACCGACTTAGAGCTGATCGCAGGATGATTTCGTTTGCGGCAAACCTCGCGTGGTCATCACAAGGTGGGAGACACGACAGCATCAGGGTGTGGTTACTCGTATACTGACCACCTAAATAGGTTTTACTTTGTGCTTGGTATAATTGCCTCACGATAAATGTCTATCTTCGTTTCAGCAGAGGGTGTTGAACATACATTCAACTGACCTCTGGTCCACAATCTACTTTATGATTGACCTATGTCTTGCAAAGGAACAAGAGACTTGCGTGGCTAATGCCCGTGCATTTGCGCAGAATGTGCTGGCTGGACCAAAATTGTAATGTCATCATCAAGATCCCTCTTCCGGTTTGTGAAACCGTACTTTCGACGGGCTTTATCAAAGGTTCAATGGCAGCTTCACTCGGCAGGACATCGAGTTCATTAATCGATGCTACACTTTTAGTCCACGATTTCTACCCAGTTGAGCGGAGTGCGGCTCTTGCGCTCCTAGGGAATGGCCTCGGCCTGACTCCTTATTTATAGCGGGAACTTGGGAACAATGCAAGAGGCTCTTCGAACACTCTATTTAGCATAAATATCAATTTATTGCAAGTTTTGTGTACTCCTAGATGGGAGGGACTGCGACTGGCTGCAGAATGGCAGCAGTGGGCTTGGAACTACGGCATGAAGACATGGACACAAGTAATTAAGACGGTTGTAAAGCTGTCTTGCTGTAATCTGGTTATTTTTAAGTGTAGCGTGAAAACGCCTTTCTAGTGGGTACTTTGATGAGTTCGATGTAACAGCTTCAGACATTAAACAGCAACCATTTAAGTTCAAAGGAGTGCTGATATACATTATTCTGCTTGCCGCGAACCATCCCCAATTCCTACGTAGAACTAGGTAACTAATCATTCTATGACTACCTGCACCTAAATTACGAACAAAGATGGTTTGGCCTACTAGATTATCTCTGATCGAGATCTTGTTAGTTACAACTCTGCTACAGGCCCTTCGAGCCTTCCGTGTGCTAACGTCCGCTCTACCGTACCCACCGAATGAAGGTGTTGTAGTAGTAGATAAAACGTTAGGACTATCCGCTACACTCACAGGATCGATCAGTGGATGCATATTGAGAGCTACGTTCGAAGCTGCATTGAGCTTTTGCAAGATGACTCTGGGAAATGGGGGGGGGGAAGGTAGTCCCAACAATCGAACACCAAAATGTGAGAGTTGAATCCGTCAGGATAGTTACGAAAATGAAGGCAATGCTTATGTTGGAATATAGCGAAGGAGTCGGTTTGCGTTATAAAGTAATAAAGAGACTCTGAACATGCAAGAGCAGAAAAAAAACCTTTATTCAATGAAAAAATCAAGTTGGCACTGAAAGGAAACATGGGTGTAGTGAACAGGTTCCAATAGCTGTACTCGAAGCTTCAATTGTGGTTGGATTCTGAGTCAATCAGTGAATCATGCCTTCACACAATCTAAATAGAGTAGACCTGGACGTCGTCCCTAGCGGAAATCATACGTAACTGGCATACTCTTCACACCTCGTTTGTAGAACGCCTCCTGTCTACCTTTAATCGATATTGGAAACGTTGGCATAGGAAGAAGACAGTTTGAACTGTACATCTAGAAGCGAGGGTACAAATTGATCTGTGGGATCGCGTTCTGGCTCCGCGGTGTCAGGATAGGCAATACCTTTCGCTCGGGATCTACACGATCTGAGTGGCCCAATATGGACCATATTCAAACGTGTATCGCTTTATCGCAAATAAGCACGGGCAAATGACTGGGAAAATCATAATAACACATTCTATAGGTACATAAGGTACTTTGATGAGAATCTTGATGTAGAGATTAAGTCGACTCCTCTTAGTCCACAGATTATGGAGTAGTGAGAGTTTGAGCAACACTATTCGAGATCGGATGACAGAAACATTGAAGTGGGTATAGATACATCATGTCTAAAAATCAAACAAAGGAAATGTTGATAGCCAGCTGATTTGCAAACCTTTTCTCCGAGTGTCGTTGCTATCCTTTAGGTCAAGGTCTTTGGATTGTGACCGTTCAGCTGCTCTTGTGGCATTTGGGCAAGCCACGAGGGCGGCTGCATCCCGGTCTGATCATGAATCGTGCTGAGAAGTGGTGGGAGAGACTGGAATAAATTCCTGATCGGCGCTGCTGGGTCTGCCGTGCCATCTCCTGGCGAACCTGTGTTCCAAACATTGATCTTAGGCTGCAATCCCTGAATAGCTTTCGCGTTTGCTTGCGCAAGTGACTCATACGTGCCGTCCCGCAGCATGAGGTACTGCAATAGGCCTTGCGGGCCCCCGAGGACGCCAGCCATGTCGCCATATGCCTTTGCCATGGCAGACAGTCCCTCCGCCTCACGTTGTTGAGTGATCAATCGAGCTTCAGCCTCGCGTTCCTGTTTGAAGAAGTTGGCCTCTGCAGCACGTTTGGCAGCATAAAAGTTAGCCTCTGCGTCGCGCTCTTTGGCTTGGTTGCTTGCTTCAGCATCTTTCAGGAGCCGGAAAGCTGCTGCTTCGGCTTCTGCCATCTGTGTAAACTTCTGGCCCTCGGCTGCTTTCTCCTGAGCATACAGTTCGGCATCCGCCTTCTCTTGAGATGACTCCTTGTCGATTTTTGCCTGTGTCACGGTCGTCGCTCGAAGGCGCTCGAGTTCCATGACTGCCTTCTTCTTCTCTACATTGGTATTGAGCTCTGCATCCCGAGCCTCCGCCTCTCTTTGAGCATTGATACGGGCGAGGTTAAGCTCCTTCTCGATGCTGATCTCCTTTTCGGTCAACTTGGCGTCAGCAGTAGCTTTCTCGCCTTTCCTTTCGGTTTCCAATACTGCAGTAGCAGCATGGATCTTTGCCACCTCTTGCTTGGTCTTTCCTTGCTTCTCTGCTTCACCAACCTCACCACGCATGCGTGCATCAGCAACATCAACCTTTGCTTGGTTCAAGGCACCCTCGTGGGCTTTGCGTGACAAGAAGGCAAAGTATTCGGAGCCGGGCGTATCCTGAAGCTCTTTTACGTTGCTAGAATACACGAATCAATATCAAGCATAAAATGTATAGAAGCAGTTGAATAGATTGCTTACCTGTTATAGCAACAAAGTCCAAACTGGTCCAATTCGCTTTGTACTTGTTGTATGACTTTGTCCTTGAAGACTTTGCGCTCACGGAAGAGCTCTTCCATAGTCATAGTGGAAACAATACTGCGTGTTTCTCCCTCTATGATACCTTTGACGATATCTTGTACATGATTGCGGCCAGCTGCAACGGCGACAGCGCCCTTGGATGCAGGTTGAGTAGCTTTGCCATCCGATTCGCCTGTCAGAAGTACGGCATATTTCTCCAATGCCTCCCTAGTGTCTTGAGGGCCGATGGTGAAGACTGCCGGAAGGCTGAATTTCAACTTTTCGATTGTCATTGCTTGGATGTTCATCGAGAAGTCGAAAGGTGTAATGCTTATTTTGGAGACTTTCTGGAATGGGAACAGGAAGGCCTTTGAATAAACGTCGTTAGCAATGTGAAAAACTACAGAGGGAGTGATTGTGTTCACGACCTTGCCGGAAGAAGTGGTGCTCATCAAATTCAGGGGATAAGCATGTCAGACGTACCTTCTTCTTGATGAGTACTTTGTCAATCCCTACACCCGTTATCACGAGGTAGGAATTGGGTTCAGCGACATGGTACCACATTGTGTCGTCGATCAGTCCTTGAAGGGGAGGGTAAGTAGTATCTAGATTATGTTTATTGGGGTAGGCTTTGTGATTTGACGAGGCTGTAACTCTGAGTTGTACAGAGATTAGCTGGTGAGACCAGAAATTGGTTTCACAATCAAGGGAACAAGGAGGAAAGATATATACACGCTCTGGAAGGATTCTTGGAGAGCAGCTTTGACATCGTTTCCAGCCATTAGGGAAGAGTATGACGCTTGGACAAATCCGGCACCGGTCAAGAGCATATTGGTGACTGAAGATGGTTGAAGATGCCGTATAGCCTCAGTGGCCAAACAGGTACGCCTTGGTGTTAGGCAGTCGGGTTTGAACCGTGCGAAGGGGTGATAATATTGTTGACACCATAGATGGGGTGAGCTTCCAAGCAATGCAGACCTAGGTAGTCATGATTGGCTGAGGGAACCGAGCGATCCGCGATAAGTAACCCCAGGATCAGCCTTGCGGGGAGCATGGGGGCATAAGCCACAATATAGTAATTCATTATCCTTGTTAAAGAGAGCTTGTTAACTGCACGTGCTCTATTAAGCCCGGCGCCACTCTGCTTCGGTGACCTAGAAGGAGGCCCATTGCCAGGTACTTGGGTATCGATTATTCGAAGGAGAAGCACATGACATGAAGTGAGTTTGTCTCGGACCTACTTAGTTATGCTGCTCGGGGTGGGCGCAGCACATCCATTTCCGGTTCCTACAATGGTATGCTTCGATTCTTCCGGAATGTTGCCTAGTTTGGCTAGTTCCTATACTAAGGTACACAGTCGGACGGTAAGTCGACATATGCGGTGACCTAACTGAGGCAGCGGACGCCCAACCATGAGTCGAACCTTATCATTGAAGTACCCGTTCATGGGTCAATATATCGGAAAATGCATCCGGCTTAAAGAAGGGATCAGTCTACTCCGCGAGGCTGAATCTGTTTGGAAATCTGCCGACAACAAGCTGGCCTGATGTTGTTCCTACGGTTCCCCCTCTTTTTCCCGCCACCTACTCGTCTACACATTCCCTGTCTCTGTTGATCACTTCGGACCTGATATACCATTGTTACCTATCACAAATCACGTACATCTGAGCATTTCAATTCAACCGTGCAAAATGTCGCAGCACGGAAAGGAAACAGCGTTACCATCCTACGAAGACTCCATTAATGCTGGACTGCCACTCTCTCGGGGTCAACATATTCTCGATAATCTGACACTTGTACGGGCAAAGCACATACGGGCCATCGTTGACAATGCCATCATACCCCTCATCGAAGACCAAGCCCTCCGTGGCATTGCGCAGACCACGATTGTCATGTTACCCTCCGACATCCTCAACTCTAGCTCAGTGACAGAGAAATCAGACTTCAGCTTTGCTACTGAGGATGACGAACATGTGGAGGTCCAAGGATTATCTTCAGAAGAAAAGCCACAGATCATAAGATTGGCAGGACCGCTCAACAAAACCGAATTTTGGAAACCGCCAGCGATTATCAAGGAGCTGGAGCGTGTACTCATGGAAAATCTGATGGTTGGTTCGGGTGGTCCATCTTCAAGCCAATTTCAGCCGAAACCCATAGGTTCGCAAGGGAAACAGCCCAAAAAGGGTTTGCTAGGGCGCATGACAAAGGCATTCCAACGTGAGGAAAGCTCGGTGGAGCAAGATTCCACACTTTACGTTCCCCACCCCGACCCGAATTCAGGACGGGTGACTATTGAAGCTCGGCTCGAGGAGATGTGTTTGAGGACAGTAAATGAGTTTGGGCTTTATGATACGACGTCCAAGCAATGCATCATTATTCGGATAGATGCTGGACACTGATGTAGTATAAAAGAAACAAATAATCCAGGTATTCTGACATCAAGATGATGTTTCAATGACTTCTGTGCAGAACCCTGTCAAGTAGTATAACACCGAGCGCGACTCTATGTAGTGGACGAAGTAAACGTGTGCAAAACCATATGATGCTTCGTGTTTGAAACGTCAGCCATGCGCATTCACCCATTTGATCGTTCTGATATAGCCTCCAAAAATGCCCATCAAGTCAGGAGGCAGCTCTTGCGGATTCATTGGATCAAGAAGAATCACCTGCGTATAATACGCAAGCCTTCAGGATGCGGATATAATGATTCGCCCCGGCCGCAACTGCCACACATGCAGTGGAGAAGAGATAGCATCAGGTTCCGCTTCTACTACATCGGGGGTTGCTGTAAGATATAGTATGTGGTGATGCTATCTAGTCTGTGCGTGAGGTCCATGGGACCAAAGACAACGCGGCTCTTGTGCCGCGCCAGGAAGTAACTTGTAAGTTGGTGGGGAAATGATCTCAAACCAGAAACACTGGTGCCTTCTCAAGGGACAGTTACGGTAAAATGATCAATTCATACAACTCCGCATCAAAGATCTGTTGTGAACAGTTTCGTCCGTAGGTCTGGTGGTATCAGGTTTGAATCTTCTTCTCGCCGCTTGAATCGAATCCAAGCCCTTCTAGTTGCCTAATGAGCTCGTTGATCTTGATGACTTTCTCGAATTGCTCTGGTAGTAGTGCGTCGCCTTTATCTTTCTTGTCCTTCAATTCACGAGCCTGTCTCAACTTTTTGAGCAACTTCTTCGCTTCTTTCTCTTTCTCCAGCTCAGGATCGACTGGTTGAGGGATGTCACCAGTATCTTGAATCTCCTTAGAAGTAGAATTTGCATGTTTCTCTTTGCTTTCCTCCTCTGTCACAGTAGCGGCTGCTTTTCTCCTGGCTTCGCGTCGCTTAGCATTCTTGTTTGCAGTACCGCTAGCTTTGGACGTATCGCTTTCTGTGTTCAGCAACTCGGCACCTGGTACTCCGCCTTTCCCCCTATTCTTCCATGCTTCCGCTGTGCGGTTTTTGTAAACCTCGACGTCTTCGGGAGGACGATAACCAGGTCGCACACGTATTTCTTTCCGTGTAGAGCCATCTGCACGCTTGGAGGCGGGAATATGGCGTTCACCCGACGCGTTGGTCGTAATACCAGATTTGGAGACCGTGGGTGTCTCAATGGTCGGCATCGTGTAGATCGCGAGCTTGTGCAGGGCATGTATGCCTTTAGTATATCGAAGAAACTGGCGATTACCACCCTCTTGGTGAGCCGATGGTGCCTAGCAGCCACACGTCGATCGTTCTGTGGTGAGATCCCACAATAAGTACCTGATGGGGTTTTGTGCGTTGTTCACGTCTGGTAAATGATTTACAGAAGATACGAGTAATATGATGTGTGCACAGCAGTGGGGTCCCTAACGTGTAGACTTAGAGGTAGATTTAGTGTAGTTAGCGGAATCGCCCGGGCCTTGGACCAATCACACGCGACCCATAAGTCGAATTGCCCTGGGCGGCCTCGCGGGTTTTGCAACTTCAACTTCATAACCCGCGCAACTACGATACATCACCTTTCAAGCACCGCCCGCCCGCCCATCCACCCTGTTCTATCTTCCTACATCTCACTGAAACCCAGTCACCAAAAATGGCAGGTGTAAGTCCATTGATCGAATCTAGAGTCCTCTTGCTCTGCCATGCATTGCTAACAATACCATCACTAGCTTGCATCCAGCATCTACAAGCAAGTTTCCTCAGCTACGCAGACAACCTAGATGGAACGATACTGACAGTCAATCGTAGCGTCTTTCTCCGACGGAATACCACCATGCTAGGCACGGTCTTTTTCTCGGCTTTCGCATTGCAACTGTACGTGCTGGAAACCCGATGACGGCGCGACCGTGGGCTAAGACAATATCAGGGCTTTTGATACCGGATCGGATAAAATTTGGGATTCTGTCAACAAGGGTGTAAGTACACATCCCATTCATTCTCGGCGTTCCGGCTGCTGATCTTCGACATAGCGGCAATGGAAGGACATCAAGCAGCGTTACATGGAGCAGTCCGATGAGGAATAAGCATCGATGCGAATGGTCAGAACATAAGCGGGGGAATGAACGAGAGGATCTGCGCAACTGTGGAAGATTTGGCGAACCAACTCGAGGTTCTGATCGCAGCTAGACCCTTGAGATCATGCCCATGTAAACCGTTGTACTCTACAAGAAGGCGTGCAAGTAGCAATGCTGTCTCGGCCTGTCTACTAATAAAACTATCGTGGGTTTCTTTCCCGAATAGTCTTTTCTACTAAGGTGCACATACTATATCTCGAAGTTGATAAAGTCGTGGACGTGTTGGAACTATGTTGAATCAAAGTGAGTACGCAGGCTTGGATCATTGATAGTAAGAAGTACAACAACAACTCAACTGTCGTCTCAGCGTGATATAAATATTCAACCTCTCATAAGCCATTTTCAACTGATATTGCTATTGAAAGCATATAATCCCCATGTGACGATGTCCAGTATCCAAAGTGTGTGGACACGCCGCCAGGAGCCGCTTTTGCCGCGCGGAAGCTATTAATGACGATTATCATTCGCCGCTGCATGATTGACCAGCACCTGCAAGTCTTCGCAACAACGCGACACAGCCCAACCACACTTCTAATCCTCAACCTTTGACAGCTCCGAACGGTGGCCGGTCCACGAGCGCGGGGCATAGAGGCTATTTCCCGATATCTGCACCATTACTCCTTGTCCTCCGCTTCGACAGAACGACCCCGCCTCATCACACTCACCTCTGCCATCGTCCACGATGCTCATTTCTTTACAGGAGCAAAAGCTATGTCAACACCTGCGCGAGCTTCCGCAGCGACATGGGTATGACTTTACCGATGCAGCACGGCGAGAACTTCTCCAAACCCTGTTCCGGGCGCTCGCAGGACATGACGAGTACCTACCATTTCTCTTCCCACGCGGGCATCCAACCGATCCGGAGGCTACTTGGAGCATTCGCGATGCACAGGGCGCTGTAGATGGGGCCGAGTATACGGAAGCAGCACGAGGGAAACCATGCGGGCATATCTTTAAGAGTGGCGAGGCTACTTATCGGTGCAAGACTTGCACCGCGGATGATACTTGCGTGCTGTGCGCTCGCTGCTTTGATGCATCGGACCATGAGGGACACCAAGTTTACGTTAGCGTATCGCCGGGAAATTCGGGATGCTGCGACTGTGGTGACGATGAAGCCTGGGTCCGACCCGTACATTGCAATATTCATTCCGCCGCTCCAGGGCCAGGCTCGAAAGCGGCCGGGAAGGCAAGAGAAGGATCATTACTGCCGGACGAAATTCTTGAGAGCATACGTATGACCATTTCCAGAGCCCTGGACTACCTCATAGACGTATTTTCGTGCTCCCCCGAGCAATTGCGATTGCCCAAAACCGAGCAGTCAATCCTAGAAGATGAGCGGACATCAAGACTCACGTCTAAATGGTACGGCTCGGGTGATCTTCCGGAGGCTAAACCACTTTTTGCCCTGGTTCTATGGAATGATGAGAAACATACAGTCAACGATGTGCGGGATCAGGTTGCTCGAGCTTGTAAACAGAAACAGTCCTTTGGTCTCGCCAAGGCGCACGAAGTCGATGCAGTCGGGCGAAGTACGATCAAAACGTCAGAGAATGTGCCCGAACTTCTCAAAATGGCAAAGATAATCGAAGATATCAAATTGACGGTCACCATTCGTTCAGCTCGAGACACCTTCCGAGAGCAGATGGGAGGTACAATCGTTGAATGGATATCCGACATCGCAGGTTGCAGTGTCGGTGAAGATAACCAAATACTTCGGCGGGTGGTATGCGAAGAATTGCTCAAGCCCTGGCGAGTGGGGAGCGAGGCATCTCACCAGGGCATTGGTGAAGATGGGCTCGACGATCATGAAGTCGAGGAGATGGAGGTCCACATGGGTGGATATCACAGATACATCCAAGTTCAACCACCATTTCAAGCGCAACGAGACCGGCGTCGCAATGCCAATAATGGGGACACTACTGCATCTGATGAAGACGACGAGGAACAGGGAGGCGCCAGAGATGGTGTAGAAGAGATGGACATCGACGATATTTTAAGTCAAGACAACGACGGCGATGTAGAGATGGAACCGTATGAAAGTCCGGATGAGGCACTTGAGATTTCCGAGGCAACTCTAGCGGGCTATCCACCACCACCCCTCCCGCCACAACAACAGTCTCATACCTCTGGGCGACGACGAAACCCAAATCTGACGCCAGCAGACTCTGACAGTGAACCGATGGTCGGGGCACCTGCGCTGAGTCATGTCGAACCGTCGATGCATGTTCCAGAGACCCCCCGTACAAGAGTCCTCCCTCTGCGTCCGTCTCGTCCACAACAGTATTGGCTTGAGAAACCCGAGGGCTATGGGAAGAGATCAGGGGTTCCCGCACATGAAGATATCTGGCAGCGTTTACGCCTCGACCACTTGATACTTTACGATCTCAGAATGTGGAAAAGTCTGCGCATAGGCGTGAGAGATGTCTTTATCAGCACTGTGGTCACAATCCCACAGTTCAAGCGGCTATTGGGACTAAGGTTTGCAGGTGTATATACAGCACTGGCTCAGCTATATCTCATCGCGGATCGTGAGCCGGATCACTCCATCATCAACCTTTCGCTGCAGATGCTCACAACCCCATCAATAACCGCCGAGATAGTTGAACGCGGCAATTTCCTGACAAATCTTATGGCCATCCTGTATACATTCCTGACCACCCGTCAAGTAGGGTATCCGTGGAATGTCGACCCCAAGGCCACACTTGCGTTTGAACAAGGTGCTGTCACCAATCGACGCATGTACCATTTCTTCCTCGATATGAAATATCTACTTGGGTCTGACCACGTTCAAGAGCGCATAAGGGAAGAGGGTCGTTACATTCTACAATTCCTTGATCTCGTCAAGCTCCATCAAGGGATATGTCCAAACGTACGTGCGGTTGGCGAACATCTGGAATATGAGACGGAAGCCTGGATTAGTGCGTCTCTGATCACTCGTGAGATAAATAAGCTTTGTCGACAGTTCTCTGAAGCTTTCACGTGGCGGAGTGACGAAGATCCCACAAGCATTCGGCGTGCCATTCGTGCGAGTGCTCAAGTCACTATCATCAATTCAATAGGTTCAGAGCGTCATCGCTTCGATCAAACAGAGCTCAAGACAGAAACGAGGTTCAAAAACCTTGAGGTGTTCGAGTTCGATGCGGAACCGGCAACATATTTGGGGCCTACATACAAGATCGTGGATTACGTTGTGTCCAAAGAACCCATGAGTTTCCACCATGCTCTTCACTATACGCTTTCGTGGTTATTAGATCGAGCGCGTAGTATGCCTCGAGACCATTTACTGGGCTTGCTGCTGTTTTCGCACTCAGAACTCCAGGATCCGAACTCACCGCTAGCCGTCAATATTCCTGACTTCTCCTCGACTGAATACCTGCTCGCACTTTTCGACTTCCCTCTCAGGGTATGCGCCTGGTTAGCCCAGATGAGGGCAGGGATCTGGGTCAGAAACGGCATCACTTTGCGTCATCAGATGACTCAATACAGAAGTGTTTCGCAACGCGATGTCTCATATCAGCGAGATATCTTTCTCCTGCAGACAGCACTGGTTATATGCGAGCCAGCAGTATTCTTGGCCACAATGATTGACCGTTACGGAATCTTAGGCTGGATGAGCGGAGCATACAACAACAACAATCAACATGGAATTGAAGACAGCCACACCTTGGATGTTGTTGAGGACTTTGTGCATCTGCTGATAATTCTTCTCACCGACCGTACGTCTCTAGTTCCCGTCGATGATGACATGGATACACAGACAGCGACAATGCGCAGAGACATTGCTCACGTACTCTGCTTCAAGCCGCTTTCCTTTTCTGATATGACGAGCCGCTTGTGCGACAAAGTTCAGAGCGCGGACGAATTTTCCGACGTTCTTTCTGAAATGACAAATTTCAGACCACCTGAGGGGTTGTCAGATACTGGCACATTTGAGCTGAAAGAACAGTATATTGAGCTCATCGACCCGTACATACACCACTACAACCGAAACCAACGCGAGGAAGCTGAAACGATTTACAAGAATCACATGGCCAAGAAAACTGGAAAGGCGCCTAGTGACATCGTTTTCGAACCAAAGCTTCGGTCGATCCCTGATGGTCTTTTCAAGGACCTCTCTGGCTTCACCAGAACTTCACTTTTCACTCAGATCATATACTACCTACTAGGCTATGCGATCGTCGCCCCTACTGCAACACCAAGCATTCCGATAACGCGAGTAGAAACATATCTTCAGTTCGTTTTACAACTACTACTTGTAGCAATTCTCGAAGATAATTCGGAGCAAAAATCTTGGGACGAAACAGGCTCGAATTCTCTAGTTACAGCTATCCTCACTAAGCACGCAAATGTCGGCCTTCCTGGTCATCCCACTATTCTTTCAATTCTGAAAACACTATTGGAAAAGGAAGAGTTCCGATCTTGCGAACCGAAAATAACGTTGATTCTTCACCGTTCCAAGCAGCGCCAGCAAAGTATTTTTATAATAGCGTCAGAGTCTCTTCACATGCCGACCGACAGAATGGACACTGCTTCACCTGCCTCGGTGACTGTGCACGAGAAGGAATTGAAGAAGAAGCAGGCGTTGGAAAGACAGGCACGAGTTATGGCGTCTTTCAAAGAACAACAAGGAAAATTCATGGCCAGCCAAGATTTCGACTGGGGAGGGGAGGATTTCAGTGATCTAGAAGATGAAGCCAGTGGAACCGCGACTGAAGAAGAGAAAGTCATAAAATATCCGTGCGGGACTTGTATTCTGTGCCAGGAGGAGACGAATGATCTGCGCCTCTACGGCACGTTTGGATTCGTCTCTGAAAGCACAATTCTTAGGGTTACAGATGTCCAAGACGACGACTGGGTCAACGAGGTTCAGCAGACCCCTGAAAATCTGGATCGTTCAGCTGACGGTATCCGGCCGTTTGGAGTAGCCAGTAGAAACAGGCGTACAGTCATCAAGGTGACTTCCACCGGGGACAGCATAGTCACGGAGCGACAAGATCTGGGGCGCGGGTTTCCCTGTGCCCAGACTAGACGGGGCCCAGTGACTACGGGATGCGGGCATATCATGCACTACAGCTGTTTTGAGGTGTATTTGCAAGCGACACAAAGACGACATGTCAGCCAAATTGCACGGAATCACCCTGAACGTCCAGAATTCAAAGAATTCATGTGCCCCCTCTGTAAAGCGCTAGGCAATATTTTCCTGCCCATCATTTGGAAAGGACAGAAAATTGCCTATCCGGGTTCTTTGAGCACACAGACATCGTTTGAAGATTGGATAAGTTCACAAGTAGCCGAGCACATTACACAGCCAAGTCAGAAGCAAGAGGACCAACACGCGGATATTCCTTCCACGTTCACGCAACAGCACAGAGCACTGTATAAATATGCATCTCAGGACTTTATACTTCCGGTCGCGTCTCGACTGCCAGAGATGGTGAAATCTACTTTCACCAACATACCAGCTTCTCAACCACCCGTTCAACACCGTTTCCAAGTCCCAGCTTTCCTTCAAATTCAAAATGAAGATCAGCCAGGTTCGATTGTCCCTCCGTCCGAATCAAGCCCTACGACTACCCAGAACTTTCCAATATTGGAACTTCTAAGAATCTATCAACGCTTGAGAGACACATTCCGTGTCAACTCAATTCACTCCACCTTCTCTTACCCAGCCCTCATATCAAACGCTTCTGAGGATCTCATTTATACTGATGCGCTAGCAAATGCTCTCGGCTATTCTATTTCTGCCATTGAAATTGCTCAACGAGGGGTACAATCGGAATCGATGAAAGGCACTTTACTCGATAAGATATCTCCCCAGTCTCTGACCCATCTGCGCATCTTTTCAGAAACTATCACTTCATATATTGCCATCGGGAGTTTGCGGAATCAAGGCTCAGGCAAGACCATGGCGGAATATCTAGAAACCCAGGCTCGACAACTTCACCAGCTTTTCATTGGGCATCCGAATATTTTCGATCCAAGCACGTTACCGTACGACTTGAAAGGAATACCCCCTCTTCTGCTTCAGGACCCTTTCATCTTCCTCTCGGAGTGCTCTGCTTGCGTTGTTCCCGCCCTGGAACTGGACATTCACCACATCATGCGTGTCTGTTACATCGCAGAACTGGTCCGAGTTGCATTGGCTTTCACAACTGAACGAACGGCAGTAATAGCACCGGATAAAGACCAAGAATGGGAACAACTTGATGTTTCTGACCAAACGGCCAAGACCAGCTTCACCGACCAAGAAGCACATAACATGCTTTTATTCGTCACCTGCGTATTCGATGTTGCGCGCGCAGACAACACGGAAGTCTGCCTGGACCTCGACACTTTGAAGATCCCTCCATCATTCATGGCACCCCATTACATGTCTTATATCTATAAGATGATGTCAACGTATGCCTTGTCATTCATCCGGAAGTCGGCAATCCTCATGCATGTTCGTTATGGTGTAGATCTTCCCCATATACCCTTCGATCAGGTAGATCGACCAGAGCTTGACCGACTATCATCCTTACTCAAGCTTCCTTCGTTGCATGAGTTATTTGCATCTTTTGGTGAACAGTCTGCTGCAGGTCATGCTACACGCTCAATGGTAGCCGGATGGATACGCCACTGGGCTTGGGCACGGGAGGGAAGACAGCGATCTCAAACATCGATATCACTGTCACATCCGGCAATATTTGAGCTGGTTGGGCTACCTAAGAATTATGATGCCCTCACCGACGAGGCTATACGGAGAAAGTGCCCAACTACTGGAAGAGAGCTTACCGACCCATGCGTTTGTCTTTTCTGTGGAGAGATCATGTGCAGTCAAGGTGTCTGTTGCATGACCGATAAGAATAAGGGCGGCTGCAACAAACACCAACTAAAGTAAGTCAAATCTCATGCCGAAACCATGACCATAGCTAACCTAGTGAATCTTAGATGCGGTGGTAACATCGGACTCTTCATCAACATACGCAAGTGTATGGTTTTGTTCCTCAATCAGAACAACGGGACTTGGGCAGTCGCCCCCTATCTGGATAAGCATGGGGAAGTCGATCCTACATTAAGGAGACACCATCAATTATTCTTGAATCCAAAACGCTATGATGTTCTGCTGAGGAAGGTCTGGCTCGAAGGCGGTATTCAGAGTTTAATCGCCCGCCGATTAGAGGGAGACATTAACAATGGAGGGTGGGAGACCTTGTAGTCTCATGGGGATGGGTGTATCAAACAACGGTAGCCTTGCACCAATCCTGCTGCCAGTATTGCTGTTCACGCAAGTAAAAGTGACGTCGCACGACGTTCTACTCTTCATCAATTTAGCTCATAACTCTCTGGCGAGTGAATTAGCTACAACATTTCAGAAGGAAATGTACGGAGTATCTTATGAACGAATTTCTACCGGTGGGGTGATATCTGATGTTTCATTCCACCCTCCCACCCTCTGTGCCTCCATAACTATTTGCAGTCGAACCACCATTGACCAATGGGAGCGATCGAACACCGAAAGCAAGTGCACGGTCCACCTGTACAGATTTTTGATAGCATCCTCATCCATCACGCCTGTTCCTCAGATTCACGCCCCCCGCAAGTGTCATCATTTCCCGTATCCTATGCATTGGTTATTAATATAGATCGATGCCTGTTTCTAAGAATACATTATGCGCTTTCTCGCGGTCTCGCATGCCTGCTACCTTCTCGAGTTCTAAAAACCTCGTACCATTTCTGTACCAAACAGCGACAATTCAGCAATGGAATCCTATGGGATTCCCGGTTGGACGCCGCAATGCGGGATCGCACCATAGGCAGAACATCGATCTGCCATTAGACAATGTCGTTGACAACCAATTGTCAGTTGTCGAAGACGAAAGGTCGCCACGCAGAACCACCATTACGGGATCCGAGCGCGCTGCTTTCGAGAAGCTGTACAAAAAGTTCCAAACGACGGACGAGCACAAATCAAGCAGCGAGATACCTTTCTCCCATGAGATTGATCAAATCGCCGACGAGTGGTACGAGGAGGACGAAGAGAACACCCCCGATTCAGATTCGGCATCTCTTGATGCTGTGTTCGATTCCGTCCTTGCTGGTTTGCCCGCCAACCAAACGCATAAGACATTGTCGAGAAAGCCGACCGAGAATCTGAAGACAATAGCCGAACGGATACTGAAGCCAGAGCACGATGCAGCTCGACGCAAAGCGGCGCAGGAAACCCAGGCGGAGACAACGAAGAGGAAGGGAATGCAAGACGCAGAGAAGGCTCGGGTACGAGGTCTGTTCGATCATGCAAAGACCGACAGAGAAGTCTGGGACATTCTGGAACGCGAGGTTTTCAGCATGATCCGAAGTTTGGACCTGGACAGCGAGCAACAACCTACCAAAAAGCCAACGAGCTCTCTGAGGGGCAAACATGCTACGGCATCGACTAACACTACCAATTCCGATCGGTCAGGTTCCGCGGAGGGCCAATTACAGTCTCAAACACGCATTTTGTTGCCCAACTATCCATCGCACTTGGTATATGCCACGCGCCTCCTCAACAAACGTTTCCCCTCATCTCCACTCGCATTTTCCATCCTGCCGACGATGAAGTCGCTCGGACGTTCGTCGTACGCACTGGGCGCCTCCACCCAACTCTACAACCTCTTGATCATGAACACCTGGCTCCAGCATTCCTCTTTCACATACATCGAACACCTCCTCAAGGACATGAACAACAGCGGCGTCGAGCCCGATAACTTCACCCTCCGTATCCTCGAAGACGTCCTACGCGAGTCCGACGACGCGCGGAAGGGAAAACTCGGAGAAGCGATGCGGCAGCTCTGGAAGATGGAGACCTTTGCCGAGGGTGCGAAGAGAATCGCGGCCTGGAAGGACTGGGTTGCGCAGAGACTCGGCGCGTGGAGCACTGCGAGGGCAGAGCAGGGGACACAATCCAACGGTTACAATCAGAGCGCTGTCGACTTGAGCAGCCCTGAGACGGACCAGAGCGACAGGATACTATCCCCCTCTTGAAACATAGTAGCCCTAGGCTTTGAGGGAATGGGCGTGGAGCACTCATCTATCCGGTCCTATGGGAATCATCCACTTAACACTTCTGTACGGATCTCTGAGTAATGGTACCTAAAATGTAGATGCTGCTGGAGAAACTGAACGGCGAAGAGCACGCCTCTCAACTTGGGTCGTTGTTTTTTGGCCTAGAGTAAAGGGCTTCTCTTGCCTGTTCTCCTAGCTGCCTGTTGTACAATATGTCTCGAATACGTAGAGGAACCTTTTGCAATGAAATCATGTAAATTATCCCCTAGATGAATAATTATGGCCCCAGTCCACGTGAATTCCTTGCAATGGTGCAATCACAGGAGCACACGACACCAAACACGTTGTAATTTCGCAACAGGGGAGAACAATATATATATTTCTTTTATTCGGAAATCTAGCAAATTGCGTGAAGCGCGTACAGCGGGGGGGGGGGTATAAAGGCAATAGGAAAACGCCACCAAATGCATTCCACATAAAGTATTCAGCTCTGGAATATGAACAGGAAAATAAGTGGATAAGAGATATGCCTTAGTAAAATCATTTTAATCTGGTCATCTCTTTCTTTGTGTGTTCGCCATGCCATCACTCGTTCTGGTTCGCTTCAGGTTCTTTGCGCGTGTCGAGGCACTGCCGCTTGCATTGCTTGGACGTTTGGAGCTACCGCCATCCTCAGTTCCCTGGTCTTGCCTGCTCACGGGAGTGTTGAAGCCGCTTCCACCACCAGCAGTCGCGGCAGAACTTCCGGCCGGAATTTCATGGGCAAGTCGCTCAGCTAAATCGGCGTCATACTCTCTTTCACTGGCTAACACCGTGTTAGGTACCAGTCTCCGTGCTGTAGCAAGCAAGTCAATGCTGCTATCTGTATCGCTTTCCGATCCAGATGACCCATCTTCTTCATCATTGTTCTCACCATGACCGCCTTGGTTGTTAGGTGAAAAGTTGACAAGATGTATTTCAGTGTCAAAATCCCGATTTGAGGAACTCGATGTGGAAGGGCCAGATGAAACGTCTGATTCCAGGTCTGAATCAACATCGCCAGATGAAGTAGAGTCAAATGGCATGAATGATGCAGGCGGCAATGCCGAACTCGGTAAGCTTCTACGCGAGGCAGACAAAATATCTTCTCGTACGATGGGTTGGTTGGCATCTCTTTCTTTTTGACTTGCGGTTCGGTCGTTCAATGCATCCTGGATGAGTTTGGGGTATAAATTTGATCTTCTAGCTTCGTGTTGACCTTGTGCAAGTGATTCATATTGCTGAGATCGCCTGACCTTGATTGAGAAATTATCATCTGGTTGCACCCCTCCTAGCCCAGAGGCCTCGAACTCCATGACATCCGGACTGTCGTCACCAGAGTCACCACGAAGCGCCTCGGGCGAAAACCCTATGCTGCCCTCACTTGATGTTGTGCGGGCACCCTTAGGATCCAGATCTAAGTCCATGGGTTCAGAATCCCGTGAACCCTTCAACTCCCCTATTCCAGAAGGATTATCCAAATGACGACGCGCGGCACTTCGAGTGTAGACGGGAGCTTCTACTCCGAGTGGTTGAGTGGGAAGACTTTTATATGAGCCGGCATTAATAACGGAGAAGCCTTTTCGGTCGCCGCTCAGATCGGTGCAGAATTTAGCCTTGTTGTAGAATATAATTGGACCGTCTTCGCGCCTCTTCCGGGACGAGGAGCTTCTCATTGCTGAACTGGCGAAACCTGACGAGTCACCTCGTTGTTGCGCAAGATAAGGTGAGTTGCTTGAGGAGATGTCGATATTGTAAATATCATTCTCATCGTCCGAGTCCTCCTTGTGGAAAAACAGTGGAGTGTAAGCCACCTTGTTTTGGTCTCTCTCTTTTGCTGCACGTGCCATACGTCGTGCTTCCTGTTCTGGGTCCACGGAAGATGAATCGATGCTATGCCCACTGTGTTCGGTCTTCATGCGCTTGGAAGGTGACCCGGAGCTTGTTTCAGCCAATAGATCGTAGGGTGAATAGTTACTCAGTCGTTCTGAGGAACTGTCACTGTTCTTGGTGACATCGATGCCACCTTTCCACCTTATCTTGCGGCCATCGTGCGACAGCTCGAACTTGGAACTGTACTCCTGGACTGCTTCTTTCACGATGCTCGGGGTAACATTAATCGTGTGGAGCTGCGCCATGTTAATCAGGAGGTTGAGATACAGCCAGCCGTGACCTTCTTCTGGTGACACTTCAGACTCCATATCTGGGGGGGTAAAACCTAGGTGGCGAATATACTCCATGTTCTCTGCAGGCACCTGAGCACGATAGGGATCCAGATCGAGGGGTCGAGTGGGCCGCTGATCCGGGGAACCGGATCCTTGGTCAGCCATGGAGGGGCGCAACTTTTGGGTACCAAAAGAATGGGCAGATGTGTGATCGTCTTCGGAGCGGATTGGCATTATGCGAGCTTCCCGCAAGCCTTCCTTGCGGAATGGTTGACCGGTTGCTTCCTTGGCCTCACGATCAGCAGTCGCCGCGGACTGCGCTACTTCTTCTTGTTGCGCTTGTTGCGGGTGATGTCCAGGTACGGAATGCTTTCCAGCAAAGATTTGCTCCAGGCGACGAACGATTAATTTCTTCTTGGTCTTGTCTGACATTGCCGCATTGTGCTTCGGCAAGAGGCCTGGCGGAATGTCTTGTAGGTAAGATCGAATGCTCTGTTGTTGGCGACTGTACTGTGATCTGGACATCTGTCGATCACTGTTGTGACCGGATGGTGTCGTTGTCTGACCCGAGGGAGCATTAGAATATTGACCCGATGCCGGCATTGATGCATAGCCAGACTCTGCAAAACGAGAATTGAGAGACGACGTCTTATGTTGATCCAGTGTGGTAGGGTACGGTGCAGCCAAACTGTTGGCGTTATGTGAGGTGTCGTCAAGATTGGCAGCAAATGTGCGCAGAGTATCTTCCAATTCCTTCTTCTTATGATCAGGCAATCCGTGGAACCTCACCTCGAACAACTTTTCATCCTGAAGATGGGCATCGTACAATTTCTCGTATTTCTTTAGCTTCTGCTTCAATTTCTTGTTCGCAACGGTCAGATCATCTATCACACTTCTGAACTCTTCAGTGCTGCTCCCGTCTGTGCCAAGGTGCGCAAGGTTGGGCCGGTATGGCATCGAAGTCGATTGTTGACGGTAAGGGGCGGGGCGCACATCGTAACCTTCTGGGGGAGTTCCTGAAGAGGAGGAGTTGCGGAGGAAGAAAGGTGGATCATCTGCTGGTCGTATCAGCTATTGTTGACCGAAGAGAGCGGGTTAGGACCTACTATCGGCAAACGATGTGTTACCCTGGATGGCATTGTTGTTGGTGTTTTCAAACCACCTGCCCGCATCACTGCTTTCTCCAGAGCTATTCTTATTCGTTATCTTGGGCGAAACACTCGAAGGTGGGTTCGCCTTGTCGCTGGCGGGTGGATTGGGGGAACTAAGAGTGGTGCTCTGAGGTCGGATGCGTGTCTTTGCGGCATGCTTCTCGGTGGGCGGGCTATGGCGGAGAGATACAGATTGGTGAGCAGGCGGCCGTCGCGGGTGCGGAGTCGTGCTACGCGCGGGGATCGATCCAGGAGGGTTGTTCATGGCGAAAGCCTGTACTACAGAGATGGCAGTGGCCAATGCAGGAGCGTAGCAAGCATGCTATGTGAACGTTGGGACCGTCGAGATCGAATATGTTGGCAACGACGTAGGCGTGAACGGGAGCGAAGAGCGCGACCGATATGGCGGCGGCAGACTGCAGGTGCCGCTGCACAGTTGGAAGAATGAGGTGGGCCGGGGATGTGATGCGATGAGATATCCAGGTGTAGGAATAAGCTTTTCCTTTTCAAGTGTGGGGTCGATCAAAATTATGGATTGCAGCCGTGGAGGGTGCTGTGTTTAGTGTGAATCGTCGAGGAGAGTGGTGAGGATGGTGATGACGACGGAAAGAGAGTGTTGGCAAGGGGAGGTGAGCTGAAGTTGGCTTTGGTTGTGGTGATGGGTGCGAGTGTGAGTGCGAGTGTGGGCGTGGGTGTTGGTGTGAAGGTGAGGGCGAGGGCGAGGATGAGGATGAGGATGATGAGGATTTGGAGAGGACACCGACGAGGCGGGCCTCAAAGGGTGGTTGAGTTGCAGCGACTGCCATGGGTGTGGATTGGGATCTGGAGATGATAATTGATCAAGGCATTCGATGTCATAGAATTCACGATCCGGATTGAAGTCTTGGCTCGTCATCGGGATCGGGAGGGAACCGTGCACAGTGGCGTTACCCTCCCATTTTTACCAAGGAGGGGGCACTATTCCTGTTTAGCACTTAGTAGGTTACGATACCTGTAACGATGCCCTCCATACGAGGTATAGCGCCCTATACGTACACAAAACGCTCATGGCACCATCGCCCGCATCCAATCAACGTCCGGTTATCAAAACTTGCAATCGCCGATCTAACCATGTCATCGATGCCTCTTCCAGACCCTATGGCAAACCGTCTACATGTGTACATACATACAACACAGGTACACAGTACAGCTACGAGGTATCAATTCTTAAAGGGTCTTCTTTCTAGGGTCGTCTATGTAGGTGTGTACCTAGGTTCTCATACCTCGTACCTTTTTTTTAACCACCTCTTGCTCGTATACAAAAGACCCATGGCGGCACGAAGGCCCTCTGGCATTAGGTATCATACCAATAGCGAATGTACCTGCGGAGTACACAGTAGGCATCTGCTGGACTCTGGGGCCATAACTCTTCGATCAGGCCCCAGGCATGCCATATTGATCGCATCACTTGACGGACCATTTACCAACAAGCCGAATCACTCCATACTTTTCCCATACAGTGCACAAGTAGTACATACACGTCTACGGAGTACTCTTCTCTGATCGCTCCACAACTACGAGTACGATCTCCATGATCACCGCGATCACTTTCAATCCTTCACTCGGCGTCCTCCTTGTAACGCTCCGTACACGCAGGGCAGTAAATAGTCTGGTTCCCTTTACAACGTTTCACCTACAGCCTCAACCCTTTCGCCGCGTTCCATTCGAAATCTAGACCATGCCTACCGTCGATCTCTTGTTGGAATGGTTGATTTATTGTCATTTATTGGTCTTCTTGATTTTTTTTTTCTTCTCTTGCTCTTTTTCCTTTTCATTTTCTTACGAGGTAGAATGGGGTGCCTGAACGCTACTCCCTCCTCCCCCCTAGCCCTACGCCTGCACACTTCCCTCTAACTCCAATCAATTACTTGATGTAGGAACATATCAGCAAAGACCCTTTTTCTAGAACATTTGATCGCCCTAAATAGACACACACATGCATACTCCATGCTTTGATTCTTGTCCGTACCTACAATATTCGTGCCTCATAGGTATCTCTGCATAAGTACCTCGAATTGTATAGAGTTGGCTAACTTTAAATGGTACAAGTCATGCAATGGGTGAGCAACATGGTGTTCACAGCCCATGGCCCATGGTCCATGACAGACGTATGGACGTTGATTCCATGTGTCCAGACTTTAGACCCCTCTCCGACGACAACCTAGTCACTGCCAGGCCGGCAATGCGAGGTTATCCTTCTCTCCGTGCTGGCTGCTTTCGGCTTCTGGACCCTGATGGGATCGGAATCGAATCGAATCGACTCCAACACAACCCAATAATGCCAGTAGTACAGAGGTTTAGGTCAATAAACGAGTTACTCGTAGTCTTCGTGGTCTGGCCTAGGCCTACGTACCGATTCGCCCAATCTCTTTTAGTCCCCTTCTCCCACCCCAAACGGCTCGTTGGATTTCCTCATCACGAATCGAGTCTGAAGGTGCGCATCGACTATTACTGTTTCTGTAACAGGACACATCTTTAATTGCATCATGCTACCCGGTGTAGAGCCTTGGATTGCCATTTCTTCCGTCATCATCATCCACCGTATCAGCGATGCTGTGCAGCAACTTGAGCGCTCCATGAGCCTCTCGAAACTCGTGGAAACTAAGCATGTCATCATCTGACCTCCAATAGCATATCTCCACCTCCGATCCGCCTCCTTGCACCAACAACATCTCCGATGCATCCCAGAGCCTACACACCCTCGAAACTCATGTGACGTAATCGGTTGTCTATCACAACTACTCGTACCCAAGTATTCGTACATCCCGTCGTCGCAATCTCGATGCATTTCGCATTCAGTAATTTACATCTACGATCAATCGTACAACTCAAACCATATTGTACACCTCCTCAATCGATCGCGCGCACGCTCAGACTTTATCATCTCGTCCATCGTCATATCCTCACGCCCTTGCTCCTCAGTACGTTGACAGCCGAATGACCTGTGTATCCGACCCATTCGCCCACAGCGCCCATGAAACTTCCCATGCGTGACACATCCTTCAACCTCGCATCGAAAAACTGTTCAGTCTCAATGAAATCCTTGGACGTATCTTGGGTCATGAACACATCCGATGCGGCGTACAGAGCTGACAGGCTTGCGCGCTTGGTGTACCAGCTCGAGTCAACGCTGGTGTCTGCCGCGAGAAACCATATCTCGTCGGCCAGTCGCGCCAGTTCAGCTACAGATGCCGGGGCATAGGTTGGCTGGGCCATTATGGCGAGTGCCTGGAATCATGCATGAGAAAAGTACATATGCAGCCTGCACGTTTCATAGCAGCAACTTTAGATACGCACCTCTTGCCAACGGTGAATAATGGGTCCATTGGCACGCAAACGTGCCAAAGTCAGCGCCCTGACCTTCGCTCCAACGCCCATTGCCTTCCCCTCCACCTGTCCCTCCGTAGGAAATTGGACAGAGTCTTTCAATGCAAGTCTTTGCGTGACCAGATGATAATTGATCAAGTCAAAGACGCCCCGGGGGAGAAGGTTCGTCGAGACGTCAAGATAACCAGCATCGCGGGCGCCAAATTTCAGTGCTGCATTTGTGAAGCCGTGATCAGGGACATGGCGCATCGCTGCTGAGAGTATCGAAGACTCGGCCTCTGGGAAGGGCGGCGGCTGGTCGTGTTCATACGAATGGTATAAACATCTTTGTCGAATGGGTAAAGTATGATTTGGTTTTACTCGAAGTGTCCCAAAGACTGATTTAGATAATCGGATTGGGGCCATGTTGGTTAATACGATTTGATCACCCGGTGCTGTTCCCGGAGCGTATAATGGTGCTGAGAAGGGAATTCTGTCCTTAGGTGTCACGGATATAGGCAGGTGCAGGCTTGCTGTATCGCAATGTTTTCTAGCACTTCAACTGGGTTTATGAAACCTGGGCAGTGTGGGATTTGATGGATGATAATTGAGATCAGATCATGGTGAGCCTTGACTGCATGGCTCTTCATCGCATGTTTTAGCGTTCGCAGACTAATGTTCACCCACGTGATCTTGCGATAACCGTGTTTTCGCGACTTGCATGCGACGCGTTCCTCCGAAGATCGATGACGATCGGCAACTCCAGGAACAGAAACACAACTATCAACGAGGACCATTGCTTCGCATTTTGGAATTGTGAGTCGAGACCCCAAAATATTCTCGTCATAAAATTATTGGAAGAAGCATAAATCTAACTTGATGTTGGCGCACGCATTACAGTTTTGAATTCGAGTCAAAGCAGCCTCCAAAAACTTCGGTAGCCTTCCAATCATTTCGGTATCGACGACTTTATCTGCCCAAAATGGCGCGACAAAAGGTCGAAATCAGCGAGTATGAGCGAAAGCGACAAGAAAACATCGCGAAGACGCAAGCCCTTCTCCGCAATCTTGAAATGGAAGCTGCTCAAGCTGGCCTGGCTCCCACCGCAAAAACCGCAACGTCTGCGAAACCGAAATCGAAGAAAACTGCGCCGAAGAAGATTAAACAAGAGGAAGTCGTGCCACGGCGGACATCGTCTAGATTAAGGGGCATTGAGGCAGACAGTGATAAGGCGAAGCGCAAGGCAGAGGAAGAGCACGAATTGCAAAGACAAGCGGATAAGGCCAAACGCCAGCGCATAAGCGATGCATTCAACTTCAGTGACATTGTGGTAGCAGGGAATGCTTGGGATCAAAGTGGAAACTTTCTCTCCATTGTAGGCCCTGCGAAGCCGTACGAGCGTACATTCGATGTGGAAGACGTTGGGAAAACCACGGACAAAGACCTCAAGAGCTTAAGGGAGAAAATGACGGGATTGAAGCTCTGGGAGGATTTTTCACCAAGTGACATCAAGATCACCCCTGAAAGAATTGTGAGCTGACTTGGAATCCTGTCGGCCGACTGCCATTAATTAACTCGTACCAGTATTCCATGGGGTTTCACCCGACCGCTGACAAACCTCTGGTCTTTGCTGGCGATAAACTTGGAAATCTAGGCATATGTGACTGCTCCCAGAAAGCCACACCGGTAGCAGAAGACGATGACGAAGATGCAGATGTTGAAGGACCCAGTATCACCACTCTTAAACCACACACCCGGACAATTCACACATTTCAATTTAGTCCTCATGATGCAAACGCGCTCTACTCGGCATCATACGACTCGACTGTCCGCAAGTTGGACCTTGCTAAGGGTGTTGCAGTAGAAGTATATGCGCCAGCTGACAAAGATGAAGATGCACCGCTATCTGGGGTTGAAATATCAGAAACCGACGCAAACATGCTCTACTTCTCTACCCTAGATGGGAAATTTGGAATGTACGATATGAGGACTCCCGCCCAAGAAGCGGCAGGACTCGAGATCTTCCAGCTATCCGAGAAGAAGATCGGAGGGTTCAGCTTACATCCTTTGCAACCTCACCTTGTCGCGACCGCTTCACTTGACCGCACACTCAAGATATGGGACTTGCGAAAGATAAATGGGAAAGGCGATTGGCGTCTACCAGCTCTGGTCGGTGAACACGAGAGTCGATTGTCTGTATCACATGCCGCCTGGAATTCTGTTGGGCAAGTTGCCACAGCATCTTACGACGATACCATCAAGATCTATGACTTTACCAAAAGTGGGGATTGGAAAGTTGGCACTTCCTTGACGGACGAGGAGATGCGGCCTTCTGCTGTAATTCCACATAACAACCAAACTGGAAGATGGGTCACTATGTAAGTTGCAACTTCTAGCTGAGATGTTTTCTTTTCTGGTATCGGCCCCAAAGGCGAACAGTCTACTGACACCAACGATGATAGATTACGAGCTCAGTGGCAGCTCAATCCTTTGGATGGCGTCCAACGATTTTGCATAGGAAACATGAACCGATTTGTCGACATATATACGGCCAAAGGACAGCAACTTGCACAGCTTGGAGGAGAGGGCATAACAGCTGTTCCGTCGGTCGCGAAGTTCCATCCTACGCAGGACTGGGTTGCAGCTGGAACGGCTAGTGGGAAGCTTTGTCTGTGGATGTAAATGATACTTTGATCGCATAAGTTAATATATGAATAATTTTGCAATGCTCTTGTTCTATATTTCGTGAAAACGAAGATCCAACTGATATGGAAGTATTCGTTCACGCTTATGTTCGCTCCATCTATGGTTCTTCACGCCTTGTTCTTGTAGCAATGTACCGTGCAGGTAGGCTAAGTATGGTTTAGACTGTCACAATTAGCAAATCATCGTCATCGGAAGCCTCGTCAACTCTCAATTGAAAATTGATGGAAGTGGCAGCGATCAGATCGAGGCAATTGCTTAGGATATTAAGCGGATCGCGGAACAGAGGGGTAAAGCACAGATGCTGCCTTGCTGGTTCTGTGCCATGCCACTCACTCCATGCCTTTTGATATAACTACCCCAACACAGATATACCCGTGCATCGATAACTAGCGTTGACTCTCCAATGCAACCCCGTAATGGCACGAATGGAAGGCGATTGCAGTCATCGTTGCATCTCCCTCTTGCCTCCGCCCAATACTTTTGTACCTCGAAACTCTCCGCATCATAGATTGGACTGCTGAAATGGGACAACAGATTCAATTTCTAGAGCGGCCAATTGATTAATCACGAGGGTCCCATGCCTATTTCTCGTGGTGACAGTTGCGCTGTTATGGCTCACCGCTGCTCTGTGTACAAGAAAGATGGAGATGTATCTATTGGAATCCAGCACCGATTTATGAATGACTCCATCTGGACGTAGACCGACTATTGTTACACGGTAACACTAGCAAATACGCCTGAGCGACCATGGGGAAGTGCTCGATGGATAAATAAAGTTAAGGTGTGGCACCGAGGGAAAAACGGGGGGAACATCATTTTTAGAAACATCTCGGGCCTCTTCGGCATGCTTGTAGCGACGTCACCTGCCATACGAAGGCTAGAGAAAGCTAGAGCAGTGATGATCGGCCTTTACTACTTGAGTTACTGTGTTTCAGGAACCCTCAACTCCCCGTATTTCATAAATCCCATTCGGCGCGTTGATGTTCTGCATTCTGTGAACCGGTCAGGAGTGTGTAAGTACATGTTACCCATGGCTGACGGGCAAACCGGCAAACTGGAGAGACTATCGAAAGTGTACTGAGGGACAAGCATGCTGCAGCTCGCTTCAAAGTGGACATATTGGAGCCATAATTGGAGCAATTACAAGTAGCTATGTGATTTTTCGTTACGTCCCATGACCGAACGACGGCAAAAGCATGCTGATCCCTTCGTGTTCTCTGGCCAGCATGCGGCGATTTCTGTGCGCCACAGGGTGACTACCCCCAGCATCCTCGTATCTCCACAGGGATCTACAATGATCAAAGCCCTCAGAAAATGATACTTGCACAGGCTGACAGGGTGTTTGGGATTTTGCGGTGTTAAATTAGAAGTGGATATATCACGTTGAAGCGGGCGTATCGTAGGTATAAAGAGCGAGGAACAGCTCGCATTTCCATTGCTGCATACACCCCTCTTAATATATACTACTTCACAGTACTATACCTCTTCCCATACAAAAAGTTTCACAACACCCAACAGTCGTTTCCAAAATGAAGTCCGTCGTCGCCTTGTCTCTCTTCGCTGCCGGTGCCCTCGCCCAGGCCCCAGCCTACTTCAGCGTCTTGTCAACCCGCAGTGCCTCTCCTGTGCACTTGCTCCCATTGACAGCTCGTGGTGGAAAGTTCTTCCTCGGTGGACCTGGACCATCTTCCTACTGCCCCCCTCAGGTCGGGGATGGATGTCCGTCTGGTAACACGACAGTTTTTGCAGGCGGAGAGGAAACTCTTTCCCTAGGAGTTGTCGTTCCAGGAGGCCAGCAAGGTAAGACATGCAGTTCAAATTGAAACTGCCTTCAAGCGACAGTTGCTGATTCATTAATGATAGTGTACGTCGGCCCTGATGGTAATCTGTCATACACATCTCCCCACTCTGCATACAAGCCGGAGGGATCCATTGTTGATGGATGGTCCAAGGGTTCGACTGGAACGTTCGGAACCTTGGTCTGGGAGAATGGCCTCGTTGCTTGCCCGGCAGGAGAAGGAGAGGGTTACCAAGTTTTTGGCCAGATCGAGGGCGTCGAGCGTGACCCCGCGTGCTTGGGTTTCAATGCCATTACTGGTACGTATTGAGATAAACATCACTGCTTTGTCGGAGATCGTATATTAACGTTTATATAGCCAATGCTACCGACGCCGGTGCATGGCAGTACTAGATTAGCATTGTCCAGCACGGAGATAGGATAATGCGTATTAATGGAATGAATGAAAGACTGCAAAGAGAAATCTAAGCAGATCAAGGGACGCGAAGGATGGAGGATATTAATGATAACGAAACCAAATATGGCTTTAGCAGGAGACCATAGCCTGCAACAATTACCAGATCTAGTTTGCATCAGTACTACTTTGCAATAGAGACCTAATTCTGGCAATTTCTGCCTCCACTGTTGTCGATTTTGTGAGAAAATTATCTACTTTCAGCGTCTTTTCTCGACACCTTAGCCCTTTGGTGACTTCAACATCCGACTTTGGCACTCCAAGAGCCTATGTCTGACGTCAATACCATATGAATAGTACCCTGATGTAGACTGGAAAGTAAGATACCTTTGCGAAAAGCTTGCGAACGGCTTCGTTGGCTTCACCGTCTCGCGCCTGAGCAGCCACGGAGATATGTACACCATGTTCTGTAACGTCTCTAATGCCTTCGCTTTGAGTACTGACGCCGGGCTTTACGATGCACGTCACGAGTAGACTTCCCAATTGGACTTGAGGATTGGTTTGCGAATTTTTTGCCTTGCTTGTCTTTGCAATGAGTCTGACGGCCGGACCAAGTGAGGAGGACATGGCTCGCATGCCTCATCCGGGACGTAGTAATTGCTCGTAGGTTCCACACGGGATGTAGGAGCAATCATAAGGTGAATATGACTAAGGTTGAGCGAGTGTGTCCATGTGTATAGCTACTACAAGTAACTATACTGTATAACTAGTTATAGGACAGCAGGTATACCGTAGAAGGGAATACTTTGTGGAAGGTCCTCCGTGCCTTAATCGAGCCCGGTGGTAGCCGCTCAAACGGCGGTGTCGGCCATTCCCCATTCCATGACCCCGCCCCCACCAATTGCATCTCCATAACTCGAAGATACGTACAACACTTGTAGACAAATTAGGTATCTAGGTAGGCAGATACTTGTAATTAAGTACTTCAATCTTGTCACATTTGATGAATACCATAAAATGAATAGGTACCTAGATATGTTATGTGTATGCGAATGATAGGGGACAGCACCTGCTACTCCGTACTTGCCTAGTGGGTACTGTGCCTACCAAAACCGTCCCTTGCAGTCAGGACAGTGAGTATACGTGCCTCACCCGTTACTATTGCGACCACCGCTGCACTGCTGTACAAACATTTACATCATCTTCGTCGGTATCTGGGAGGACAATCCTGCTTTTCACACGCATCCTCTTTTCCCGTTTATCAAAGCGCTGGCTATTGATGCCGGTACAATCCAGCTTCCTGAATTAGTGTCGGTCCGTGAGATAAACCCTCGTGTATATTGTCCTTTAACGATCACAACCTCTCCACCACAACCCCTAAGTGAAGGTTGACCCGGAGCAGAATCTTCACGGCACAACCCATTACCTAAAATATGATGGTCGCGACCGCTGCGAGAAACTACAAAAGCTGCTCATCCAGCCCACTCAATTTTGTTTCCGCAATTCCCTAATCTTCATCTTTGTCTTCCATCAACGCCCTCCGCTCAAAGCAACATCCATCATCCTCACAACACCCGCTTACATATATACCTATACTGGTATGTTGCCCTTGTTCTTGCACTGCCCTCCCTGACAGTCGCCTATCGCCTGGTCAGCCAGGTCATCTATTTGAGCCTGGCTTGTCATCCATAACGTAGCATGCACTCCATGCTTCACACTCTTCGTACGTCTTACTGACTTGCTTTATCAGAAGGTTGTGCGTTTTCGCATTGTGGAATTATTCTACAGATTCTCAACATGACTTCTGCCCCCTCCAAGCAGCCTAAATTCCTCCCGGCCCGCAATGAGCTGGGAGTTGTGGCCGTTGGATTCAGTGGCGGACAGGTATGTAATCTCGCATGAACTGCACCTCTCAGCGCGCATGTGGCTGACTGGTCCCGCATAGCCAAAAGCAGGCGTGGACGCTGCCCCAATGGCGCTGATTGAAGCCGGGCTCATCCAGCAGCTTGAGGAGGACCTCGAGTTCAAGGTCTCCTTTGACGGCCAAGTCCATTCATATTCCGAGATTTTGCCAGCAGACGACCCTCCATACCGCAACATGAAGAGGCCGAAGTTTGCCAGCGCTGTGACCCGAGAGGTCAGCGAACAGGTGTATAACTACGCTAAAGACGGCAAGCTCGTCCTAACATTAGGAGGTGATCACTCAATTGCCATTGGTACCATTTCTGGTACTGCAAGGGCTATTCGAGAGAGACTTGGTCGAGAAATGGCCGTCATCTGGGTAGATGCACACGCAGATATCAACACTCCCGAGACTTCAGACAGTGGAAACATCCACGGAATGCCTGTATCTTTCTTGACCGGATTAGCGACCGAGACCAGAGAGGATGTCTTCGGTTGGTTGCAAGATCATCATCGACTGAGCACAAAGAAACTCGTCTACATTGGCTTGCGGGACATCGACAAGGGAGAGAAGAAGATTCTCAAGGAACATGGAATCAAGGCATTCTCCATGCACGATATTGACAGGTTCGTTCACACTGCTTGTTCGACTGCGAACTACTCACTGACCTATCACCTACAGGCACGGCATTGGTAAAGTCATGGACATGGCTTTGGGCTGGATCGGAAGCGACACACCCATCCATCTCTCCTTCGACATTGATGCCCTCGACCCTATGTGGGCACCTAGCACGGGCACAGCTGTTCGAGGCGGTTTGACTTTGCGCGAGGGTGATTTCATTGCTGAGTGTGTTGCCGAGACCGGATCTCTGGTCGCTTTGGACCTCGTCGAAGTCAACCCCAGTCTCGACGAGCAAGGCGCCACGGACACAGTCAGAAGTGGACTTTCCATTATCAGGTGCAGTTTGGGCGATACCCTGCTATAATGCATACGCCACGTTACGTCGCGCATCGCTGTTTCAACACAGAGATACGCTTTAATGTTTTGGAACGGTTTTCTTTTGACTGTTTGATATGAATTCTAGGGACTGTAGCAACATGTTTTCTTAGAACTACTGAGGTCTAGACAAAGAATACTGTTAGGGTTCTGTTAAGATATTTCATTCAATGTTGATACCAATGATGACCTTAACTTTTTCCATTGCACCGATGTCAAGACGATCCACTTAAAGACACATACCATACCCACCAGATCATATATTCGGCATTGGAGATACAAAGGCAACGGAACTACGGGATTGCTGTCATCCGTACATCGGTGTTGTCGGAGCGTCCTAGCGTAGTCATTTGTTGACTTTTTTTTCGAAATCGCCGGGTCAGACTTTCGCAGTCCACACGTCATATGACAGTTCCTCCGAAGCCACCCGAACGTCGAGTAACAAAAACATCAAAACATGCAATGGCCAAATTTTCAATTGGAAAAGGAATTCCTTTCTGTGTGGATTTTATATTTCATACAATTTTGACAGGTCACACAACGATATGAAAACGATAACATGCATACCCTGTTTAGGCAGGTTCCCTGCAGCTTTCCATGAATCGGGTTCGCGCAGGATCACCTATGCCACTTCCTTATTAGCATCGCATGCATCGACATTGAAATCCCGACCACAACCACTGACGCTACAGCAAAGACGGCACATGACCGTAGATCAATTGGACTCTAACAAAGATGGTGAGTTCTCCAATTCTAACCTCTTGGCTGTAGTTCAGAAAACTGACAGGCAAAAAAATGTAGACCGTGAACGAGTCGTCATCTTGGGCAGTGGTTGGGGCGGGTACATGGTAGCTAGACAGCTTGATGCACGCAAATACCAGGCCGTCATTGTCTCTCCTCGATCTTACTTTGCATTCACGCCGCTGCTGGCTTCAACATCCGTGGGCACTCTCGAGTTCCGCACAGCGCTGGAGCCTCTTAGGAGTAAGCGTATTAAGGTCAAGTACTTGCAAGGGTTTGCGGACCAGATTGATTTCAGCAACAAGACAGTCACGATTGAAGAGTCGGTGGATGATCCTAGTGTGACGTTGGCGCCTGAGAAGGGCCAGCATGCGGGGGAGAGGAGAGAGCAACGGCCACAGGAGAGGATTGAGCAGGCGAAGACGGGGAGACTCTTCAATTTGACATATGACAAGCTCGTTATTGCTGTAGGATGCTATAGTCAAACGTTCGGCACACCAGGAGTGAGCGACCATGCGTAAGTACGTCCATAAGATTGATGGCAGACACATACTGAAGAAGTCGTAAGATTCTTTCTCAAAGATGTCGGTGATGCGAGAAGGATCCGCAACAGAATCCTAGCATGCTTCGAGGCCGCCGCCCTCCCGACCACATCTGACAAGATGAGAAGACAACTCCTGAACTTTGCCGTTATTGGCGGCGGGCCAACAGGCATAGAATTCTCCGCAGAGCTGCACGATATCATCAACGAAGACCTGGCTCGCATCTATCCAGAGCTTATTCCTTTCCACAAGATCACAGTCTATGATGTGGCGGACAAGGTCCTCCCCATGTTTGACGAGAAGCTAGCAAACTATGCGATGGACACCTTCAAGCGCGAAGGCATAGCCATCAAGACTAGGCACCATGTTGAAGAGCTGAGACCAGGGGCACCTGGCGAGAAAGTCGATTCGAAATCAAACGACCACGCCTGCTACACCCTGAAAGTGAAAGAGGAGGGAGAGATAGGCGTCGGGATGGTAGTCTGGAGTACTGGATTGATGCAGAACCCTTTCGTTGCTAAGACTCTTGCAAAAGAGTTGGATCCTTCACAAGGACGTCTTGGTTTGACCAGATTGGGATCAGACAGTGACGGCGCACTGCCGAAATCCTGGCATATTAAGAGGGATTGCAAGTCCGGCTCATTCTTGACCGATGATCGCCTTCAGCTGAAGGTACAGGCCTCTGGCGAGGGGGAGAAAAGGCCTGAAGCCACCCTTCAAGGTGTCTACGTCCTCGGCGACTGTGCAGTTACGGAGGGTAGCCGATATCCCGCGACTGCGCAGGTAGCTTCGCAGAAGGCGATCTGGCTGGCGAAGAGGCTTAACAAAGGTGACCTCGAGCAGTCCACATTCACCTGGAAGAATTTGGGTGTTATGGCTTATATCGGCAACTGGAAGGCACTGCTCCAGGGCGGAGAAGGTGGAGGCATATCTGGCCGTACGGCATGGCTGGTATGGCGCGGTGCCTACCTCACTAAGAGCGTGAGTGTAAGAAATAAGATTCTTATCCCGATATATTGGTAAGTACAATTTCGGACACAGGGAGCCTATCACCAAGCTAATTCGACTTAGGTTCATCAACTGGATATTCGGGCGAGACATCAGTCGGTTCTAGGTCGTCACTCTAGCGAAATGCTGGAACACATTGTAGGATATGTTTATATATGGAAGGGTTCAAGAGGCCACTTTAGATTTAGACCACCGGTAGGTATAATATTGGAAAAGCGTATTTGAATAGACTTTCGACTGGGCTTTGATATCATTTCAAGTTCCTCTCTGTGGTAGTACTTCACTGCCAGATCCACACCACTATGCGTTGGCCAATTGCCTGAGAACAACTAGTCAATCACTCACCCCCTTCGTCTCATCAATAATTTGCCCAAAAATATTCTTCGTACATTTCGTGATAAATTCATAAAGACCGCGACTCGAGACGCACGTGCGCACGTGTTTGTGCCCCATGCCCCGCAAGAACTCTGCATGGATCATCGCGACTCGAAAAGCAAACCCTCAGCTCTCAACAGACACACCAACGCGACACGACAGCTCCAACGACAATAACGACAATGACCTGAACGAAGCTCAATCTCAATCTCAATCTCACCCCCCTAATCTACACACCCACCCATCCAACCAATCCCCCGCCTAAACCATGTCTTCATCCCTCGTCTCCTCCGCGCCCACGATCGCGCCGCCTCCCCTCCCCTCAAACCCCATCACCGCCTCGCCGACAGCCCGCACGAAGCGGCTCTCCAAAGCCTCTCGCGCGCCCAATGCGCGACCTCTCGAGCCCAACGTCATCGAGGTCGGGTTCGGGAACCTGCTCGTGAGGCCGTGGTACCCGTCGTTCTACCCGGAGGAGCTGGTGGGCCGCTCGGTGGACAGGCTGTACGTGTGCCAGTGGTGCTTCAAGTACAGCAAGGTGCTGATGCCGTTCCTGGGCCACCTCAAGGTGTGCGAGTGCATGGCGAATCCGCCCGGCGAGAAGGTGTACGAGCAGGGGGGTTATAGTCTGTGGGAGGTGGATGGCGAGGAGTGCAAGGTGAGTTGCGGTCCTTTTTCTTCTTTTTAAATCGGCATGGAACAAGGGGCGCTGATTTGATTGTATGTAGTTGTACGCACAAAACCTCTCGCTGTTCGCGAAGCTCTTCCTAGACACCAAATCCGTCTTCTACGACGTCACGACGTTCCTATACTACGTCCTCGTCGCGCATGACCCATCGCCATCCATCACCCTCCCCGAAGGCCTACAGCACACGACGGTACCTCCAGCGACGACACAGGAAGACGGAGCACCACCAGCACCTAGCACAAGCGCGAGCGCACCCCCGAGGCCACCACACCAAGTCGTCGGCTTCTTCAGCAAGGAGAAGATGAGCTGGGACAACAACAACCTCGCCTGCATCCTCGTGTTCCCCCCGTGGCAGAAGCAAGGTCTAGGCCAGATCCTCATGGGCGCAAGCTACGAGATGAGCAAGCGGGAAGGCAGGCTCGGCGGACCCGAGAAACGTAAGTCGTATCCCCCAATCCAATCGTCTCAATCAAAACTCCATGCCTTTTTCTTCCTTGCGCACCTGGCTGACTTGACGTATCCGCAGCGCTCTCTGAACTCGGTCGTCGCGCCTACGTGCACTATTGGTCGCAGACGCTGGCGCGCGCGATCCTCGCTGCGCCTGCGAAGTCGAGACTCACGGTCGCGGCGCTGCGCGATGAGACGTTCATTGTTGCCGAGGATATTATCGCGACGCTGCAGGCCATGGACGTGCTGGAGCACCGGAGCCGCGGCGGGGCGGACGCGCTGATCAACAAGGCGAGGGTCAGGGAGTGGGTGGAGAGGTATGGTGTCGATTTGAGGTGTCCTGTCGATCCTGAGGGGTTTCTTAAGGAGTATGGGGACGAAGATGATGACGATGAAGGTGGTAGTGAGGAGGACGAGGAGGATCAGGGGGAGGAGTGATGGGCGTATGTCAAGTTTTTGTGTGTTTTCTTGGGGAGTCCTGGAGCAATATACCCACCAACTGCGGTCGATTGTTGGATTGAACTGAATCTAATTTCTTTGCATTTACGTTTTTCTCGATGATAATGTCATATTATAGTGCTCTCTCTTCTGAGTCGTGCCAGAAAAATAATTGCGGGGTATCATGAAATCCAAAAAGTACACCAATCCCTCCCTCTCCATATCAATGTCCATTTGATCATGAGTGAAATGATCATGATGAATCCAAAAGACGTATGCGCCGTACCTTCCATCTAGCTCCGCACATATCACTCTTCTCCAACTAGACACTCATGAGGCCTTCGAATCCGACTTCTTCCCATTCAAATACGCCACCACCTCCGCCGACCTCTCCAACCTCGCCCTCGTCTCCGGCAACCCCTTCTCCAGCCTCCCGAGCCCCTCGAGCGCCCTCTCCCAACTCCTCTCAACTTCATCCGCCCGCTTCAGCCCCTCCACCACCAGCCCATCCTCCGCGCTCACCGTCCCCGCAGCCCTCAACCTCTCCTCCCTCGCCACCCTCTCGCGCTCCAACTCCGCCTCAAACGAAACCCTATACCTCTCGGCCGCCAGCCCGGGCGTCTCCCTCCTGTGCGCGCTGATCTTGCTCACCAGCGCATCCCGCTTGACATTCAGGTCCGCCAGCCTGCTCCTCAGCTTCTCGTCGTACGGCTCGTACTCCTCCACCTCCACGCTGGCCGCCGGCTTCTCCTTCCCGCCATCTTCGTCTTCGGCCAGGGGCACCACGTCGTTCCCGTTAATCGAGATGTTGCGCCTCATGCCCTCGAGCACCTGCGCCACGAACTGGTTCACCAGCTCCTCCGTCTTGCGGCGCAGGTCGTCGGGCTCCGCGGACGGCGGATTGCTGCTGCTGCCGTCTGCTCCTGCTGTGGCGGTGGATGCATTTGCTGTGGTGGAGGATGGGACGGCGGGGAGGTGCAGGTCGAGTTTTTGGAGGGCCGCGTGCCGGATCTGGGATTGGAGGAAGGTGAGGTCTTGCGGGGATTGGAGTTCGATTTTGCGGTGCTCGGCGTCCATGGTTTTTTTTGGGGGTTGGGGTGCGGTGTGTGCGTCGAAGTTGTGCTTTTGATGTTGTCGTGTGTTGCGCGCCGAATATGGGTGAGGTTATTTCATGTACGGGTGCTCGGAGACGTAGATTTGCTAGAATGATTTGGGGTAGATTTTGCAGTATAATTGTTGAGAAATACCCTTTCACGGCGATTGGAGTCGGGATAAACTCGTAGAGTCGTATGCGCTTTGCGGTGCTATTGATTTGTCGTGTTGGTCGGTGTCTGCGTCGTTTGTTTTGATCGCGCGTTGAGTTGTGGAGCCCATGCCGCGGGAACTAAGAGCCAGCCCGCCATCACGTGATGAGAACACCTCTTATCGGAGTATCTTATCGGAGTATCTTATCGGAGTATCTTATCGGAGTATCTTATCGCGGGTATTTACGGGGGCTTGTACCTCTGCTTCACATGTCTGGTACACGTCAGGTCGCTGCTACGCTGATGGTAGAGTGGCAAATTATCAGAGTACAGACTCAGTGTGTGTTTGGTAGTAGTATTAGATTGCATAGAAAAGTGAAAGTTGTAGACAACAATAGGATAGCCTCTTCGCCATCATCCCGAGCGCATTTAGAAGCAGACAACTGGAAACGCCTTCAACTCCACCAACCCATGAATCCGTGATAGATGACGCCTATAACCCATAAAGCACCGTTCTTGCCCATTCATTACGCCGTCGTCAAAAAGCCATGTCCAAAGAGTGACAGGCTTGAAAAGAAGCTCCGGATTGTAAAGGTCCGCGTGAGAAGAAATGAAAGTTACGCCAGGGAATGCCGACGGCAGAGCCAGAGCCCATTCATGGCCCGAACCGTAGTCTACAGCGTCCGTGAGACGCTGTTCCGAATCATACGTGTGACATAGTTCATTGTGGGAAAATCTGTGCGACCTCTTCGTCACTCACAAATATATCTTGCACGGGGTCCTGCTTGCGCTCGAGCTCTTCGAAATGGACATCGGCGTACGACGGCAGGAAGATTTCTAAGACCGAGATCGTCAGCGAAACAGATCCTCTTGTTCAATATGCGTTTGTGACGTTTTGGGCGGATAGAGTTGACGCAAGCTCGGCCCCACTGCGGATACATGGTGCACGTCACTGGGTTCGAGACATGAAACAATACAAATTTGTGGAGCTTCTGTAGGGTTGTATATGTGCGGCAGTGCATGAAACGTACCCTGATTCCAGTGGAAGCCCTGTGATGCCTTGATACACGAGACCTGTGCCGTTGTGAGTCAAATGTACTGCAATGTATCGGGATTGAATGTGGATTGAACGATTCGGACGAAACGGGGCAGAGGCAGTGGCCGTACCAGTCTGGGGCTCTCGGAATTGCCGATATTGACGACAGTATACTCGGCTTCAGAGAAGGATGGCGCTGGTATAGGTTAGCAATCTCTTCTTCACGTCTCCAAGCGATCTGGCGAGGCAGCGATTTGGTCGGACCCAGCAACGTCGGCGACGAGGCCAGCGCAAAGTGGTAGGAATAGACATACACATCAGAGACGGCCTTCGGTTATGGACAGATGAATGGCGGGACGGAGGAGTGCTTGGAGAGGTAGACATGTTGCTTGAGTAGCTTCCGTATGCGAATGGGGAGTTGCTCGAGTTGGTCGTTGAGCTCGATGCAGCCGCGGTATACCGATTACTAGCACCGCCTTGCTTCTTCTTTCGCTGGGGGATAGCAATGGAGGAAGACATGCTGGAGGAGAGAGTAGGGTGTGAAGTGTATCGTCATGCACTATCGAAGAGGACGGAGGGCGAGAAGGTCGTGCATGAGAATGTGTTCGCAAGCGGGGTCTAGGATTGCGGAAAGTGAGGTTATCAATGGTACAAGTAGTAGGGTTGGGGGTTGCGAATGACTGTTCAACTCGGGAACCAATGAGGTCATGGAGTGGCCGCGGATGAGCCCCTTTCCCCCCTTCTCATATGCCCCCCATGTGAGCGTGTGACACCAGACCAGGTTGCAGCTATTACAATATGACACAAAGGGTACAGATTGCCCAATGACTAGTTGACATCTAGACATTTAGCGTACTGTATAAACACTAATTACTAGCAGCCTGCAGGCACCAGTTCACACTTCTCAAAGCGGCATCGCAGGAGGGGATGTGTATGGCTCAGATAAGCCTAGAAGAGACTCGGATACGGGCGGCCTATGCGTAGATTTCTTGAACCAGGCCAGCAGGTTCAGGACTATGGTACTGCATCCACTTCATGGCTTCGTCGATTGGTGGATTGAATTGCCTTAAAACTTTCCATTTATTAACTCAGTCAAAGCCTACCGCGGGATAAAGTAGTTGGATAATCGTACATTGGGATATCGTGTGAAAAGCACTCCGTGAGAAGGAAAATGAACAAATGAAACGCTCCACTCGGCCCTGCCGGTATAAGGACAGCAAATGCTAACAATGAGCTTCTCCTTCCACAACCAAACCCCCATTACAGATCAAAGCGATGCCCAATCCCTCAATCAGGGCAACGTTCATATTAAAAGGAAGGTTGAGAAGAGAACAACGCAAATGACAGGGCATAACAGGACAAATCATAGCAAGTCGCGATAACAGGCCAAAATATCAGTGCTAGGTATGCGGGTTGTTATCAAGGTGGAAATGTTAGCGTGGAGATTTCGATGCGAGCGAACTCCCTGGCCCGACATGTGTCCATCAAGGTCCCATCAACCTCCATCGCACACCCAACCTCGGTGTCCTTAAGACCAGAAAGTGATAGCAACCGGCAAACTCCCAACTCCTCGGCTTTCGGTCATTGCGTGATAGATCGGTACAAAATCTTCGTGTATCAGAGATAAAGACTGTCTCCGCCGGGTAGAACACGGTACCAGGCGAATGTAATGGAAAATGGGGTATCATAAGCTTCATTACCAAAGTTGAGGCCTTGCCTACCATCCCTTTTTCCGAGCGAATCTCTTGTTGAGAAGAACGAGTACCTTCGAGACATTGAACTGAACGTATTCCAGATCTAGATCTTCCTGGTTGTCCTTTTGCATCTCAAGCAGATCGTCCAGTTTAAGGTCGAGCTCAAGCAAGCCGCGGTTGCGACCCTTGTAGTGTAACGAGATGACGAACGTTCCAGGTAACGGACTAGTGAAGTTGAAATAGATATTTGCTCTCCGATTCTCTGGGACGTTGCTTTTCTGGATGACGCCCTCCTTCTCGAGCTGTTGATGTGTAAATTTGTAAGGTCCGAGGACTTGGTGTTTCTGTTGCTTCCTTGTCTTGCCCTCGGATTGACTTCGGACGTTGTGCAGGTAAGACTTGTACGTTTCAAGCTGCCCGACAAGGTAGGCATTGTGGTCGCGAATTGTGCGGAATACTTCTTCGAGTTTTCGGGTTTCTTCAACCACCTTGTCCTTCATAGAACCCAAGTGCACAAGCTCCTGCTCGACCTCGTCTCGGAGTAGGGAAAACGAATCTTCCTTGTCGATGACGCCAAGCTCTTGCAATTGACTGAGCAATTCCATACTACGGATGCCCTTCTTCACCATGACAGAGTCATTCTTCGTCGTAGCGGCCGCCTCGGCAATTCGGTCCAGCCTCAAGGGGCGTCGCGTGATGGAAGTGTTTGGTGGTAAAGATCGCAAAATCATCACAAATGTAGACTTTGCCTCCATGAAGAAGATTTCCTCCTGCGTAATGTCGAGGGCCGCGGTGAAATCATCTAGAGACGTTTCCCATTTGCTGAAGAGTGGTAGGTTGATCGCTCGGTTCTCCTTTCGCGGCAACTGGGCAGGTGCGGGGCCGAGTTCTTGCAGAATCACGCCGAGATGGGAGGTATCGTCCTTCGCCTATAATGATATTAGATCGATATTGATAATATGCCAATGAGGTTAGAATAGACTTACGAGTTCAGTGGCATGCTTATCAAGCAATGCATGAGTGGCGTACACCTCGTTGAGTGTGATGGACAGTTCGAGGTCTCGTTTGGAAAGGGCAACATAGTTGTCCATCTCCAGAGTCTCGTAGAAATCCTGCACTTCACAGAGATCGAGTAGGAACTTATTGATGCGCTCCTTGTTCTGCTGAATGAACGGCTGAAGCTTAACCATGTAGGGCTCCTTTGCATAGGACGGCTTGTTGGCCAAGTTCTGCAGCATCTTTGCGACATAGGTGAGCGTGCGCTTTGGGTTTTCGGCTGGAGTGGCGTCGATGAGCATGTAGGACCTCGGCGTAACGATGGCGGGATTGATGAAGCGAAGGAAAAAGAACCCTCCGATCAAAGTACAGATGGTCTGGTCCTGGGCATCAGGATACTTGCGCTTCGACAAGCTGCGAATCTGTTTGCAGATCCATCGAATGCCGTAGGGCGTCTCCTCCAAACCGTTGATGATGGTTGTCAGGAAGTTGTTTGCAATCTCCATGAGCATCGTCAATCGAGGAGCAATGATCTGCTGAACGGTGACGTTCTCTGCGGCTTGTTCTGCCGTGACGCCCTTGGGCAAGTTGGGGGGTAATTGGCCCTCCTTATCTTCGATCTCGGCCACCATCTTCTCGTAAACCTTCAGAGGATTAATCTCCAGATCCAGGTCCCTCAATTCGATCAAGGAGTTAATGCTGTCTGCGAGAACAACCTTCAGGTAACTCTGACCGGGACCTCGGCGGGTGTATGTGGTCATCATTCGCGAAACCGGGGTGTTGGCGCGGAGCAAGGAGCTGTAGTCGGGTGTGTTATCGAACTGGTATGTGAGGACAGACTAGCGCAGATGGTCAGTTACTGTACGTCGATAAGGGTCCAAAAGGATGAGGCGTACCTGAAACATGGTGAGGAGCAAATGCTCTTCTCTGCTCTCGTACTGGTTACCATAGATGGTGAACATGACGGTTTGCAGGAGCGCGTCAATCTCAGCCATGGAGACGAGACGACAGAGGTGGGCAATGTGTCTTGGTTCCGACTGCAAAAGGAAGAGCAGGTTTCCATATTTTTGCGTCTTCTCGTCGTTGGGAAAGAACCCCTCCTGTAATTCGCCCTCTTCCAAATGGCTCGCGACCTCGTTTTGCTATATCATTTGTTAGCGTGTTTGTTCGTATACCGACCATGGGGCATGCTCAAATTACCTCTTCCAAAGCCATACGGTTCTGAATTAGTAGAGCGATTCGGGAGTCGAGGTAGCGGACATCCTTTTCGAGGACGAAGTTCTTCTTTGATTGAGAAGAGATCTTGGATTTGAGTTCGCGCAAAGTTTTCTGGGCTGTATGATTATGATAACGTTAGCCAACCGTCATGTTGATCACTCAGAGGGGTTTGGGTCTGGCTCACCTCGAGCTAGATCATCTTCAATTTCCAAATCCTTATCCTTGGCGGACATGGACAGGTATAGAGCGGTGACCGAGTATCGTTTCGACTGGCGTACGGATCGAGAGCCATCGTGAGAAGACATTGTGTTCTGTCGCGAGACGGGGATGAAGGAGGAGGAAGAGGAGGTCGACGCTCGCGACGGAGCGTGAAGCATGGAGACGGCCATGGGAGGCGAGGGAGTGGAAGAGACGAGGAACAGCGAGCAGGCAGTGGTTGAATCGGCGTAGGAGTAGGAGATGGGTTTAGTAGTGGTACTTGGAATGCTGTCGCACAAGCAGCGATGCAACGGGATGGATCGTAGGGCGATGAGACCGACAAAGAAGGCGGAGGGTCGCGGGGGTATTCAGGTACGTGTGCGACGCCAGCTAGAGCAGGCCACGGCCGTCGCCGTTACCAGTGGCTTTGTTGTTTCTCGGAGAATGGAGAAGAGGCGGTGGAGAGTCGCGATGGAAGGCGTGGTAGAAGGCGCGACGTGATGGTGGTGAGGTGGAGGTGGAGGTGTGGTAGGTGACTTTCTTTGTGCGAGTGCAAAGACGAGGCCCGGGAGCGTTCCTGGATCGAGGGGCAAAATAGTGGTTCGCTCAGCGACGGTTCGCGAACGATGCAAGAATGGCGAAGATGAGTGACGCGCGAGCCAGCGGCATTCCAGAATGGCCACGGAGGAACGCTTTACAAAGAGGGATGAGACGGGAGATAGAGTCGAGGACTGGTGGACTGTGCTTAAAGATTTGGGGTGCGAAGGCCACCAGGTCTGAGAAGATCGAGGGTGGTGGTGGTGGTGGTGGTGGTGGAGGAAGAGAGGGAGAAGAGGAAGAAGAAGTAATAGGAGTGGGTGAAGAGTACGCAGTAGAGTAGTTAATGTAAGTAGATACTGCGAATAAGAGGTCTTAGCAGTAATAGTGGAAAGGATGGAAGGAAGGTTAGGGTTAGATTATTAGGTGGGTAAGGCTGTGGAATAGGTAGGGCGCGAGGAGCGGGACGAGTGGGAGGGAGCAATGCAATGCAAAGCGACGCAAAAGCGATCGAAGCCAAAGCCAGAGCCGAAGAGAAGAAGTGGAGTGGAGCAGAGAGTAGTGGGCTATTGTGTGTGTATGTATAAAGGACTGTGCTGTGTGTACGGCGGAGGTATGTTGGGTTAGGTATGGGGAGTAAACTCAGTACACACAGTAAAGCAAACCATCACAGTGTAATGACCAAAGGAGTCTGGTGCAAGAATAGCAGCTATCTAGTCATCTAGTGGTTGGTTCGCCTGGATATTGCTTAGTCGATCGGTGGGGAGGGGGGGCAGACGAAGAGGCAAAGAAGAGGGAGACGGCGTTTCAGGATGATTATCATGGTTTTACTCCGTACATCTGAGGGTGATTGCAGTGACAGCAATAGTAATACCAGAAACACAAGAATCAGATGGTACGTATGTCCTTGTGAGAGCCTACAGGTAGATTGTAATGGGCAACAAACAAGTAATTAAGAAGTGTCTTTAGTGACACTGGCCCTGTGCCCAAGTACTCGTAGATTCTCAGGCACGGTAGGGTAGGTTTCAATTAATTGCTGTGCAGGTTTGCATAGGTACTCGTGGTTAGACAGCAGATAGACACAGACTACTCCGTACAGTAGACACCTTGTTTTGATAATGTCGATACCACTGTCTGTGTTTAATCAATTGAATGGAATACACAGTCAGTTAACCAGAAGGCAGAGGGGAAGAAAGAGTACTCAATACACGGTGACACGGTTACACAGTTACAGTAGAGGAGAGGAGATGGCATGGCAAGGGAAGAGGAGAGGGGAAAGGAGGGGGGGACGGCGGGTTGAATGAAAGACGTGATTGGTCGGATTGGGGAATGTACACACTCGTCAAGGTGTGGGTTGCGCGGTGTGGGTACGGGTTATGACTGACTAGGTTTAGCTCCGGCTAGTCGCAGGTCGTCGCTTGTTAGTAGTCAGGGGGAAGAAAGACACGAGGACGAACAAAATCATGTTCACGTTGATCAGGACAAAGAACATCGGATTTAAGACAACTTACAAATTACCTTTGTGTGAGCGTGAACTGAAACTAGTTCAACATAGAAAAGCTAGAGGAGAACTATCAAAAGGCAGAGGAAGATGATCTCGGCGGTATGAAGATCATTGCTCACCAATTCCAATTCCAATTCGAGCTCCAGTTACCTATCGGACTCGACTTGCAGTTACTACAGATATTCCTACTGGACAGTGGACACCACCAGCTACTATTGCTTCACGGCAGCTCCGAGTACACCTACCAACAGGCCATGAAAACTGGTGCGGAGTGTTAGGCGAGTGTCAGTCATGGGCACTGACGAATGCCTGAAGCGGACAAGCGCTGGTCGAGGGTCGACGTCTCGTCTGAAACGGAGCAGAAAGGGGCTCGGGCAGGAAAGGCCACCCCACCCTAACTGCCCTAACCTAAACCTAACCAACACCCTGACACCCTTCCATCATCCTCCATCATCATCATCATCGTCATCCTACGGTGGAGTGCATGTAGGCACACATTACAGTCAGAGACAATGCCTATGAAGACAGGACCAATCACACTAGTCGATTACAGCCTGTGCTCTCTGTTGCTACAATAGAGTAGTGTTCGAGGATACACACATCTACACAATAACGCCATACGCCCACCATGCGCCATCGGCCTACACAGTACAAGTACAACCCATCCACTGAATCCTTGCAGCCCTGCCCGAGGTGAACCGTGAACAACTACAACAAACTAGATGAAGTAGACTCTTGTCACTCTTTCTTCATTTACACAATATCGATGACGATGATCAAACGTCACTCACGATTCAGAACTCATCACACCACCACTCCACTACCGACCTGAACACTTTGAGCCATTATTGCCGTCTTGAGTCTTGACTACTTTGTACACAGTAACCAGGTAGTATTATCAGTTTACCACAGCACAGCCCTCGCTAGATCCCTCCGTAATCCCGAATCTCCTTGCGCTACAACCACAGGAATCCAACACTGCGCTTACTGTGTACAGTTACTTGTACCTGTACTTGTGCTTAGTACGGAGCAGAACCATCAATCGTAAACGTGCAACCGAATCTCAGGTACATACTAATAAAGGACTTGTACAGGCACTCGGCCTAGCGTAGGAAGAAAGAAAATCGAATGATTGCGAGTGTTGCGACGGGGTGGAACTAGCACATTGGATATCTCTTGGCAGGTACCATTCCGACCTCTACTAACTTAATTCCCATCAATACGGCATTGCCGAATTTCGTTTCATTCTTCAATCGGTGCTATCGCCCGCCCATCTGAAACTCTAAATAAATCATTATGAATTACTCCGTACATAGGTACATACAATCTCTTGAATAACAAATGCAATCTGTGCGCGAAACAGTGACGGCCATCATACAACAAAATATGCCACCGGATTCCTCGGTCAGCGGATCAACTTCGCCAAACATTCCCTTCTTCCCCTTCGTCTCCTCCGCCGCTGGATTAAGATACTTTACTACCGCTTCGGAGCTATATCCGCTAGACCATAGCAAAAGACCCGGACCCGCATTAGGAAATCGAATGCTGAAAAAACCCTTGACCCACGACGGCTTGGTTCCACCTCTCTAAGCAACCCGCTAAGAGAACCCGCACACGAACACATGATCATGACGGCCTACTTACCCAGCCACGACGCTCGTGCTCATGGTCGAGCTCAATATCCAAGCCCATACTCATACTCATACTCATATCCATACTCATAACTTCGTTCCCGAGCCGCCGGAACGCCAATGAAAGATTCCACATCAATCAACCGCTACGCTATGCACGAGTAAGACAGGATAAGACGCCCTGGAGTCCCGGACATCCAACAGAAACAACTGCTGCCCGCCTATCTTCCCATAAGCGATGGCATGCACAGGCCCAGCCTTCGTGTCCGTGCGTAGGCGATCCCCATAGCGGTGCGCCTATCTCGTATTGTCTGTATGTATTTGTGAAAAAGGAAAAGAAAAAAAAGAGAGACAGCCCATGTCATGCGCGTGCGCGCGCGCACGCCCGCGCCCAGCAACTGAGGAGAAATCGCAAGCCTCCGCAGTTTTGCGAGCGAGCGAACGGACAAATTCGAAGGAGCGAACGAACGAACCGGCCGAGCGAACGAGCGAGCAAAACGAGAGGCCGAGCGAGTGAACGAACGAACGATTGAACCCATGATCGAGTCAGTGGACCACCGCCGCAAGGACCGTCATGATCCCGAAATAGCTACATCGCGTGTTAGTCGTCTCTGGAAAAGAAGAGCCAATGCCGTATGGGACCTGAAAGCCGCCATGAGCGCCATCAAATCCTCCAAATGAGTGTTCCATGACATGCATGCAGCATTTGTACCGAAACAATATTCGCTGACATGGGGGAAGGAGCGGGCACTAACAACAATGCTGTTTGTGCTGCGTGCAAAGACAATTGCGCCCGGCCGTCTTTGTTCTCCCCTGGCCGTGGCGCCACGGCGGTGGTGGACCCTTTCCGACGTGCAGGCTCCCCTGCACCCCGCAAAGACTACTTGCGTTTGTTTTGTTTGAACGCCGTCCTCTCACACGAGGGGAGACCATGCCGTATAAGGTTCCCAGGGCTTTTTCTCCACAAAGTAAATATGAGAAAGTGTAAACTTACCATGATCCACACATGACCCATTCCCTCGCCGTCATGAAGTCCTTCAGCTCCGTCGTCATTACGATCTTGACCTCCACTGCAGCAATCATCGCGATGACGAACAACCGCCCGAGCAGTCCGGGCACAATGGCGAATGCCATGAGCGGGAGGACGAGAATCAGCGGGAGGTAGATGGCCTGCGATTGCTGCGGCAGGCCGCCGATGATCAACGACCTCGATTCTCTCCGCGGAATCGCTACGAGGTCGTTCTTGCGTTTGAGGAATTGGGCTTCAGGGCCTTCGATCGGTGTTCGCTGCTCCATCCACTTCTGGTAGGTTTGGATGTCTCCGGCTTTGGCTGGGCCAAGGTCTTTGATCATGTTACTGTACGATGATAGTGCTTGGTCTGTTCGGGTGGTAAGTGTTGTTTCGTGTACTTGTAATTGGATAAAGCATGTTACATACTGTACTGATTCAATTTCATAAACACCTTGCCCAGGACCTCCGTCCTTCGGAAGTGTAGGTCATTGCCATATCGGGCATCTCTGCGTCTGGACGCGGGCTGGAAGCGACCGTATTCGTCTCGGGGAGAGGCATGTGCAATGCACTCGTCGAGGTAGCGCAGCTCCTCCTCCAGCTCGGAAATCTCGTCTTGCAGATGCAAGAGGACGCGGTGGTTCAGTTGCTCGAACTTGCGGTACATGGGCACGATGCCTTGGTGGGTACCGACAGTGCCGGTGGCGTTCGCAGATCCAGCCAGCTTGTCCGCCATCAACTCGTATCCTGTCAGTGTGCTCTTGGGTTCTTTGGAAACCCGGGGCTGTATCTGGTACTGATGTGGGTTTAGTGCGTCTGCCGGTGGCTGCATTGGTGAGCGAGCGGTTAATGCCATATGCTGGCCAGCTGACCATGGCGAAGCTGGTGCTTGCCTTGGAGATGCATAATCTATGGCAGCTGGTGCTGGTTGTACATGCAGCCAGGCTGGTGTTGGTACTGGTGCTGGTGCTGGTGCTGGCGCTGGCGCTGGCGCTGGCGCTGTATATCCGTGATAGCTCGGCTGTGAAGAAGCCTCACTATAAAGGCTGGGGTTATAGTACGGCATCTGGTTTTGTACGCTGGGACTACTGTAGGCTGCTGCATGAGGCACCGGTGGCGGTGGAGGACCTCGCAGTAAATGCTCTCTGCGTTCACGTTCCTGGTTTCTCATCCGTGTGGAGTGGTGGTCCTGGGCGGGAGGTGGAACAGCTACTGCGGATGCGGCAGGGCTGGCTCTCTCTAAGGCGAAGTTGTTGTGATATTCATGATTCTTTTGAGTAGCATGTGGATGACTTGCGCCTGAACGCTCGTCCTCCGAATCTTGATCTTCCGATCCCTCTGATTCCTCTTCTTCTTCGTTGTCCTCTGATTCCTCTTCTTCCTCCTCGTCTTCGACAACATATGCGTTGAGGTTCCCAGGCAGTCGATTCGCACTGGTTGGACTGCACTCGCGAACTGATAATTCTGAGCCGCTGTGTTCTGAGCCTTTCTCGTCTGGTCTTTGGTATGTTCTCGTCGATGCAGGCGAAGTCAGTGGCGAATCGACATTCTGGTCCTCATGATTCGATGTCCCGGCCTCATGATTTCCTTGGCCAGAAGATGTCGAGTCGGCCGAAGACGAAGATGGAGATCTTTCTTTAGGTTGTTGTTTCTTGGTAGACTGTGCAGTCCTACGGCGTTGCTTACCCATCAGGAGTTCAAGTGGCTGCCCAGCTGACGTGGACAGATTCTCACGATCACCTTGAATAGAATTTCGACGATACCCGGTAGTGGGCTGCGAGTCCTCCAGATCGGGGCGTCGGCGAGTTCTATGTTTTCGATGTTTAGATGGAAGAGACGAAGTAACGCTTCTCAAGTCATTAAAGTCTTCACGGCTCACTGGTCTATGTCGGCGATAAACGTCTCTCGTGGAAATAGAGCTACCCTGGGCAGAGGTTTCGACTTGCGGCGTGAGGCCCGATCTTGTGAGATATACAGAGGATTCCGATGAGGGAGTCAGTTTCTCGCTCTGGTGCTGCGAAGCAAAACTATGTCTATGTTTCCGGTGTCGTGAACTTAAAAGAGAATCATCGGCCACTCTATGCCTGGTACTCGTGGTCGAAAGCTCATCTGTAGGCGTCGCAGGCTGCTTATGCCTTTTTCGGATGTGTGATACCTTATCTTGGATGATTCGGTTGGGTTGCGGGGGAGATCTAGTGCGGACCTTCTGGTCGACTCTGCTCGAGGGCGCAGGACCCGTGACTGACCTCGAATGCAAAGAGCGCGGATCGGGCCAGGTATTGTCTGACGAACATGAACTCTTAAGTATGTGACCAGCAGCGGATCTCAATTGCAAGTTTTCCTTTGCGACACTTCTGCATGCTGTAGGTGAACTTGATAAATCCTCGTCCTCTCCAAAGGCTGTTGGATAAGCGGAAGGAACAAGAGAGGAATATTCAATAGCAGGGGGAGTGGGACGAGGTATATGCCTGTGCCCAGAAGATCCGGTGCGTGAGTGACGATTATGCGGTCGTACAGAGCTGCTCTTCCTCAGAGGTGAGGGGGGTGACTGGAGACAAAGGGTTCAGGTGTCAGCGTGGCGGCCCAGCGCAGTTCTTACACAGGGTATATGGCGAGTCGAGGTGAACCCAATCTACTTTTTCTACTCACCATGCTACGTGTACATGTAAGGTTGATCCTTGCATGGGTCGCAATTAATGTCGATAGGCTTTAATGGCCTTGGACTGGCGACGTGGGCCAGGGCTGCGCAAAAAAGCACGAGCAATGAATGGAACGAGCGCTTTTTGGGTGGCGCACAGTGCGAATGCTCGCATGCTGTTGGAGGCAAGGAAGCGAGCGAACAGGAAGAAGAATTGCTGGCCTTGAATGATTGATTCCAGGCGAGGCTTGACGGGCATTGGTGGTGGCAGCAGTCCTATAAACCAGAACAGGGTTCAGCCTACAACCGGGTGCAAAGGGAATATATACATACATCTAACGCGGAAGCGTCATGAGGTGTACTTAAACAATCGGACTGTCGGAACCTCACCGCCTTAGGAATCCATCATCGTAGGTTTATGTACGAAAGAAGAATTGATCAAACGATAATATTAGTCGGTAATGTAGGTACGGGGCCGGGGTAAGCCACTGCACTATGCTACTTCCTATGCAAGCGTATAACCCAATGTCAATCCCAATTGCACTTCCAGGCATGCTCTATGCCAGCAAATATGAGACAGCGAGGATTTGAGAAGTTAAGTCGTTGATTTGGACCGTTGAACTCTTGCTCCCATTATCTTAACTATATATGTAACTTTTGAGACCCATCACACCATTGGAGGCCCATCCGAGCCACGAAGTGATGCATGCTCACCGCTCCGAACATACATCTTTAGCTTCGTAGCTATAAGATACCTGCATTCCGACATTTTATAAAGTCCTTCCCCCATAGGAACTACAATACGATTTCCCAGCAAGTCTGTCGTGCATGTCGTATGCCGCAATTCCCATTTCATTGGCCATTTGGAGTAACACCCTAACTCCATTCTGCTTGAGCTTTGAAGTACCTACCACGTTGTCGGTACTTTTGAATACTCTTCCTTGCTAATCTTCAGATCATCGAATACAGTATCATTCCCTGTGCAATCATGAGCATATGGTTTGCAAGTAACAGACATCAGAGACCTACCATGGAGGTGTTCAACGCGAAGCTCGTCTTCATGCTCCAATTGATCAATCTCTTCCTTTGGCGTTATCTTCTCCTGTTTCGCATCTTTCGTGGTGGGCTCTGTGGCTTTCTCTGTGTTCTCGCCAATCAACAATATCTGGCAATTCTCATAATCCAGGTAATTCGGTTTGACCTGAGCCCAAGCTAGACCCCGAAACTCTTCGATCACTCTGTGGAGAATTAGCAAACCAGACATGTAAGAGACATGGAATCAACGAACTCCTTTGGAAATTCGGGGCCCTGTGGTAGTCTAGCGCTTGCAGGCCCAGGTCGTTCCGGATTTTTGACGCTGATCACGAAACTACCCTCAGACCGCAAACCCAAGTCATCCTGAACCACTCCAAGCTCCGTCGGAATAGTGATAGCATATACTAGATGTGTAGTACGGTCTTCAGTGCGAGTGATCAAGTACACCCCTTCACCTACTGGCGTTACAGGCTTGTTGTGTCGTGTTCCAGCTGTCTGCGTCTCATACTCGGATCCTTGGAAGAATTGATCTTTCAACTCTTGTATGGAAATCTTCGACTTCTCCACAAATGCCATGAAGCGGTCGCTGTGCGATTTTGGGAAGGCCTTTTTGGGCAAGGCAAATAGACGATTGTCCTTTGAATCCGCAAGAGCGCCTTCGCCCAGTTTGGCACCTTGGCTCAGAGGTCGCATGACGAAAAAGGTACGTTGGAGGTCGCCTACACTCTCAGCATCGTCGACTCCAACACGATTGCGAGTGAAGAAATAGATGATTCCCTTTTCCAATATATTGGATGGTGCCCTTTTACGCCGATCAGCGGAATCCTCCACAGCGCCGCTCTTCGGAGCGGCATCGCCGTGCTCTTCTTCATTATCATTCTTTTCTTCATGGTCCTGTTCTTCACTACCTTTCGTAGCGCGCTCCTTGGCTTCTTCTTTGCTTTGCTCCTCAGCCTTATGCTCTGGCCGAGTGTTATCATCGGTGGGCTCCGAGCCGCCGTTGGTTTGTAGGGTCTCTTCCAGTGTTATTTGTTTCTTTGCCGCTTTAGGATCATGTGTTGATTGCTCGGAAACAGCGTGCTCTTTCCTCTTTGTTCCAACAGAAGCGTTGTCTGGGTTTGACCCGCTGTCATTGGAACGAGTAGTGACCATTTTGTCACAGATACTGTTGTGTATCGCGTTTGATCAATTACTGAAACAATTGGAGGAATTGGCGTCTTTCAAAAGCTGAAAGAACTGTGAAAGGGGTTTGTGAATGATACTACCTCGTAGAAGCACATGAAAGTACAACGCGTTACACCCTCCTAAATATACACGTGACGTCATGAGTGCGCGTTTGTCACGTGGAGATTCAAGCAGTGAATTGGGTCTAAATAGTCCCCGATGGCAATCATTGTTTGTTTCTATTCAGTATATATGTCAGGTATGGGTCCTAGAATCTGTTGATCAGACGGTGGGTCGATATAATTCAACAAATACGGCGCGCTACTATTATATAATGAGGTCAGAACAGGTATATATATTCAACGTGCGACGATCGGAACTATATCTATTTTATCCCAAAGATGCTTCAAATGAGAGAATTCCAGATGATACCCCTTCAGGCGTGGGCGTTTCGGCACACACGTCGGGTACGAAGTCGAATTCGTTGATCAGGAAGTCGCGAGTAGTCGGTCCTATAGTCGCTACGAAAACTCCTTGAGCTTTGGCGTTGGGTTTCACTTTTCCAGTACTACTATCAAGCAGATCCAAACTCTCCAACATAGCCTTGCAGCCAGTGGGAGAAAATACGACTACCCATTGGTGGCCACCCGCGTCATTTTGTTGCCATATGGTGGTGAATTCATCCTTGAAGGAGTGCATCTCACCGGTTTCATAAACCACCAGTTCATCCACCCGGGAACTCGTGGACGATGGGAGAGTCTGGGACTGAAGCTTTCTAGGGATGATGTCTCGTCGTTTATCACCTACGAGAAACAGTATTGGTGGATTCTCGATGTCCTGATACAAGTCGTTATAATGATCCAATATAAAATCAGCAAGGACTTCGCCAGTGCCGGTCGATTCACCAAGTATCGGACATTGCAACTGTATCGCCTTGAGACCGCGGGCAGTTGCTGGCCCGACAACGTACAATGGAAGAGTCTTTGGTAAATTTGTGGCCAGATCAAACCCATCTTGCTTGTGCCGAAGTCCATCAACAACCTCTGTGAAGGCTTCTACAGCGCGCTGAGAAGTGAAGATAATGGCGCCATAACCTGGCGTTTGACCTTGTTCCCTTGGAGCGAATCTCCCGGCGACAATATCGCGTTGGACCTGGTGTAACGCATCTTTTTTGAATCGGTGCTCCAACACTGGAACAAATGTGGGTTGATATTGGGCCTCCTGCAAGATGGAAAAATGGTCCTCGTATGCATCATTTGGTGCAGACTTTGTCTTGAGAAGGAGAACGGGTATCCTTCTCGTTATTGAATCTGCCATAGTTACAAAACGTTCCGAGTAACAAAGCTGGAGTAAACGGCAAAGATATAATTCGGCTGCGATTGGCCCTCTGTGGTCTGAGAGGCGCCAAGCCTTCGAGAGCGGATCGGGTAAACTTGCCGTTAGAGGACAAATTGAGCATACGGCCAGAACTTATAATTGTGTGGGCCGTTTAACCCTCGCCCATCACCAACCCCAACTTCTCCCTTTACCTCTCTCAATCATTTCAATTGCCTCGACAAGTTCAGAGCGCTCGCCTCACGCTCTATATAACCAAAAGCCATCAGCAATGGCCGACGTTGCAACTCCCAACACTTCGAAGGTGACCACGAGCGATGCCCCCACAGAGGGCAAGCAGCAGTTCGTGAGGCCAGAGAAGCCAGATGAGGACGCATATAAGGAGAACCTCGCTAAGGCCGAAAAGGCCCACGCGAGTGCCCAAGAGAAGTTTGTAAGTAGTCATCAAATGTTGTCATCGCTACATGTGAAATAAGCATGTGTCAACTGCGATCCTCGGTTCGCTCGAGTCCATTTGTCGCGGGTTCCTACCTTGAGCCAAAATTCCACGAAAGCGATCGTGCTCGTACCACAGAACCACACCTACCTTTTTTTTGCGGCGCGAGAACTTACCAATCGATCTAGAACGCCGTTAAAGCAAAGTTCGACCTTGCCCGACCCAACAACAAGGACAGCCCGAATGCGAAGCGCCAGCAGGAGCTCAAGACCGAGCTCAACCAGATTCGCCAGACACAACAAGGCAACAAGTCCTCCCGCAGCGCAGTCCACGAGCGCATCAAGAAACTCGATGAGCAACTCAAGTCCCGCTTGAACGAGCTCAAGACAGCCAAGGGCAAGGTTAACTACAAGTCTACGGATGATGTTGACCGAGAGATCGCTCATCTTCAGAAGCAGGTCGATACTGGAACCATGAAGTTGGTTGACGAGAAGAAGGCTCTTACTGAGATCACCAACTTGAACAAGCTCCGCAAGAACTTCTCCACATTCGACTCGCAGCAGAAGGGCATTGACGATGTCAAGGCTCAGATCGCTGAGCAGAAGAAGCTCTTGGACGATCCCGAACAGAAGGCCCTCAGCGAAAAGTACACCAAGTTGCAGACCGAGTTGGATGGTCTCAAGGCGGAGCAGGATGAGGCTTTCAAGAGCATGAAGGAACTCAGGGACCAAACGGACAAGGCTCGCGCCGATCAGCAGGCCAAATACCAGGCAATCAAGCAGCTCAAGGATACCTACTATCAGCAGAAGCGAGCTTTCTCCGACTACGACTACCAGGCCCGCAAGGCGCGTCAAGAGCGCAGGCGTCAAGAGCAGTTGGAGTGGCAGGCCGGTAAGCGCAAAGAGGCCGCCAGCAAGCGTCTTGAGGAGGCCAGCGCCCCTGCCTACCAGGACGAGATTCTTGCTTGCGAAGGTCTCATTCGCTACTTCGATCCTTCTGCTCTCCCCGCAAAAGAGAGCGCTGTCGCAAGCAAATTCGCTGCATCCGCCCAGCGCACCGTTGACGACTCCGGCTTCAAGGGCACTCGTTTGTCCAAGAAGGATGACGACGAGGAGTCTTACTTCGTTGGTGGCGGTGGAAAGAAGAACAAGAAGGGAAAGAAGGGCGGTGCGGCACCTGCAGCCCCCGCAGAGGCCAAGTTCAACCTCAGCATCGGCGTCATTGAAGAGCTGTCTAAGGTTGGCGTTGACGCACCCTCCAGCCAGGCTGATGTTCCTGCGACTGTTGAGAAGCTCAAGGCCAAGCTTGCCCACTGGAAGGAGGACCAGGACCGCAAGACGAAGGAGGTAAGTTAGACCGAATCTTTGTACGCAGCTTCGAACGATAGCTAACTTTGTTTAGAATATTGCAAAGGCACAGAAGGAGATCGATCGCCTCGAGGCAGAGGACGCTGAAGAGGACCATGGCGCAAAGGATACCGCACGCAAGCCTAGCCAAAAGAATCAGGCTGTCAATGGTGATGCTGTGGACGCAGCTGCCGAGCTAGAGCAGGAGAAGGACGGCGCAGCTGATGCCGCCGAAGAGCTCAAGAAGGCCAAAATCGAGGACAGCACCACTGCAGAGTCATAAAAGCTCTAGCAACGATTCGGCTGGCGCGTGCCAAACAGCCGTGATGGGGGAAACTCTTTGCATCTGTTCAAGATATTCCGGTGACTAAAGATTTGACCTGGGGACATCTTGGACAAAAGCATATTGTTATCATCTTGAAGCGTTACATTTGTTCGTCTACAGCTCCCATCACACACCTCTTCATCTCCTTCTATCCATTTTCCAAAAAAAGGTACACTTTCTTGTGGCATCATTTACACGCCGTAGAGGTTTTCCTGGATACCTATGAATTTATCAAATGCATCTCCTTCATCTCACATTTGCAATTCGTTGTTCCATGATAATTGTGGACTGACTACACTCGTGTGTATGTAGTTATTGGGACCATCGACAAAATAGTGAAACTGCATGCAAAAGTGGGTCAACCCGTACGATACAACCAGATCCGATACCCGCAACCAGATCTCGCGAGCCATGGCTTTTCCTCAAGATCGATCGTGTGGGGACGCGAATTCTAAGGAAAAAGGCGTCATGAGAGGTACTGGTACGTACCGTACCCTATTTGTGGGGTCTTGTGTGGTGCAACTCTTTGACGTCATTAATGTGTATTGCCTTCCCTCTCCACCCATAAGAAGGCCATGAGCACACAACACGCAAACAAACAGCAATCACCACCAGTTACTTTCTTCTACTCAATCCAGCTACGAGGTACGCACAGTTCTGATTCCAAGTCAGCATTCAGATTCGACCTGACAATCGCTGATACAACATTCACAGACAACTACCTGACCCATAAACCACATATCAACTCCTCCTCCAAACGACCACAAACAAACACCATGGCCAGCTTCTCCAACACCTCCACGGGCGACAAGACCGCCGACCCCTACCTCCAGAAGAACATCGACGAGGCCTCCCTGAAGGAGAAAGTCGAGGACCTAATCCAATTCATCGACAAAGTCAAGTTCGGCCTCTTGACCACCCAAACCGCCAACAGCGACCTCCTCGCCTCTCGAGCCATGGCCCTCGCCGCAAAAGTAAGTTCCTTACAGCCCCTTCCCCCTCATCACGAAGAAAAAGAAAGAAAGAAAGAAAGAGCATCGCGGCTAACACAAATGTGACACAATAAGGAGGGCAACGGCTTCGACCTCCTCTTCCACACGAACACCGAGTCCGGCAAGACGGACGACCTGGCCACGCACCCGAGCGTCAACGTCGGCTTCATCACGCCGTCGGGCGAATGGGCGTCCATCTCGGGCCACGCGACCGTCGAGACGGACCGCTCGCTCGTCAAGAAGTACTACTCGCCCGCGCTCAAGGCCTGGGTCGGCGACCTCGGGGACGGCACGCACGACGGCGGGCCCGAGGATCCTCGCATCGGGATCATCAGGGTCAAGGCGAATACCGCGCAGTACTCTGTGTCGAGGAAGGGGCTGATTGGGAGCTTTGTGGAGTTGGCGAAGGGGGTGTCGTCCGGGGAGGCGCCGGCGATTAATAAGATTAGGCATATCAGTGAGGCGGAGGTCCAGCAGTGGAGGGCGCAGTAGATTGATACATTGTTCCCTGGGATGATGGATGGATGGGGCTTTCGCTGAGGAGGGGGGATGCCGGAGCGAAACAAAATCGACATGATATCATGATGCCATGTGGGAGTGAATAGGGGACAGTTGAGAGACACTACCAGTTACTGTCTGTTCCTGCTTTAGCTTTCATTATTGAAGGGATGAGGAGAAACCAGCTTCTAATCATATGTAATATTCCAAACACGTTATATTAATCAAATCAAATGACTGAACCAGTATGTAATTCCTTCTATGCGGAGAAAACTTTTGAACTACGTGATATACCCGGATGCCCGCTAAGTAAAAAAAACCAAAGTTCAGCTACACCTACACCCGCGACGCCAATTGTCATGCCGTTTGATCATCGAACCACCAACAAAAGTCCCTTCCAAGAGTACACCTAGCCATCTATGGCTCGACGCGGAACTTAAGCCTGATACCCATGCTAGCCAGCTCAACATCCAAGTACTTGAGCACGCCAGGAACCGCCACGACGGCGATATCGTCGCCGCCCGTGAACCTGATGCCCTGGCCATCGACCCAAGTATCGCTCTTGCTCTCGCTGCCCGCGGACAGTCTCGCGCAGCGTCGGCACCTCACGATGGGGGTGCCCTTCTTCTTGCGGGTGAACTCGGTGACGGTGGGCGCGGTGGACAGGAAGCTGCCGCAGGCGCGGCAGACGGCGGCCTTGGTGTAGTCGGAGCAGTTCATGAGGCGGTCTTGCAGCAGGAATGCGGTGCCGTGGGCGAGGAGGGCGTCGCGCTCCATCTCGCCGACACGGATACCACCACCCTTTTTCCTTCCCTTGATGGGCTGGCCGGTGAGTGAGTTGACGGGTCCGGTGGTTCGCACTTGGTACTTGTCGTTGACCATGTGACGGAGACGTTGATAGTACACAACGCCAATGTAGATGTCGGCCGCGAGCTCTTGCCCGGTGATGCCGCTGTACATCGGTTCGTTGCCGTAATAGTTGTATCCGGCCTTCATTAGCTGATGGCCGAAGTGGTCGACGGCAGTGTTCTGCTCGTCGAAGCGGAATGGCGTAGAGTCCTGTGCGAGGCCGTGTAGAGCTCCCGACTTGCCGGCCATTGACTCCACGAACATACCAATGGTCATTCGAGAGGGGAAAGCGTGGGGATTGATGATAACATCAGGTTGCATACCGGATTCGGAGAAAGGCATGTCGATGGCGGGCCATTTCTGTGAGCACACACCCTTTTGGCCGTGACGAGAGGAGAATTTGTCGCCAATCACGGGGGAACGAGGCACCCGTAGTTTCACGCTGATCTTCTGGCACGGCTCAGTGCCAGACTCGGAACCGATGATGCGGACCTCCTCCACGAAAGCAACTTCATCCTCCTTGTACTTGAAGAGCTGCGTTTGGCCGTCGCGGTTGACATATTCCCCAGTCGACGGGTCGTAAGAGACGTTGTGCCACGCTGCAATAACGTCTCCATGGCGCAGCTCCGTTCCCACTCTTGGCCAGCCATCGTCATCCAATTTCTCTCTCCAGGCTGCCGTTACGAGACCGCCCGGCGCGAAGCCAAACAGCCGGGTGACGTGCTTACTCGACCTTCCGCGCCGCTGACCCTCTTCAAGGTCACAGATCTTGGTCTTGTAGATGGTGCCGTGGCCGAAACCGCGTTCGTGTGCAGATTTGTTCAATATCATAGCGTCGTCCATGTCGTACCCAGTGTACGATATGACAGCCACCACGGCATTGGTTCCGTTGGGGAAGTTGTCTAATCCATACTCATTGTGTAGTGGCGGTCGTACAATAGGCGTTTGGCCAGTCTGTAACCGGTAGGTCTTGTTATCTGTTCGATACCGCATAGCCGTTCCTGGGGTTCCCATGGATTGTTTACCCATCTGGCACTGTCATATTGTAAGCTGGAATGCTGATAAGAGGCTCAATGCATGTACATACCTGATACATATTTCGTGGTGACTGGTTGAAATCGGAGAATGGCGTCATGTTGGCGAGGATGGACAAAATGTTAGTGGGATCGTACTCGACATGTGTGGAGTCGCCTGACACGATCTCGGGATCTGTGCACGCAATAGACATGAAAGGTTGCTCAAAAGGACCAACGTAGTCTAGCTTGTCCAGAGGTAGATATTTGACGGGTCGATACATGCGGGCAGACTGCGAGAACATGTAAACACCTGGGTATTGTCCACCAGTCGAATTTGGAATGTATCCAATCTCTAGTTCAACTGGGACGTTATGGGTACCCTCAACCTTCCAGTATCGAAGGGTATCGGCGATGACCTTGGCTTGTTTCGGCGAACAATAGCCCAAGACACGGCCATCAAGCTGTACTACCACGCTGAACTCAAGGGATGCAGAAGATTTGTTTGAGACACCCAGCTGTGCGACAAGCTTTGGAATAGCTGACACATCGACGCTTTGTGTCGCAATCTTGCACTTATGGGCCAGATGGTTAAGCAAGCCACAAGGACTACCATCGGGAGTGTGGACTGGACAGAGGAAGCCCCAACTTTCCGGTAACAGCTTTCGCACAGTAGTTGTCTTCAGCTGTGCAAAGAACGCACCTCTGTGGACCATCCTGAAGTGACTGATGAAACGATAAAAGTTGATCTTCTCGGCTACGACTGTGAAGCCGGATGCCTGCTGGAGATCCAAGCCGGTGGGACTGACAAGATTTCCGGTGGACATGAAATAATCCATAGCCTGTCCTATGTTCTCATTTGTCCGCTTGAAAATCTGGGAGCGCAAGTCCGAATGGAATTGCTGGGATGTGAAAGAAGATCCAGTCTTTCGCAGCCAATCTCTCAGAGGAAACGATAGTGAGTTCAACCACTCATCCAATTTCTCCTTGAGGATCATTCCGAACAAATGACCGCCAAGCAACACTTCCTGGTTGGAGACGGCATCAGGATTGTCCACCGCGCACTCGCCCTCGACGAGTGCGTAGAGCTTGCGGATCATGAAAAGCAGCATCCTGAACTTGTCTGCGTTCTGACTTTCGGTGACGTGGGTTGAGCCAAGATGTGGTAATACAATCCTGCGAAGGAACTCGGTGCCCGCCTCCTCATCGGTGACATCCTGGGGTATCTGGAGGATGATTTTGAACTTCCTTCCAAGATAGGCTCGAGTCTTCGCCTTGGAGTGCAACCCGTAGACTTTGTAAGTGCGGAGGAGTAGTTCCAGGCGATCGGTAACGAATTGCCTCTCGGTGAGACCCTCCGACCCTGCGGCGCCAATGATACCCTCAAAGATCTCCCGGTCATTCGTCTCCACTAGTGCTTTGAGTATCATCATGACAGGCACCAGGTATTCAGCTTTCCTCCACGAGAATCTAAGATTGACGTTTCCGTCGTTCAAATAATGCAGTGCATTGGTCTGCGAGGTTTGGTCGGGACGGACGCAGCGCATCACAATACCATAGGGGGTGTAACCCGGCCCACGATTTGTGAATGCACCTCGCTTGATGGCCATCGGGTAATTGCGACGGTTGACTTGCAGCATACGGATGAGTTTCTCAATGCCGTTCACGATGAAGTATCCACCGAGCTCTTCTGACTCCTCCTTAGCCTCGACGAGCTGTGCGGGTGACATGCCCTGCAAGTGGCACCGGTTTGACTATCACGAGCCTGTTAGATGTGGTGTTGGAATAGCGGATCTACCGGGAGAATTGCTTACCCTGAGCATGATGGGCACATAACCGAGCTCGCGGACCTCTTCTTGCCAGTCGCCATTGTTGACTTTCCATTCTATCCGCGCGGTGAGCTTTCCGCGATATGTGCTATGGCGCTCTCTGCATTCGGCAGGGAGGACGAGACGATGATCTTTGATTGCAAACTTGTTGGAGGGAGGAAGTGTGGACTGGTCGAGGAAGACTTTCTGTATGCGCACGTAAAATCGGTTCCTCTCCCCAGCATCTTCAGGCTGGACGTTGAGGTCACCATCGAGGAAGATCTTGGTGCCGATGTCTTTGATACCCTGCTCTAGCTGGCCGCCCTCGGCGAATATGGAATTGAAGGAATTGATATGGGGGTCTACAGCTGCGGCTAGCGTGGGATATGCGGTTTTGTCTTTTGGCGGGCTGCGGAAGAGCTCCTGTCGTCTCTTGTTATTGTAATCGACCGACCAGTCGGTGCTTGTGGTGGTGGCTGCGGGCGCCATGGTCGGCAAAGTGAGACCTCCGTGGGTTCAATTAAGGAGGGAGGGAAGGATGAGTTAGGCCACGGGGATCATGGCAAGCATAAGAAGCTCGGGTATGTGTGAGAGCTGAGACGGTGAAGGCGACGGGTGGACGGTGTGAAGAATTATTTGTCTGAAGCTTCAGTTTTGGTCGCAGAAGGAAAAAAAGTTGTCGCATGGGTCCCGGCTGGCGCGCGGGCAAAGGGCCCTAGTCCCAACATGGTTTAGCGCAAGTACACATACAGGTCTACCGGGGTCATTAAAAGGTAGGTAGGCAATTATACCTTGTCGGCTGGTATGCCTGTAGGCTTCAAGGCAGAATGTTTGTATTCAATGGTATCCTAAGCGAAAAAGGCGGCAGGTGGCACGGGACCATGATGGATGTGCCAAGAATAAACTGGCCGGTGTGATTGTGAATAATGGGAATGTGAATGTGAATGTGAATGTGCAATGCAGGCGTGCGTTATGTGCAAGCGGATATGCAGAGAGTAGAGAGAGATCTGGGTAGGAGTGGAGTTGGAGTTAGAGTGGGAGTGGGGATGGGAAAGATTATACTGGAACTGGGAATGGGCGAGGGGATGGAGATGGCAAGGAAATTGGAAGAGTTGTGTTCAATAATACAATCAATAATGAGGATCAGGAAGAGGAGGAGAATGATGACGATCGGAGGGCATGGATGGTTGGATTCGTAAATGGGCGGCGGTAGGTGGGCGGCGATGGTGGGAATTGGTGGGAGTTTGATGGGGAGAGTAATGGTAATGGTATTAGGCCTTGCACAACTCGAACTCTACTGCTGCTGTGTGTGTGTGTACTCCACACCAAACTACCTACTACTACTCGTACCTACCTACGCCTACCTACGCCTACCTACCTACCTGACCTATTCCTCCAAAACCTACTTACCTCCAGACTCCTCCAGCTCAGCAGCTCTATTACTGTCCCTGTCCTCGTTCTCTCTCTCTCTCTCGCGCGCGCTCTCCCTCTACTCTTGATCATAGGGCGGCACGGCCTTTTTCCCTCATCTTCAACACCTCTCGTCTTCCTCTTCCTTACTCTTCCTTCTGCCTGTGTCCTGTTCACACACACACTTTTGGCATACTGATGAGATAACTGAGCATTTCATTGTTCATCATCAATCCGTCTTGGTTTTCTCTATCTCATCCTGTCCTATCTGATTCTATTCTACTGCCTAGCTGTGCTGCGCCCGTCTTCCGCCGTGATCGCCATACACAGTAGATTGCCCGCCGCCAGACAACCCCGCCCACAAGGATCCTAGAACTTCACGCTGCATCATCTCCAGCTTGCTTCATCCTCAACCTCACCTACAGCATATCTGCATCGCTACACAGCAGATCAAGCATTCAGAACCCTACCCACCACTGGAGTCTTCTAGCTTATTCCCGACATATTCCTGCGATAAGACAGCTCCTCATGGCTAGCATATTCCGGCGCATCTACGACTGGCTCTTGCGCCTATTCTGGTCCGTTTCCCCATAATTCTCATTGTTACCCCCAAACCATGTTCTACATCCACCCATGTTTTTACCTGGAATTCGTGCGAAGAAGTTGGTTATGTTCTCTCCAACTCAATCCCGCTGTTCACAGAACAAGATCAAGGAGCACAGAGGGCCGAGCCAGGGAAAGAAAAAAATGCAAAGAAAAAGAAAAGAAGCAGGAGCAAAAAGCAAAACTTGAGGGAGCAAGCACACGTTCGAAGACACTGACCTCAACGACGATGCTGACTGGGAGCGACGCGCAGGGCCACAGAGATGGACATCACGATGATCGGCTTGCAGAATGCCGGCAAGACGTCGTTGTTACGGGTTCTGGCGGTGAGTGTCTGCCCTTTTGGGAAACCATGGTGCTACGTCGCCGGCATTCCTTTTGATCCCAATTTCGCTGACCGCCAGAGTTCCAGGGTGGAGAATTCACAGTCGAGTACGTCAACAAGTTCTACTTTCTTTCAGGGTGGCGCGGGATGGCGCCGGTGGCAGCTTGTCTCATCAAACTCAACTCAACTTGGAAGAGAGAGAGACATTTCCATCTGATGCCTCGCGCGATCGTAAGTTCCAATCTAGATGGTCCATGCGCTGATCAATGGTCATAGCTCCATCCCCACGGTGGGCTTCAACATGAAGCGCGTCCAGAAGGGTCATGTAACCTTGAAGTGGTGAGTACCGATCGTTCGTTTGTCCGTTTGTCCGTTTGTCCGTTTGTCCATCCGTCTGTCTGTCCATCTGTCTGTTTGTTCCCGACTTCTGTCGTTCGAGAGGTCACGCATCTTCATGCAGTGCCAAGCCGTCGAAGCACCCTTGTCGGCCGATTGCAATCTAATCTACCGAGTGGGAAGAGCATCTGCTGACCATCGAGCGCAATAACAGTTGGGACCTGGGAGGACAACCCAGATTTCGTTCCATGTGGGAAAGATATTGCCGCGGCGTGAACGCGATGGTTTTCATCGTTGATTCGGCCGATAGGGAGGCGTTGCCTGTCGCTCGGGAGGAGTTGAAGCTTCTCCTTGAGAAGCCGGCCTTGGAGGGCATTCCCCTCCTCGTGCTCGGAAACAAGTCCGACCTGCCCAACAAACTCTCAGTGGACGAGCTGATCGAAGCCCTGAATCTTACGGCAGTGTCGCACCGTGAAGTGAGCTGCTATGGCATTAGTGCCAAGGAGGAGACGAACTTAGACGCCGTACTCCAATGGTTGATCGCTCGGGCGAGCAAGTAGGTGGTTGAGGGTCTAATTTTTCCGAGTTGGTGATTTGAAGGGCGAGGATTCGGAATCATTACGACATGATCGGTTCGAACGACGATTTCGAATGATTTGGTCCGAAAGTACGAGTAATCGAGGGGACGAATGGCTTGGTGCTTGAACGGTTTTTCAGTGCGAAATGCCTTTCTGGGCGAACTTCATGACTCCTGACGGGCCAGTGTCGGTCTTGACTACGGCTGTCAGCTTTTGTACGACATACTTAACGATTCTAACGACGTGACGGAAAGAAAGACGGGCAGTCTCATCTGCGGGCTAGCGATGGCCAACCCCAACCCCCAAGCGTAGCAAGTTCAGTTCACTTCTTTTTTCTTCGATTTCTTTTGTTTTCGTGTCTCTCTTCAGCAGGCGATCATGATTATGTCTAGGAGACTTGTTGTTGTGATAGGTCGATAGGAGGCAGGGTTCGCAATTTGGCAGTACAGATTCCTGAAGATATATCCGCAGGCTGGTACTGTACCAGCCGGCTTGTTACATGTCCCAAATTTGTTGCCGTGACCGGGAGAGAATGATTGCATGATCGAGATACTGGGTTTCGAGATGGAACCCAATTCTTGTCTGACCAGTTGGCCATGACCCGTTTGGTGGAGAGTCACGTTCCTTGTCGTGTGAGGGAGACTTCCTGCTGAAGAATGTGCGGTCCTTCTCTCACTGCGACAGGACTGAGTCCAAAACCTGGGGCAGACGGAAGCTTGCCAACGTCTCAGTCGCTGAAATGAGAGTTGGAGAAGCACCAGCAAGTCCAGGCCAGCTTCCATGGTAGACACTGAGCCATTGCGCATAGGGGTGAGTTATGCGCAAATGGAGGGGGATTCAAGACCGGAATCGCAGCAGTGTCGGTACATTGTGACGGAGCTCCATCCCAGGCATGTTGAAGGACGAAGAGCGTGTCATGATCGCGGCTACCCACCCAAACAAACGCATCGCACACCAGACTCGAAGAAGAGAGCTCGAAGCTGAAGAGAAGAAGAAGAAAATTCGAAGATTCCGCACCCAGAAAAAAAAGGTCCCAAACGCGAACAACGAGAAACGGACGGCCGACACCACAGATAGTAGTAGTAGTATTATTATTCATTTTCGCAAGCCAACAAAGTCAGTCTCTCCCGAACAATTGACAACTCATAGTGCATTAGCGCCAATCTGGGTGTAGAGCGGCTGATTGGCTGGCGGAGTCGGTTGGCCGCTCGCATCCCTGCCGGCAACCAAGCAGGGCAAGCATGCGAACGTACGGCTTGCGGAGGTGGTCAATCCGGTCGAATGCCTTCCTTCATCCATAATACTGTACGAGAACGGAGTGGGTTGCGCAGAGGAGGATGATCTGTGTAGTTATGGGAAATTGTCTTCGATAACACGGTAAGCAGGTCGTACAAGATGAGGTGCTTGACGTGGATGTTTGACGTGGACGAGGGAGTCTCTGCTATCCGTGGTCTTGGGAGAATCAAACAGTAAAGAGAATGGGTCTTCTAGGTATATATTCTGTACCCTACAAATACTCGAGGAATGAGCATGAGGATTATGAAATGTTTGGTACGGTAATACGGAGTACACTACGGAGTGTATCTCAGGATTTCACGGTCTTCGAGGATCAGTTATCCTCATTCATGGATAACTGCCTATGTACGGAGTACTGGTACTGGGTGGATGACGGACTCGCTCTCGCCTACTTCCCCGCCTTTCCCATGATTGATTTACCTTTAGCTTGGTCGTTGGATAGTAGTGCGCGGAGTATCTGCTCGTTGGTAGGTAGACGTTTCCTCTATTCAAAGACAATACTTTGATAGAATCGCATTCCATTCTACTTGGTGAACGGAGTGAAAACTCACAGGTATTTGATTTCATTGAATGCGCACGATCATTCCGAGGTTTCTGTTTTACTTTATTCTCCCGATTCATCCATGCATGATTGTAGTTACCGGGTATTAGTCGAGTCTGGAGACGCGGATTCGTGGCGGTGCAAGAGGTGATCATGAGTACGTACTGAGTACTAGGTACCAAGACTTCTCTGTTGGGTGCTTCCAAATCATCACGCGAGGTAGAATCCAGAACCCGACAGAAGAATTAATTCAAATATTTGCCGGAAAATTACTCTGTTCGATGTATGCGGTATAATGCAGTCGTAATAGCTTGGTCCGCAGCAATACCAAGAGAGCAATAGCACGTGCCAGCGCTGTTTTCTGGCCATTGTGGCTGATTTTCCGCTCTTTCCGTCCTCTGCCAAGTCAACGCGTCATACCTTCATAACCCTTCTTAGCTCCCACCCACCCACTCTTTCATCACTCCCTCCCTCTTACGCTTTGCGCAACATCATCATCATCATCCTTCAAATCATCAACAAGACACTACCTGTCTCCACATCGATCGGGTCCTTAGCCTACCAACCGACCACTCCACTCTAGTTCTCACCATCACTCTCTAATTCGTGCTCACACAATAAGCCAAGATGCCTGCCCTTCAACCAAGAGATGTTCGGTGAGTTTGCGCCACCCTAGCTATTTGTCTTGCGGTCTTGCTTGTTTCCTTTATATGCCCTTTTGTCCTTCACGTCATGCAACGCTTACCTCACGATTCTCTCTACATCACTACTCTACCGCCATTTGTCTACCATCATTCTTCTCTCAATTTGTCCTTCAACGCCTAGAATTCATCTCGCGGTTCCCTTTCATCATCTAACATACAATGGCTAGGTGCTATTACGACAGTTATACCGGCCGCCGCCAATGTTATCGCAGCGCATGGAATGACTGGGTTCGTTGGGTTGTTCTCGCTGTCATAATAGTTGGATTCTTCCTGCTATTCATGCTCTGCTCGTAAGTCTCGTTCAAATCCCTATAATCTACCGTTCCTTGCCATCTAACATTGATCAGATGCATTACTGCCCGTCGCCGACGCAAAGCAGGTCGCCAACCCTTCTATGGAACTGGGTGGGCGGCGCGACCTTACAACGGCACCAACAATGCGCAACCCTACTACAACAACCAGTACAACCAGAACCAGCCAGCACCACCGTACTCCCAGCAACCCCAAAACAACGGCTACTACGGCGCAAACCAAGGTTACTATGGCCAGCAGCAGTATGGCCAGCAACCGTACGGCCAGCAGAATGGTGTCGAACTTCAACAGCCACAAGCCACATACAACCGCGGAGGCGACAACGAATACGCTCCCCCGGCTGGCCCACCTCCCGGCAAAGGTGACGGCATCATCCGATAGAGCGCATTTGGGTCCTTGTCGGATTCATGCATCGGCATGACTCGATGTACCGAAACGAGCAAATGATGGTCGCGGAGTCTAGAGAGCAAACGGCGTTCGTTTCATGTTTCATACGTTATCGATCTTTTTTTCGGGGTAGGGCTTAGGCTTGGGCTGTACATTGTCATTGGATTTTTTTTTGGGCGCGGGTCGATACCTCTACCTCCGGGGATAAAGTTGGAGTTTCGCGATTATGATACTTAATTGTTGTTTCCATATTCGATCAATCGGGCATTACCCGCGATCTTCATTAATGACAGTACCATTACTTCCATGGTATCCGCGTTGACATAATCATATCTCGCATTATTGACAGTGACGGATTATATCGTGCTTCTTCCCCTAATCTCCCGTCTTGTTCGCCAATTCAATGTTGTCACCATAGCAGTCCAACGACACCCGATCTTCATAGCCTGCGGACTATCACATGCAACCCAACCAACTATGCCTAACCTAAACTAAGAGCATCTTTATTCACGTCTACCCTCAACCTTACACTTACCCACCCCCACACTTCAAACGCTCTTCTTCAAACGCTCTTCTTCAAACGCTCTTCTTCAAACGCTCTTCTTCAAACGCTCTTCTTCAAACGCTC